TCCACTTAACGGTTGACTCGCGCAGCTGGCACGCGGCTCAGCTTTCACCGCTTGCCGTTTTTCCAACCCCGGCTGTACTGGAACGTTTGGAACATGATCGGCGACGCCATGTTTGGCACCAAACACGAAATCACCAGTATAAGCAGTAGCAGCAACACAGCCCGACAATTGTGACCTCGGGGCATCATCATCATCATCTTATGTACCCATTAGCTGCACAAAAACCAAATGATAAATTATTATTAAGTATATATACAGTAGTTGAAGTAAAAAAAAAAAATAAAAAAAATAAATAAAAACTGGTGATATTGCTCGCGTGATGCAAACAAACGGGGATGAACGAGCAGGGTGATGCGCTAATTTTAAAAGGAGGAAAGCGAGGGCCACAAGCCATTGTATAAACGAAAGGACGTGAGTGTATATGCGCCAGAGTGCAGGTCCTTGCAGCCGCAGCATCACGAACTCGACACTGCATCCCCCCCCCCTCTATAGCCCAATCCGTGTCCTCATATTCCGGAGTCTCTCTGGCGCATCAGCCGCCCGCCCGCTCGGTCATTAAGATAAGAGTAAGTGCTACTAAGTGTCCCGCGGATAAGAAAGGGTGAGGAGAAAGAGCACCTTCTCCTCCTCCTCTCTCTCTTTCTTTCTTTTGCTTCGAAAGAGGTATCGCGCTTTTCTCTTATCCCCTTCTCCCTTGCATCGAGCCCCATCGGCTTGGGCGATAATATGGTGCGTATATTCCACTTGGCGCCTTTTCCCGTTAATGAAAAGCGCGAGGAGCGACTTTTAGATGTGCATGTATTACGCGCGGGGTTGAAGTGGGCGCGTCTTACGAGCTCCACGGAGTTTCCAACCAATTTCCATTCTCATCGCTCATTAGTTGGTTACCTAATCGAGATGGCAAAAAAGTATTGTACGTTGCTTGCGAGTATTGATACGTCACGCGTGTACGACCATACACGTGCGTGTAATTAATTACATATACGCAGCTCGAAAGGTTTTTTTTATTTGCCATCTTTTTTGCGGCCCGCCTCCGGTGGAATAATCTCAACGAATACTAAAAGCAAGGTAAATTTCCGAAAAATATACGTTTATTCGCGTTTTGTCGGTTTTACGGGGGGCTCTTATGATTAACAAGATTAACCGGGCTCTCAATTTAATTTACGATCGATTGGAAAGAAAAAGAAGTAGCACCAGTCGCCCCGATAACTCGTCATTTCGAGCCTGTTCCATATATATATACAACGATCGACGCTGAGGGTTATGCTTTTCAAATTGAAATAACGACCGAATGTTTTTTTTTTTTTTTTTTTTTTTTTTTCATCGAGCAGTAATAAACAAAAATCGAGCTCTGCGAACACGTACACTGTAAATCCAAGTGTGCTATTTTAATACTCTTGGAGCGTGTAAACCGCTGTCACAGAATTTACACGTTTCTAGGCGTTTTATTCCAACACACGCCTCAAGTGTGTATCATCCACACGCTTCAAACGTATTACAACACGCCTCTAAGCGAATTATTGCTAATTTCTTATTTGCTTCGGAAATCATATGTTTTGGTGCCAAATAAATAATAAATCTGCATATTACTTAGAAAAACTAATAAAACAAGCAGATTCAAGTACCACTACTGAAAATTATTTTAAAAAATTCTTGAATTGAATGTCACTTAAACCATTCATGCTGATAGCAATAGCCTAATAGCCCAAATTTTAACAAGATTTCAAAAGAATCCAAAAAAAAAAGAACCTTTTCCACCCTCGGGTGGTTTTGGGAGGCTGGTACTTCCTCGGCCGAAAAAGCAGTTTTCCGGAACTCGTTCGAAAAGTCTCCTTTACGAACCTCGTTACGTCCCTCGCCTTCGGCTCGGGCCGCAAACCTCTCGGTTCGCAAACAGAGACTTTTCAAACTCGTAGGAAAACTACTATTTTTTTTGTAGAAAAGAAAAAACACATTTAAAGTGCTTTTAAATATAACGCGCCTGTCTGTAAAAATACACGCTATATTTGTGTAATTAAACACACTTAGATTTACAGTGTAAATATGATTTTTATGTTACCGTAATACTATCCTCGTATCACTGTTGTCGTATTTTGCCACAGAAAGATAGCGTAAGTGCTGTGACCTGGATTTTACTGTTTTGCTCTGTCGATGGATATTCGTTGTTATTGTGGGTACTCGAACGCAACGTTTAACGAATCTTTTGTTCTTTGTCGTCAAATTATCATTCGCCGAAACATTTATTATTCGTTTAACTCTATACCATTCGTTTTTAAACACATTTTTTCAGCATCGTTTTTATTAAACCTGCACGAAATTTTCCATTTTACGCCTGAGTGCGGCATCGGTTTGCTGAATGACTTGACAATTTCTAGCACATCATGGCAATATTTTCTAGCCATCTCCGTACGGATCAAAATGCTGTTGATGCAACAACAGCACCGCCATCTAAAAATTGAAATCGGCAAGTTAAAAGAGCCACCGATGTACACTCTGCACTTGTACGGGATTATCTGCTGCCAGTTTCGGAATATATTCAACTTTCAGAGAAAAAAATTGTATGTGCATGGCATAAGGGAACTAAAACCGAGCGCGGAAAGCAACGGCAACGGCAGCAGCGGCAGATGATAAGAGCGATACTCCCGGGAAAGTGGCTCTCTCGACATCGACCGACCGTCACTTGAGGTTTTCCAATTAATGAAAATTGATCATAAACATAAATAAGTATACTACTTACTTACTCAGCGATACTCTTGAATACGTCTCTTTTGTAACTTCGACTCGAAGTTTGGTCTTATGCAGATCCGAAAGATAAGTTTTCGCTGATACTAACTGCCCGTTGCTCGGTACCTACTGTTTTAACATTAAATTTTGTCCTCAACAAAAATGAGAAAATTAAATATATTCTACCTTATAACGAAAAGATGACTAATTAACATTTATGTGATAAGATAAGACATATTTTCTTTTGGCTCAGTTAAGTGTGGGCTGTTTACGGATAGTACGAGTATTGTAATACTAATTTATATATAATATATTTTCAACACATGTCGCGCGGCAACACCTTTAATTAATATCAAACAACTTTATCATTAAATATAAATTAAAACTTTTGTAATATTGAGCTTGATAAAGCTAATTTATTTTATTAGATTAGTACAATAAGTTAGTTATAAACCTGAGGAGGTAAAGTAAACACATTATTTACACGAAGGTTTATTGACGTGTGACACGAGAATTTTTCATTACTACCCGTGATGTAACATACGATTTTATTGAATGAGACTTTTAAATAAATATACTTTTTCTGATTAAAGTTTTTTTTTAATAAAAAAATTTATTAATCATTATTCGCAGTTCGATTCTGAGAAACATTTCTTTTCCGCAGATAAGTGCAATACATAATTCGTGTATTTAAGTTTATTATAAAGTAGTTGTAATAAAATATTCAAATACTTTTTTAAATACTTTGACTTTTTTTCCCCAAATATTTCAAGTTGTAATGCATCACTTTTGCTGAAAAAATGTTGATTAACAATCATTGAAAAAAAAAATTTTTCAGCCTAGAGCATTTTAATTACAGAAAAAAGAAAACATGTTTCCAATAGAAATAAATGCCCTAGTCTAGCAATACCGCCAGATCAAACAGCATACCTAAAACGTTTGGCTAATTTATTCAAACCTCGAAATTATGTTACAATCTAAAAATACACCATCCCAGATGAAATGAGTGCCGTTTTTTTTGCAGGTGATACTGGGTTCGGTTGACAATTTTATTTAAAAAATCTGTAAAATTGTTAATATGTCGGAAAATTTTTCCAGCAAATTGTACATTTTTCTTCATGAAAATACTTAAATTTTGTTGGCAAGTACAATCCTTTAGTCGTAGGAGAAAGTGAGAAAAAAAAAACGAGGTAGAACCTACCATTACCCGTAACCCGTCTCAATCGTAACAGATGGCGTTTAAAATACACCTTATCGCTATATTTAACTAAGTCAATGTTTAACTTTTCACGAGGAGTAACCAGTCAGTGTTCGATCTGTAGGTACAAGTGTGGCAACAATTATTACAAGAAATCTAATAAAAATATATTCACTTGTAGGCGTTTGCTACTTCCTTCCCTCGACACCTCCCCGTCATTTCCAATTGTTTCGCTAAATGACAATAACTGCACCCTGGCAATACCGTTCATCGTTTCCTTTACCGATTTCTTCAATCTGTTTTTCTCACTATCACGGGTGACTGAATCAGAAAAACAATGATAATAATTCAAAAGTGCATTTGTAACAAAAATCGATTATTCTAACAAACAGTTGCAGCTATCCTACGGGTTATCAATAAATTTTGCAACAAATCATGTTACAGCAAAGTGTATGTATATTATGTACTAATACGTAGCATAAAAAATTGCCGATTCGATTTCCGATCGTCGTTACAAAATGTGAATTTCTGCGTGATCGGTTGCGCGCCGATAATAAAATTTCCCGCAAAGAGCAGATACCGATTCGCTTGTTTGAAAATAATATATAATATAAGGTCACTGGTCTATTGTGTAGTACATCTGAAATCAGTGAAATTCATCAGTTTGGCATTGGATCGGTAATGGTCTTACGAAACTGATTGTAATCACGGGTATATAGGTGTTAAATTTTATAACCAAACTAAGCATTTATCCACGCGAAATACGAAACCTTTTAAATCTACTCCATAGGTATGGATACACGTGCACGTGAAGGAGACAACTACATAGGGGAGAGATTAGATTAGATTAGATTAGATTTTTATTAAATAGCTAAGGACTCAGGGTCCATAATAGCCAGAGCTAGGTACAAGCTGACAAAGTTTAGAGCAGGAGAGAGAGAGAGAGAGAGAGAGAATAAAAAGGGGAATAGAGAGGAGCGCATGCGTACACTCGTTTTCATTTCCTCTCCCAAGGCTTTTTATTATCCTCGGAGTTTCATTTCGGAGTCGTCGGAGCAATCGTCCGCGTCACATATAACTATATATTCGTGATACACGCACCCATACTCATATTATACGTACAGAACAGCGAATATAATGAATAAGTTGCGAGATACGTCATAGAGCCGCATACGTGTGTGCGTACCTGCACGTACATAGGTATATTACCGATACACCTCCAGGCTCAGAGAGAAAGAGCGTCAGAGAGTTGGGTTGGAGTGTAGGTTTAGCAGTAGAGTAAAAAGCTGAAAAGTCGTCGGATCGGCGTCGTGGATCGGAGCAGCGGAGGCGGTGGTGGAGAAAGAAAGAAAAGAGATAATAAAGCGTGGTGTGTTAATTTCGTGCGTGTGTTTGCTCCTCGACAGCTGCAGGGGAGCGGGGGGGGGTCCGTCGCCGCGATAAGCGAGAATATAATATCACCAAAGAAGCAGAACCGCGAGAGAGCACGAAAAGAGAAGGGTACATGTATTCCTTCTTCTCTCGTCAGGGCTACATGTCTGTGTGTCCCCTCGTTGTTGACAGGCGTACATTGTAAACGCAGCGGACGATCTGATACAGAGAGGTAGTGTGCACAACAACAACAACAGGTCATTGTTTTATCACCATCACGACTGAGTTATCGGTGCAGCGAAAGATATATTTACAACAACAAAAAAAAAGAAAAATAATAATACACATCTAAAAGTGAATTGCGCTCATTGTTAGGTGCAACGTGTATACAGCAGCAAGTAATCACCGTACCAAAGTACACACAATAGAATAGAGGCCGCGACGATGACGAAAGCGCAGTGAGTTTGTATATTTTACGTGTCCAAGTCTCCGTTGTACGGATTAAGTGTACTCGTTGTAAGTATACACATCTACCACTCTGCTCCGTGAGCGTACCTTATATTATATGTACGCCGTGTACGTCTGCGGCTGCCGCCTGCACTCTCATTCCGCTGCAGCGACATGGACTCCATCAGAAAATGGTTCTACAGGCCAAAGGTGAGTACTTGCAGCCTACAACATTCGTCCCCGTATATTAAGAGCTTTTTGCACTCGATGTGCGAACAAGTACAGACACACCGCGTCATCATTATCCTCGTATCGTACTTTGCATGACCACCTGTTTGCAAATCCTCTCCTCCGAGCTCACGTATAATAATATATACGCGTAACGAGCGGCTAATTAGACGTATGTTTATAGGTATACTTGTCGCGAATCCGCTTGAAAACTCTCGAACGTTTAAAAGCACACAAAAGTCGAGAGCTTATGCGTATGTATAATGTACACATACAACGTGATGAGCATACGCATCACCTTAGGCGAAAATTTTCGTCGTACCCTCTCCCCTCTCGGGTGAACCAGGCCGTGCTCGCTATCACCGCTGCAGTGTGCATGTTTATCGAGGCGTATCACCGCGCGTACGAATGCGGGCACGTATCTATGATGTGTTGCGAGAGAGAGAGAGAGTCACGAGATCACGATTTCACGACGGAGCCAGCTAACGTATACCGTCTGACATCATCGTTGCAACCCTGTCAGAACTAACAATAGTTTGTTTTCATATCAATCAAAACCTCGTCGGTATGTGTGTTATACATATATGTATAACAATGTGGTCGCCAGCCACACGGAGGAAAGCGCGCCGAGGAGCTTATCAGCTGATTGGGAGCGAAGCGCTGCTGCAGAGCTTTTATTTCGTTAGGGACGAAGCGAAAAGAGAGACACATACAGAGCTGCACACGCAAATAAAGTATACGTGTGCATGTATACAAGGGACTGTTAAAAGTAAAACAAACTTGGTGGTGTAGCTGTTATTATTGTTATATATGCATACGTCTCGATCGTCGCACCGAGAAGAAGGTCATCGCGGGGAGCGGCGTATCTTTCCGTTCCGCGTCGCTTCGGGAGATTCAATAAATCATCATACGCGTGCACGAGCTTTTTGCGGCTTATCAGAGCTGCAGCTTGCGAACGGGCGAAAGCGCGAGCTCCCATACTTATGCTTGCAAGCGGTGCCGATCGCTCCTCCAACGCTTTCTTCCTCCTCCTCGGTATATAATATTATTATACGTGCCTGTACCAGAGTGTTGTGTATATGTACATTATGAATATACTGTAGGCACCCGGGCGTTTTCTCTTTCCTCTGCTCGGTGTAAGTACGTTTTGGCCGCCGTCTCCGAAGGAAGAGAAAGTAGTTGCCGATACCCACCGCGTTGCGTATATAAATGTACACTTGGCCGTTATTGGCTTAGATGTGCGCCCACTTGCGCTCTCTGCCGATCTTAAATTCATCCCCGATCGCCCATTTGAAAAAAGAAATAAATGAAAAAAAAAGGATCGATCGTCACGGACGGTTTACGCCGCGGGGCATCGATTGCCCATGTAAACCCATTATCCGTGTATACACGTACGATACAAACAAGTATATATATATATATACTTATACGTGTACACGCGTATCGATGTTTTTGTTTTTTTTTTTTATCTTTCGCGCTTCGTATATGTGTACCTACTTATACGCCAATCATCGTGTCATGTGTGAATCAGAGTGCGAGCCAGGTACCTATATCTTTGTTACGTATAAACAAGACAAAACCCAGCTGCAGTCGCTATTGTCTCGAAAGAGGCGAAAAGACAAAGGTATATACATGCGCGCGATGGTATAAATAAAAGAAATCCGACGTAACAATAAAAAAACAAAAACTCCCTATAAGTTGTATATTATATACTAATTATTACCACCAAAATCGAGCATATATATATATATATATACACTTGTCTATAAATTATTCACGTACACCAATACACATTTGGTTGACGTCGGCGATACATGTGCAGAATAATTTTAAAAAAGTGCCCTCCGTATGTATAGATTGTACACGTTTCTCGCATCGCTTTCGTCACGTACTTGCTTACTTATTGGCAGTTCGCTCTAATTCCGTGTGCCGTACGAATGAATATATACTTACATGCATCCGCGCGACCAACCGGGAGATGCGGGTAATGATAACAGAGGTGCAAATGACGACAACGTGTGCAAAGGTAAGTAAGGAGGATCAAGTGGAGAAGAGAAAAAAAAAAGTGATAGCAAAAAGAGATCGGATCGGCAGGAGAGAGCGTCGCGGGAGGCTGGCAGCTCGATGAGTCACGCGTGCACAACACACACACACATACACACATAACTCGCATTGTAGTATATTACGTACACCTATACGTATAAATACACCGTATCGCTATAATACGTATACGTACGATCGATAAGCGCCTTTATTTGACTCTCCCTCGTCCTTTGCCCTCTGCGCTCGCATAATTTCGGTATAGGCGTGCAGCTTAGCGCGGGTTCATCACAGATGCGCTCCCCCTCTGGAGTTCAATGAAATTCCGAGGGGGAAAAGAAATCCACCCCCGCGCGTGCATGCACGCTTTACCTATGATCTCGGATTAATCCCGTCTCTCTGTACCCTCTGCTCAACTATATAATGTCGATTTCGCCACTGATATATAGGCTTGGGATTGTGCTCGTCATCGGTTGTTGTTTCGCGCGACAGTGCAAAGGGATGAAAAATTTGGGAGTAAACGAGCCCACCTTACGTGGTCGTTACGGGTTTTTTTTTTTGTCTGAGGAAAATAAGTACTTGGGAATTTCTTTTTTTTTTTTTTTCTTATCTATGGTGCAGGTTTCGTGTTTTCCAGCAAAACAAATGAATAATGTAGCAGGAGAGGCGCGCACGGTCAAAAATAATAATCGATGATCGGATAAAGGCGTTTATCGATACAATGCGCGATGGAGCGATACGACAAAAACTTCTCCAATCTGCATGTAACTGTGTGGTGTACAACATACTTTAGCCGGACATATATAAGAGGTGATATATGCGTATACGACTAATGGAAAGGATTTCTCCAGCCAAATCAATGTGATTCACTTTCGAATACATGATTATATTTTTATGTATTTTTGACGCGGGACTAGTACCAAAGACGAATTTGTATTGTCACATTTTACGAATGTCGACTAATTTTAAAAAATAATTTAAAAAAGTAGTAGTTTGCCATGCTTTTATAGTTGTTGGTCAAGTCGTCACATGCACTTGTTCACACCATGAAATGGTTTTTTTTCCTCCATAACTAAGGTTTATACATTTTATTACGAATAGGGGATTCCAAGAGTCTTCGTAATCGCTTCCAAGAAATGAGTTATATGCACGATAAGTTAGGCAATGAGTTCACATTAAATTACCATTATCAAGCGAAATATCGTTCGTTAACTTTCAACAGTAAAGCACTTGGTGGAAAAAAAAAAAAGCAAACGCGTGCGTGCTCAACACAAAAAAGAGCCTTTCGGTCTTGATAAATTTAGCGCGCTCGAGTCCGCGAATAAAGCTGCACAGATCAATTAGATTTGTTATTATCGCATAGCATATGCTCCGTACCTCTCGTAACTCTCAATCGTACACCACGTATACCTAGGTATGGCCCGTCAAAAGCTCTGCTCGAGTGCTCGTGCCACATGTTACTTGCACTTATATATGTATACATATATACATATGCCAAAGTGAGCATATTTACATTTTCGTTGTTTCTGATGTTTTGTAAGCGTTACACCTATAAGTACAAACGTTACGCATCGATGCTATGTACGGAAGAAGCGGCGTTGGGTATATACATATTCGTGTATCGTTTGCACCTATAGTTATCGTATAACAATCAGCCGTGGGTGATTCAATCATCGTAATTACAATAAAAGTATCTACTTATAAAGTTGCCAAGCGCACGTGCTATAGATACGCACATATTTATATACAGAGTATCTCAACTCGCGCAATACTTGTATTATGTGTGTACACACACGTATCTATACATGTGTCATGCAAAGAAAAAGTTGTAGTGTTGGATTCAGTGAGAATAAAATAATTAATTCTAAGGGTTCCAAAAAGTACACTCTTTTGTGCAACTTACCACCATCGAAATGGTATATTATATTCATACTCATAATCATGATATACAACTCGTGTATATACAACCTTGTGTATAAATTAGAAAAAGTTACGTTCTGTGTATCATCTATACATTTTTTACGTGTACAGGTATGCCTTTTCTACCAGCGCTTTTTGCGGGCAACTAAGCGTGAATCGCGTGAGATCGCTTATTTCGGTATAAACCAAACTACCGTCGTTTCATATACATTGTCGATGTCCAACCGATCAAACGAGAACTACAATAACTCTTTTTTTATTTTCTCGTTTATTTTTTCATATACATTTAAACAATTTGCAATGTGTACTCAAGCCTAAAAAATCCAAAGGATCGGATGATAACGGTCATTAATTGGAATTTTTGTGTATTTTTAAAAAGCCATCGTTTGACGCATTAGTCAGTTGAAAAACTTTAACAGTACATATTATACCTACACTAGTGATTCATGTGCGTACAAGTTGACAATGCTTTGAATTTTTTTCTACAGCTATATATACCGACAAGACAAACGGTTCATGAAAAATAAGGAATCGTGGAAATTAATAATGTTCCTTTCGGGTCATCCGAAACAAAACTCCGAGACGCATAACATCCAAACTTGCGTAACAACGTGTACGGAATACCACACACGTACGGCTTTATTCTTCGTACCCATTACATCAATCTAGTATCGTACGGGATTCGTCCCCGCCTGAGTTACTCGAATTACCTTCGGTTGGCCAACTTTACACAAAAATGCGAAGAGTGTAACTTGGGTATTACCTCTTTTTTTGAGTGTTTCCTCCGACAGTCTGACGATTTTTTGTTCGCCGAATGCAAAAGACTTGGGAATCTGTTATGCACGTTTATACACTTGGATGTAAGAATGAGTAATGCTCGTTGAAGACAAAAGAAATAGAAAAGAAAAAAAAATGACAATAACACAATCAAAGCGTATAGGAGAGGAGCGATGATGTTTGTTACACTGCATGTATATACACTTGCACCCGTATAGTCCCACGCGTATACGTAATTGCGGTAATTAGTTAGATGAGGCTGACAGGGGACGATGCCGCCGACACGCGAGCCATTGTATTCCCAACGGCAGTCACTTCCTCGCGGAAGGGAAGTCGAACGGTCGACTGTGCGCGATGTTTTTCTCGCAACTACTTACTTTGAGAATCAAGAGAAAATAATAACAATAATTATAATTTACCACTATTAATTCCACGAAGCAACGAATGTCATAGAAAAAACAAAGAAGCACCTATAGAAATTAATTTAAGAGCAAGAAAAAAAAATTAAAGTAAAATGAAATTTCAGAAAGAGGACAAGAGCCTGCTGGCGCAGTTCTTCTTCGCGGACGAGTCGCTGAACGGGGTGGCCTGCGAGCTCGACTCGTTCGACGGCCGCCAGGAGCCGGAACGGTGCACGAGCCTGGTGAACCAACTGCGCCACTGCCAGGACAAGGTCCTCAGCATCTGCAACCAAATAATGGACGAGCTGATACCCGATTCCCGGGCGAATAGGGACTTCCGGGTGAAATTCCCCGACGACGTGATGCAGGAGAACCTTGCCGGCCAACTGTGGTTCGGGGCCGAGTGCCTCGCCGCTGGCTCCTCCATCCTGAACCGCGAGGCCGAGAGCCTGGCCATGCGACCCCTCGCCAAGGCCCTCACCAAGTCGCTCGAGATAGTCCGCAACCTGCTGCGCGAGCAAGCCCTCCGCGGACAGACGAACCTCAAGGTATGTGTGGACCCATCGATGTCATTGTATTTTCGCGTGCTCGAGCAGCAGATGATTCATTTTTTACGTTTTTGTTCCGTATAGGCGCAGAATCCCCTCGAACCCTCGACCGAGAAAGTGATCGAGTCCCTCAAGATCTTTGATCGGCTGTTCGCCGACTTTGAGCTCTGCTACGTGGGTGCGATGGTCCCGGTCAAGTCGACCAAGGAGTACGAGCAGCAGGAGCTCGTCTGCGTCCTTTTTTCCGAGACCCTGCAACGTGCTCTAGAGCGGGGCCTCCTGCGCCAGACCGACGTCGACAATTACGAGCCGGCTCTCATGTTCACCATACCCCGGCTGGCCATCGTCGCGGGACTCCTGGCTACACCCGGTGGGCCCCTCTGCCTCGAATCCTCGTCATCTTCCTCCGACTCGATTAGCGAAATGTTCCGGCCCTTCAGGGTTAGTACGGCAACAACTATACCTATACTTTTGATCGATTATCCATAACAACTATGTCCACAACACATCTCTGCCACAGAGTCTTCTGCTCAAGATACGCGAGCTCCTCTGGACGCTCAACAGCCGCGAGCTTTGGATGCTCGAAAAGCTGCTCTGCTCGATCGAGGACGCCTCGACGACGACGACAACTGTGACGACGACGACGGACCAGTCGCTGCCGGACCTCGACGACTTTGTTCACAACTTTTACACGGGCTATCCCAACTGCAAGGACTTTATCGCCGATTTCTACACGGTGACCAAAAACAACGGCAGCAACATGGACGAGGTCGCTAACGACGCGGTCCTCATTATCGAGCAGGCCATCGAGGAGCCTACTACCCCCGCCCAGCGGCACGACTCCACCGGCTCCTCCGACTTTTATTCCTGTACGCATTTAAACCCTGTTGTAACACGTATCCATGACAGAGATACCGATGGTGTGATCAATTATTACCCTTCAGGCGACTCGGTATCGGTGGACCCGTCGGATAATCAGGCGGAAAGTAGCAGTAGCAGCAGTAGCACGACCAACAGCGCCAACTCGGCCAAACTGATATCAGAGGCGAACAAGAGCCTGTCGAGCCTGCTGATCCTCAAGGCTGGGGACTGCGGAGCAGACCCGTCGTCCGAGCACACGGACTCGGGCATCTGCACGGTCATATCCTCGGAGAACACGAGTCTCTACGACAAGAGCCCCGAGGAGAAGAAGAGCTTCGCCGGTGAGTTGGAGCAGCCGGCGAGCGACGACGAAAACGAGTCGAAGGAACAGCCGGAAGAAGGCCATCGCCAGGTGGAGCACGAGGAAGAGGAGGAGGGGAATACCAGCTACCTGTGCTCCAACGTCTTTAATTCGCCGAACAAGCGCCGGGACTCGAACAAATCCTCCGACAATTCGAGCTCGTGCGTCTGCAACCGAGCCTCGAGGGCCAGCAGCTCCGCGTACCAGCTCACGAGCTCGCTCGAGGCCCCGTGTAAGCAGCAGCAAAACTCCCACCAGCTGCACAGCTCGAGCGAGGAGATTGTCGGCTTGGCCCTGGGTAGCGGCCAGATTCCCGTCTGCGACGCCAACAACTTGCATCCGAGCAGCTGCTTCCAAATCAACTACACCGAGAACTGGGAGAACCTCAACCTGAACATCGAGGCGAGCTCGTCGTCGCACCACAGAGAGTTTTGGACCGATCTCAAGTGCGAGGCCTGTCCCGCGACCTCATCGAGCTCCTCGCAGAAGCAATCCCACCACCACCACCACCACCAGGACATACTAGCGAGCAGTGGCAGTAGTGCCAGTAACTGCAGGAGGCAGCGCAAGGAGGACAAGCAAAAGCGTCGCCAGCAGCACGAACGGGACAGTTGTCCCGACGCCAGCTCAAGGAAGCGCGTGACGAGCCTTCAACTGCCAGCCAGCACCGAAAGCTCGCGCTCCAACTCGACCGACAGATGCGGCCTCAACAACAACAACAACCCACGGCTGGTCAACTTTGGCTCGAGTCTGCACCCTAGTCAGAATACACGGCAGATGCCAAGCTTCGGGGCTTGCAGTCCCAGGGCGAGTCCCCGCATGCAGCACTTTGAGTCCAGGACCAGCTCGAACTCGAGACGACAGCAGCAGCTGGCACCAACCCCGTCATCCCAGAGTTCGAGGAAACTACTGGATCACCGGAGACAGAGAGCCGGCGAGCACTCGTCGCACCGCTCCAAGCATCAGAGGCGGTCGGCCCACAAGCTTGAGCACTGCAAGAGAAAGAACGGCAGCAGGTGCCACCATCACAACGGCGGGCTTGCGCTCTTCAACGACGGCCTCGGGCCAAGGACTAACAAAAGTGGAATAGTGACGAGTGAACGACGAGTCGCGAGCTGTGCTCAGACCAACGGTTCTAATGTTAATAATAGTAGTGGTAGTAATAACAACAACAACAACAACAATAATAATAACAACTCATCGTTGGAAGCGAAGAACGATTCCAGCTCCAACTGGTCGAGCGGCAGCGACTCGAGCTCCGAGACGAGCGAGTTCCAGAGCGACTGCCAGGACGACGAGGAGATAGCGCTGGCGATGCAGGCCGCGGAGATAGCCAACAGGAATCAGATTCGAGCCAAGTTTAGGTGACGGTTACCCCTCTCTCTCTCTTTTTTTTTTCTTCTCTACTTCAATTTTTACTAACGAATGTTTGCTCGTTGCTATGCGCAGATCCTCGGAAGACCTGGTTCACAGGCTATTCGTCTGCATAGCCGGAGTAGCCGACCAACTCCAGACGAACTTTGCTTCCGACTTGCGCAACATCCTCAAATGCGTCTTCCTGATGAACAGTAGCCAGCCAGCGAGTGACGACGAAAAACCGAGCGAGCCTTCGTCTCCCCTGGCTGTAGAAAACGATACGCCAGAAAACGCGTCCGACGTTCCCCCAGTGGTCCAGCAGGAGACAGCAGAGAACGAAGCTCACCATCACGAGCGACCAGAGGACAACGAGCCGAGCGAAGACAGAGGTACGTGGTCTTTGCACCGATATTTTATTGTCTGAGGTATCGACGATGGAGTAACGAAATTTAAAATGGCAATCGTAGGAAGCTGCAATAACCCAGTGACAACCGAGCGGGGTGAGGAGTGCGTGGAGCGAGCGCCAGTCTGGGTCCCGGACAGCGTGGCGCCGCGCTGCATGGCCTGCCAAGCTGGATTCACGGTTGTGCGGCGTCGGCATCACTGCAGGAACTGCGGCAAGGTCTTTTGCGGTCGGTGCAGCTCCAACAGCGTGCCCCTGCCGCGCTTTGGCCACACGAAGCCGGTTCGCGTCTGCAACCGGTGCTTTCTTTACCAGGTGACCCCGTTCTGCGTATCCCCAGTCGCGGCCTCTGCCACCAGCTGAATCGACTGATTAGTTCTCGTTAGGGACGTATCATTTTACAACACGATTTTACTCTCGACGTACAAAAACGAGCGTGCGTTTGTACTGGTTTTTAATGGTGGACCTTTTTTGTTTACCCCACCCGACTCGCTTACATTTTACCGAAAAAGATATGCGTTCATCCTCGCTTGGAGATGTATACGCATATTATACACTATACATACCTTTTTTCGCAATACTTATTTTCTCAAAGTCAATGTATTATAATCATATAGATGATGATAATAATAATTATTATATCAGTAATAATAACGATGCTAGTAATAGTGATTCTGGTTAATAATAATGGTGATGATGATGATGATGATGATGATGATGATAAATGCGTGATAATTTTTATAAAGAAGACGTAGATATTTTAAAAAATCTTTATATAATATTGTAGGCTTTGCACCAATTCTTCTCCAACGTCGTTACGATAATGTGTTCGCAAAAACACAAATGAGCTAATTTTCTAAAACTTCAATTTCCTTGATAGCCTCAGTGAGCGATATGTGTGTGTGTCGTAGGCACATTTGAAACACGCTGCATGTCTTTGTCTTTACTTTTTTTTTTTTTTTTTTTTTCACGCGAGCTCAAGTGTTCGATAAATTTATGAAAAGCTGGGGAGATATAAATTATTGTGTTGCAAACAACTTTGTTGTATCCTCGGCGCCGCAAGAACGATTCCATTATTTTTTCCTATACTTACTCTCAACGTGTCTGCTGCACCGGAATTTTTTTCCGAGATGCAGTACACACGCGTATCTGAACATATCTCAAATCTACAGCGGTAAATCAGTGATACACGAATAAGTTGCATTGAGATGTAATGTTATTTCAACGGCATAACTGAGATACAAGGTTCTTATCGTTGCTGTGTACAAAAAATTTTAACCAGAGCTGGTCTATGTGATAGGCACGCGTGTTTGTCATTTTTTGGAGTTGACACTTGGTTTTAAAAAATTTTAATCGCAACAACAAAAATTCTAATTAGATTATGTATATATATATATATATTATATTTAAGCCTAATATTATGTAAAACTGCCTGCGTTGAATATTCCTTGGCACCTCACGAATGCGTTGTGTTGTGCACTTTTCGCAAAAAAGCTCGATAAAATACAAAGACTCACGTGCCAAATTCACAGGACAATAAAAATACAATTTATTTTCTTGCTGTCGATTTCAAAGTAAAATTTCAATACCGATAACAGCTAGCACTGGATGACCAGTGTGATTATAATTATGGAGAGTGTCGTTTGAAAAATCGAAAACTCAACCAAGGAATATTCGATCAAGTACTCGTGCATTTGGATTTGAAAGACTGTTCTCACGCGTACATAGGTTATTAAGTATTATCATGTAGAGTTACTTTGTTGTAATTTGTTCGACAAGAGTCTTGGAACTTTATATATATTACGTCGTAAAACGACGTCAAAGTGTAAATTCACTACAATTTTATAGCATACGGTTTTCTAATTTCTACATCTACGTTACGGTCATAATATTATGTACGTGCATAAAAATACCTTCTAATCAATTAGAAGTAAAAGTTTTTACATGATTCATTATAAACAAAAAAAAAAATAATAATAAAAAAAAAATAAACAAAATTGTCGTTAGAATCTTAATTGGATGAGAGATGACTGTTTGTAAGTGTTCAATAATTTTGTTGAAAGTCAATCGATGTTTTTTATATATTTTGTTTGAGTATAGAAATTTTTGTTGACATTCCACTTGCCAGTGTGTATGCAAATGCAATACTTGTGAAATACGTAAAAATTATACGTTTGCCCTTACATGTAATAAAATAAAGAAAAGTAGCTTGTTACTTCAAAAACCGACTTGTTGACCAGAGCTGTCCTGCCAAACATCTATCTGGCTTGATGGTGCCCGGCAAGCATACATTTTGTTTGAGATTTTTTTTATTTTCGCGAATGGTAGAGCAATACAATTCCAAACTACTAATGACCAAATTTATGAATGAGAGCTCTCGATATTTAGCCGAATAAAGTTTTATCGTTATCGTAGTGTACACAATGGCAAATTACTGTTGTTTTGCGATTGTTAAACGTAATTTTTCTCGTTCGGCCGGAATATACTAAATTTGTCATTTCCAATCTTATCATTCTCGTTTGGAGATTGGTGGGGGTGTATGCAATAAAGTACTGATACAGAAGAAAAAAAAAAAAGTTACTTATTTTTATAAGCTAATAGTTCCGCTGAATATTACATAAATATTCAAATGGACTTGTGGCATTAGTGTGTTTAGCGAATTTAAAACGTCAATGCTTAAACTGTAATGTATAATCTTGAAGGAATTTTCAATTTCCGTACTATTAATTATGTTTCAATGTAAAAATATGGACCATGAAAAAATACTTGGTAATTTTTTAAAATTAAAATCAAGTGCACAATAAAAAAAAAAAAAAAGATTGAAAAAAATGAAGGAAAAAAAAACACTGCAAGGATTTTGTCTGCGTAAAAGAGATAAATCAAGTTTATCGACAAGTCCGCTACGTAAAGCGAGAATTTCCAATCTTTGTCGGATGACGCGCGAAAAAAAAAGTGTTTGTAATCCATATCAAAGATGATTTAACTGATTGAAATTTAACGACTAGTAGTACGCACTGAATGTAGAGCAAACGTTTGTATGTGTTATACGATCTAACAATAATAGTAATAATAGTCAAGGTGTGTCCCAACAACGGCAATCATGTAACGAAAGAAATAAAAATAAAATAAAACACCACAACGCTGCTGATGAAAATAAAAAAATGGTAAATAATAATGAATGTAAATACATAAATTTTGTTATTGTACGAAAATAAAAGTGTCTCGTTTTTCACGACCATATGAATTTATCTTTCAAAAATAAGAGAAAAATGAAATATCGATTTATCCTCCAAATTTTCCTTCGCGTCGAGGGGAAACACATATGTGCGATCGTCGTCATGGAAGCTCATCAACAAAATCTGCTATAGTCCGCTGCCTGCACCGCAACACGAAGTAACAGAAGGTAGGGATAAAAGTACCGAGTTTTGACAGCTCCGACGACGAGTGTTGAGACGAAAAAAAAAAAAAAAAAAAAAAGACACGACCCCAATCATGATGGACATGGAAATGAACGCCGATCTGGACAGGGTAATTATATTAAAATGGCAAGTTCTCCAAAGTCGCACAGTACGGCAAGGTAAAAACGAAAAATCATTCGTCAGGATGGGGGTAGCGACACCGGGGAGGCCTCCTCGGAGGGCAGCTCCGCAGCTAGCGTCTACTGCACGTTGGAGCAGGACTTTGCCCGAGTAAGCAAGGCCACCACTTATCAAATGACACGAGAGAAAAAAAAAAAATAAAATAAAATAAAAAATACACCCACGACCCGCAGGTGATCGGCGAGATGAAATCTAACGAGGCCCTGGCGGCCTACGCGACCGAGTTCACGCGGATCTTCGAGTCGCTGTACAAGTCCCAGCAGCAGGAGCGCGAGCTCCAGCAAAGGTGCGAGCTACTCGAGGGGGAGCTGTCGGTGGCGTGCGAGAAGATCATCGCGCTCGACGGCCGGGCGGAGAGCGACGCGTCTGCCATCGGCCAACTACAGGCCGAGCTCGCCAATGTAAAAATTCTCCAAAAAACAATTCACATTTCGACTTGAGCTTATTTGATTGGTTGGCGTTTTCTTTTTTCCGTCCCCTCAGAGCAAGGCCCTGGCCGACGCGGCGCACACGCGCGAGCAAAAGGGCCAGCACATCGTGGAGAACCTCCGGCTCTCCGTCGCCAAACTCAGCACCGAGCTCGAGCTCAAGAACAAGCAGCTAGCCGCCGAGGAGACGGAGTAAGTCGACTTTGACGAAAAAAAAAAAAAAATAATCATAATAATAATAATAATAATAATAATAATAATAATAAAAAATATCCCAATGCAACAGGGGGCCGGAAGCGAGTAAGCAGCAGCAGAAGGACGGGTTGGCCAAGGAGCGGGAGCGGCTGGCGAACGAGCTCGAGGCCACGAAGCAGCGCTTGAAGAGCATCAGTGTAACTTTTTGCTAACGCGTAAACATGTAAAAGTTGAAAAGCATATAGTTGGTGGGATGGATGATGGCATTGTTTCCTCGTAGAACTACAAGCAAGAGCTTGAGACGAAGCTGAGCGAAACCGAGCAGCGGGCCACGGAGCTGCAGGACAAAGTCGATCATCAATTCAACGAGGTTCGACGCCCTCGTTGTTGCACGTACTATTAATCGTTATCGGTAAAAGCAATTAAAATTTTCAATGCCCATTCGTTTGACCAGCTGACCAAGGAAAAGAGGGAGCGCGATCGTGCCGATTCCGACCTTCAAGCTCTACATCAGCAGTTCGAGATGCGCCTCGCCGATTTGCAGGTCGAACGACTACCCTATCGTTAATTACAGTACCATATATTATGTTGTTGTTGTTGTTACATTATCCCAATGTTGTTCAAGGCAGCCGAGGATAGTCTCAAAACGATGACGAAGAACGCCGACAAGCAGGAGCAGCAGCTAAGGGAACAGGCGCTCGAAAACGATAAAAGTAATTTTTTTCTTTTTTTTTTTTTTTCCCCCTTTGCATCGTCCATTGACAACGAAATTGTTGCGCTGTTTAGGGAAAAAAGAGATAAAGGCGTTGCTGGGGAAGCAGGCGTCGATGAAAATGGAGGCGGACCGGTTGCAGCAGCGCCACGAGAAGGCCTCCAAGGAGCTGTTCGAGAAGAACGAGACCATCCGAGAATTGATGAGGGAGTTGCATAGGTGAGATACGTGTGCCAACAACACGTGACGCGCTGACGTGGTTTAATCCATACGGTTCGCAGAGTGAAAGAGGAAGCGGCAAAGCTGAGGTCGGACAAGGAGAGCACGTCGAAGAAGCTGGCCAAGGAGGCGAGCTTGAGGAACAGGAGCGAGGAGAGCTCCAAGCGGCTGGACGCGAGCTTGAAGAAGGCAGAGATGGAGATCACGGCCATGAGGCGGCAAGCCGAGCTCGACAGGAAGGCCAACGAGAAGCTGGGCCGCGAGAAGGAAGCCACCGTGAGGAGCAACCTCGGCCTCGAGGACCTCAACAAGAAGCTGGCTCTGGAGACCCGACTGCTGGAACAGACCAACCGGAAGCTCGAGGCCAGCTTGGAAGAGGCCGGCGAGGAACTGAACTTGCTCAGGTGAGCTTACAATGACTGTACTGATGTAATTACAATTCGATGATGATAATTATTGTTTTCCCCCGACATTGACAACAGGCGAAACTTGAAGAATTTGGAGAAGGAGAGGGACAGGTGCGCCATCGAGTCGCGGGAGTTAACCGAGAAGGTGCGGGTGTACCATCGAGTGGTTAAACTAATGGTCCTTACAATGTCGGGGTGTTGTTTTTGACGGGCCAACAGGTGGAGGATTGCGCCGAGGAAGTGAAGATGAGCCGGCTCGAGACGAGCGACTTCCAGAAGCAGCTGACGGACGCGGAGACCCGGATACGCCAGCAGCAGACGCTCTTCGAGGACGTGAGGGCCGAGCGGAACAAGCTACACTCGAGCCTGACCCATTGCCAGACGGAGCTCGCCGAGACCAAGAACCGGGCAAAGGACCTGAACCACCAGCTGGCCCAGTTGGGCGAGCAACTGACCGCGAAGGAGGCGGAGATCGCCAAGCAAGAATTCCGTATGTACGTGTAATCCAAGGCCCGTGGGTGGTGTGTAACGTGATGCCGTTGCAGTGATGAACAAGATGGAAAAGGAGAAGAACAAGCTGGAGACCGGGCTGGCGAGCTGCCAGCGCAACATCGAGGAGCTGCGCCGCGAGGCCCACAAAGCCAAGGAGGAGGAGCGCCAGCTGCGCGCCGGTTTACAGGCAGAGCAGGGGATGGTGCGCCATTTGAAAAATGTACGTGACTTTACGGTGCGCCCTCCTCGCGAGGGGAGGTTGCATGAATATCAATCACAGTAGTCTTTTATGGTAATAAGCGAGGGTGGTCGTTTGCTTCTCAGGAGCTGGAGTGCGCGCTGCACGAGCGGGACTCCATAGGGGCCCAAATGGTGCGGCGGAACGACGAGATCAGCCTGCAGTTCAGCAAACTGCGGTAAGTGCACGATAATCATTTACCCCTGCCCTTGCGAGGGGAAAAAAAAAAACACCGGGTGTAGGATAAAACTACTTTGGTCAACGCAGGGAGTTGGGCGACGCGCTGAGCCAGGGAGAGGCGCAGTACGCGCAGCGGGTTCGCGAGAACCGGGAACTGAAGCTCGAGAACGACGACCTCAGGCGCGAAAAGTCGGTGCTCGAGCGCTCGGCTGCCAGCCTCGTGGAGACGCGGGCCCAGCTGTTTCGGGTGGAGCGCCAGCTGGGACAGGAGCGGCTCAAGGTGTCGGCCCTCGAGGAGGAGCTCGTCAATCCGGCCAACGTGCACAGGTGGCGGAACCTCGAGGGAACGGACCCCGACACTTTTGAGCTGTTGAGGAAGATACAGATACTCCAGAGGAGGATACTCAAGATGTCCTCGGCCACGATAGACCGGGAAAGGAAGCTCAGGGACACCGAGAGGCTGTACCTCGAGTTGCGCGAGGCGGTTGCCAAGCAACCCGGGCCCGAGTTGCTAGTCCGGCTCGAGAACACTCGCCGGGCTCTGAAGAACCGAGGAAAGAAGATCAAGGTAATTGTTTTTTGTTTTTTTTGTTTTTCTTCATTCCATAAACTAAGCACCGTCGTTCCTGAAAAATGTGTGCAACGCCAACAGTGCCTCGTCGCCGAGTTGAACATGGCAAAGCTGGCGACGGAGCACAAGTTCGAGATCGATAAGATCAAAAAGGAGCTCGGCCTCGCCAGGGCCAAGTGCTTCGAGCAGAGGAAAAAATTGCAGCTGATGGCCGCCAAGGCGTCAGCCGAAACGCACGTAAATCCCGACGAGGTCGAGGAGAGACCGGGCAAGACCGTACTCATACTCACCTCCCAAAGACCGGAGGACAGTGACACCCAATGAAGTTATACACGATATAAATAAACAATGGCTTTTTCAATGACAAGTATCCAAGGTTATTCGTTTATTGATTATCTCGTTTGTTGTCCCCACCCATCGTCCCTTGATTCGACGCCTTTGTAGTGAAAATCGAATGGCCTCATCGCGCATGGATGAGCAATAAATATGAGAGGGGCATATAGGTACGGTGACCGATGATGGATCGCCCGATGCACGCCCTGCAGTCTTTCGCGAGACGTACCCACTTATGTGTACCCAATCATGAAATCGTGTCTCTGTTTCGTGACGATTGTCGCTCTACCGATCTTCCTTCGGATCGGCTATTCGCTCGACGCCAATCCCCTGGATCCTCGGAGTTCATCCCTCGATCGCAAAAGGAGCGAAAGTTTGGCGAAGCTAATGACCAGGGTAGCGCGCCAACGCCCCGGAGACTGCTCCCTCGCTGTCGTCTACGAGCCGAGCTACGAGCAGCGCCACGCCCCGGGTCTGCGCCAACTCCTCAAATTCCACGAGCAAGACGGCGGCTTCTCGTCCGTGACGTGGTTACGGTTCGACGACGCCCGTGGACCGATCGAACCTCGCCGCGACGTCTGCACGGACTACGTGAGTCAAAGTTCAGCTCGAAGCGTTCAATTTACCCTCACCTTTGGGGAGTTTCGAAATCACCCTCCCTCCCACCCTTTGCAGATCCTCCTCGTCGAGCATGTGTCGAGCGTGTCTCGGGTTCTGTTCCACAACGTGCTGAGCAACATAGTCGTCGTGACGGCTGACTCACCCTGGGAGGTGAAAGCCTTCCTCAGGAGCCAGCTCGCACGGTCCTACCTGCACCTACTGGTCGTGGCTCACAGCACCAGCCAGAGGACTCCCGTAAGTCTTTTTCCTTGGCTCGTCCCTTGGCCATCCGATATTTTTCCGTTTGTTTTCCCTTCAAGAACGGCACGTACGTCCTCTACGGCCACAAGCTCTACGCGGACGGGAGCGGCTCCAGCGAGCCCCTGCTCCTCGCCTCCTGGATAAACGACAGCCCCACGGTCGAGGGCGTCGAGCCCTTCCCCGACAAGCTGCGGGACGGCTTCATGGGCCACCGGATGCTCGTGTCCGTCGTCGAGAACCCACCCTTTGCCATCCGAAGGCCGTCCGCGCAAGGCGTCGACGACGCGACGTGGGACGGCCTCGAGGTCAGGCTCCTGCGGCTAGCCGCGGCGCAACTGAACTTTACCGTCGAGTTTGCGGAGCCGCGCTCAACTGCAACCAGGTGCCCAATAAATACATCATACAGGCTCTTCCGTGTATAGAAACTCTGACAAATTAATGCATTGCCGATTGATGCCGCACAGTCCCTTGGAGTCGGCCAAGAAGGACGTGCTCCTCGGAGAGTCATCGATGTGTATCGGCGGTGTGTACATGACCTTGGACTTGGCCGGGCAGTTTGACGCAACGACGGCCCACACCGACGATTGCGCGGCATTCATTTCCCTGGCCTCGACTGCCCTGCCCAAGTAATATTACGTGCATAGGAATCGATAAGTATACGTGGAGCCAACGATGAGTGTTAACGGAAGGGAAAAATCGATGCAGGTACCGGGCGATCTTGGGACCGTTTCAGCCTTCGGTCTGGCTGTTTATCTGCGTCTCTTACTTTGTGCTGATGGTCCCGCTGTCGTTCAACAGCAACTACAGCCTCGTGTCCCTCGTTAAGCACCCAAAGGGCCTCAACCACATGTTCTGGTTCATCTTCAGCACTTACACCAATTCGTTCGTCGTGAAGAATCCCCTCCTCGACCACGGCTTGGCCAAAAACTCGACCAGCATGCTTTTAGGTATAGTTGATATAACCCATTGACAATGAGAGCACACGATACTCTTCTTCAGGGATCTACTGGGTCTTTACGATAATCGTGACAGCCTGCTACACCGGCTCCATAGTCTCGTTTATAACCCTGCCGGCGTACCCGAGCGCCCTCGAGAGCGCCAAGGAGCTGCAGGCCTACCGCTACCGCATCGGCACCCTCGACCACGGCAGCTGGGTGAGCTCGTTCAACGTCAACGCGACCGAGGATCCTTTCCTCAAGAAGCTCTTTCGCAAAATCGAGTACGTGCCCAGCGTCCTCGAGGGCATACAGAACGCCAGTCGGGCTTACTTTTGGCCCTACGCTTTTCTAGCCTCGAGGACTTCCCTCGACTACATCGTCCAGACGGACTTTGCCCCGACGTGAGTCATAATTGCACCCTATATACCTCTCGATTCATTATTGGTATAATGGGCATATGACGTGACGTGTAATTTTGTTTATTCAATGGATTGTAAAAGCTGGGCCACAAAGCGCACGCTCATGCACATTAGCGAGGAGTGCTTTGTTCGTTACAACGTCGTTCAGCTCTATCCCAATGGGTCCCTTTACACCAGGTCGATGAACGACTTTGTGCTCCGAGCCACGGAAACCGGTCTGATCGGCCAAATGGTCACCGACATAGACTGGCAGCTCCAGCGCAACACCATGCTCATGAACAAACAGGTCATCACAAAATTATACATGTAGCTCTTGCATATATTTACCACTTTGGTGCTGATCTCGTGGGATTGTTTTTCAATACCATCAGATCACCAAGAGAATGTCGCAAAAAATACAGGTCGTCGAACGAAATTTGACTGTGGAGGACACGCAGGGGATGTTCATGTTGCTCGGGATCGGTTTTCTCTTGGCCCTGGCAGTTCTGAGTGTCGAAAATTTTACCGGTCGTCTAGATAAACGGAGAATCGCCAGAGACAACGCGATCGAACACTTGACTTTCGACTCCATGGCCCGGAGCAACGTTCATTTTTTGCAATTTCAACGAGCTGTGTCTGCAAGGAGAAGCTTGTGAATTCTCGAATTTTTTTTTTTCTCAACATGTTTCACCCCGAACTCTAATTTTGTGTTTGGCTTCATCCTTATTAAATCCATACGATCTACTGTATTTCAATCGATTCCAGATAAAGAAACAATTTGCAATTACATAGCTTTCCATTCACTTTCAATATTTTTTTTTTTTCATTTTTCCTTGTTTCGTTACAAACTCCATATAATATCACGTATGCGAATTAAAATACAATTTGAATTTATGAAGTGAAAAAATGAAGTAGGTAATTTAAATGAAAACTATGAGGATTAAAGGTTTAGGTCTACACGCCTGTTGCTTAGTTAGATCGATTTTATTGACGGTGACGACTAATGCCCCGAAGATCAAGGTCAAGCTATCCAACATTTTCAAGGGCAAGATCAATAGTCTCAAGGGAAGGCCACCGTTTGCTTACAGAGACAACAATATATACTTACTCGTGATCTGAGAAAGGTAAGAATACAAGCGTTGATCGAGCATCGAGAGAGTACACCACGAGGAGGACTCTGAGCGGCCTGAGATTATGTCATCCAGTATCTTTCCCACTGTTTTATAGCCTATAGAACTTTTTTCTTTGCTCTGACATTTATTTTATAAAGCATTCCTACTTATAGGACCACATTACGTTCAATGCCAACAGTAACAAGAACAACAGTTGAATTAACAAAATTAACATGGAATTATATTTCTCACATCTATGTGCTCAAGTATATGTATATCATTCAAAAATAAATTTTAAGACTTTAAATGTTTATAAAAGTACAAAATATTTACATGATACTCGAACTTCCGGGAGCAAACAGCTTCACTTGACGGTCGTACAGCTTGTATAGATACATTATTTCCTCTGGCCACTTGAATTTTAATCTTTCTTCCTGTGACTTCCAGCTAATGATCATCTTTCCAGAAACACTTTTCGAATATCCAGTTTCCAGTGGCTGTACATGTATAACCAGATCAGAGAAATATTCCAATCCAGTTGCTACCAAATTTGGTGGGTAGGCCTCCTGGTCTACTTTGTTTGTATGGCTTGCTATACAAAGTGTCAAACGTGGCTCTACATTGACAAACGATCTCAGATATCTGATAAAAAGCCAAACATCCTGAATATTTAATCCTAAATCAAAAAGGTGGCTTAAATCGTCCAGAATTAAAAAGACTTTTTGAGACGGCATTTCCTTCTTGATCAACACACAATTTTCTTTAATAACTTTAACTAGTTTTTTAACCAGTTCATCAGTTCTGCTCTTTATATCAAATTCCAGTGGCTTACTGAAGTCTAAAGTATTGCTGGCGTCATTGTTTTCTCGACCAATATTTTTAGATATTATTTTCAGAGGTTCTACCACTTTAACACTCGAGCCATGGCATTTTCTGAGATTGTACCCAAACTTCATTCCCACGTTGTGAAAGTGACCAAATGTATTGTGAAACAAAACAAAACAAGTGATGACATTGTTGTTTCTGCAATGGGATGTGATGGCTTGGAGAACAAAATTCGCATTCGCACCATGCTGTTCCTCAATAAACAATACATGTCCATCCATGCATACTTTGTCAATGCCAATGGCTTCTCTGATTTCTTCCATTTTTGTTTGCTGGTTGTGCTAAAAAAAATTTAATACTTAAAATAAATACAACAACGAATAAACAGTGTTAAAAAACATTTGACAACTATAAAAGTACCGCAAAGTAACATTGGTCGATGTATTTGACAAGCCTGCAGGTTAATCAGGAAAAACGGAATATCAACGACGAGTGTCTCATGTGGTAAATAACGCGATTGTTAATAATTTGATACATAAATTAACTGTCACAGCACAAATAATCTTATATTTAAATGCAACTGCGACTGGGTGTAGACTGCGAATTGCAAATCTCGTTTTCAGCTGATTAATTCAAATCGTTCTCGAGTTCTCCACCTTGAAATCGAGGGCGCCACTTCATTGTTATCGACTCACCGCCAAAAAATGATGTAGCTCAAATAATTCGCAAATAAATTAAATTTATATAAAAGAATAGTATAGTACAGTATGTACTTACGTAATTACGTGGATATAAGGTTAAGAATTTTAAAGAAAAACGCTACTTTTTCAAATGAAGTATGTCCACTTGAAGTAAAGTTCGCACCAGTGCTCTCGCCTGGGCGTCTACTGAAGCGGGAGGGAAACGAAACCAGAGACTAGACTTCTAATCTCTGACGAAACGCACGAGCGCACGTTTTGACGTTTTGAGTTAGCGCGCACGCGTTTGGCTGCAGCACCCTGAGGGTGAGATTACATGGAGTCTGGCAGTCTGCAGACTGGCAGAATCGCGCTAAGTTTAAATTATGTTTAAATTATAACATCTCAGAATAATTTAGTAAAATAAAGAAAAAATTGTAATTATTGTCATAACAGAATAAAGGCTTAGTTACAATCAATTTCATTTACAATAAAACGTGTCAAATATTATTTTATAACTTTTTTTATAGATTTATGTTAACATCACACAGACGGTCAGTAGGGTCACTGATGTAACCTGGTATGTATAACAATATGTAACTGTGACAAAACGTTTTTCGTCGCCTTTTTTTTTCGTAAATATTAGTTAATACAGAAATGCAAATGTATTACGATAATTATTTCTTTGCTTACGTAACAAGTTTTAAATATTAATATTGAAACATATTTTAAACTTATCGCGATTCTGCCAGTCTGCAGACTGCCAGACTCCATGTAATCTCACTACTTATCTCACCCTCAGAGTGCTGCAGCCAAACGCATGCGCGCTAACTCAAAACGAACGCTCGTGCGTTTCGTCAGAGATTAGAAATCTAGTCTCTGGTTTCGTTTCCCTCCCGCTTCAGTAGACGCCCAGGCGAGAGCACTGGTGCGAACTTTACTTCACGTGAACATACTTCATTTGAAAAAGTAGCGTTTTTCTTTAAAATTCCTAACCTTATATCCACGTAATTACGTGGATTTGGTGCGAATAGACACAGCGTAAAACAAATACTCCCGGCTACGATGGCCAAGTTCGACTTGACAGCCCGAATCGGCCAGTACTTGGACCGTCATCTTGTGCTTCCTCATCTCGAGTTTCTCAGCGCCAAAGGAGTGAGTACTTACTTATCCATGTGGCTTTGCTTGCTGACAACATTTCTTCGATTAGCGTCATTCACATAATAATAACAATAAAAAATAACCGATGTATTACTATGCCAGAATCCCATATCTATCTGTACATTTGCCCGGCACCAACAATATGAATTTTAATACTTCTTGTAATTGCAGGTTTTTGATGAAAATGACTTGCTACAAGCTAAACTCGACACTCTTAGTAAAACCAACATGATTGATTACCTGATTGACGTTAAACAACAGTTACACCCAGAAATCAATGTTCTGGAGGTGAGTGCTCAAAATTAAAATTTCAATGTCTGTTTTGTATGTTTGATACTTAAGTCTTTGATCTATTTCAGGAGATGAAAAACAGAAGACAAGAAATCTTGCAAGAACTTGTAAGACTGCAGGAGAACGCCAAAGTTATCTTGGATTTGATCAATGATGAAAAAATCATGAAGAAAATGGAAAGCATGCGTGACTCCAAGGCTTTGATCAAATTTCTTGGAGAAGAAACAAATGTCAGTATCAATTAATGTTAACTGAACTACTTGACATTTCTTCCTTACCTTTGTGTTCATCTAATTGAATACTGGTTTTTTTTTTTTTTTTTTTTAGTTTCGGATAGAAATGATGGATGATATTGTTAAACTTGCCAAGTATAGATACGAGTGTGGAAACTATGAAGTGTCAAGTTCATACTTGTATTTTTATATGTTAGTAATGCCACAATCTGACAAGGTAATTGTAGTTCTTAATATATTTTTAAAGATTATTATTTAACTATTGTGTAAAATGTATTTTTGTAACTTATAGAACTACTTGAATGCAGNCCGCACCAATACATACCTCATGACTTAACAAGTGTGGCATCACCTAATACAGCCATATTTTTTAAAAATTACATTTATGAAAAATAATTTTTTTTTTACTCTCTCCATTTTTTCAGCAATGCCATCTATCTGGGGAAAGTGTTTAGTCTTTTGAATCCAGAACTCACTTATAGAACTACTTGAATGCAGCATGGGGAAAATTGGCATTAGAAATCCTTACTCAAGAGTGGAACACCGCTCTTGATGACATTAACAAACTCAGAGAATTTATTGATGGAAATATTGGAAACCCACTGCAACTACTTCAACAAAGAACTTGGCTTATTCATTGGAGTCTTTTTGTGTTCTTTAATCATTCTAAGGGCAGAGACATGATCATCGACATGCTGCTCTACAAGCAACAGTAAGCTCAATAGTCATAGAAACTTTCTGCTTTGAACAAAAAAAAATATATTAACTTGAATTGAAATTTTTCAGCTATTTGAACGCTATCCAGACAACGTGCCCACACATTTTACGTTATTTGGCTGCTGCAGTTATTGTGAATCAGGCAAGAAGACCAGCCCTAAAGGATCTTGTTAAAGTAATCCAGCAAGAATCGTATACCTACAGAGATCCGATTACAGAATTTTTGGAACATCTTTACGTGAATTTTGATTTCAACGGTGCTAGACAAAAACTGCAAGAGTGTCAAAATGTCTTGTGCAATGACTTTTTCCTCATTGCTCTGCTCAACGATTTCGTTGAGAACGCAAGATTACTGATATTTGAAACTTTTTGCAGAATTCATCAGTGTATTAGCATCCAGTAAGTAACTTTTTTTTTTTTTTTTTAACAGTTTGCTGTTAAAATTTAATGATTGAACCTTTATCAAAAAGGATGTTGGCTGAAAAGCTCAACATGGAAGTCGACGTAGCTGAATGTTGGATTGTAAATCTTATTCGCAAAGCGCGACTTGATGCCAAAATTGACAGCAAGCTTGGACATGTGGTGATGGGTGGCCAGCCTGCTTCCCCGTATCAACAGCTTGTTGAAAAAATTGAAACGCTAAGTGTTAAAAGCGAAGCTTTAGAAAGTTTGATAGAAATGAAAGTCAAGGCAAAAAATAACATCTCATGGAACTCATAAAGGTATTTTAATGTTACTTTTTGCACAACATAAGTCAATTAGAAGTTAATGTTAGTGAATTCTAGCTTGTTGTATTTTAATGCGTTATTTTATTACAGATTCTTACGATCCAAAGCCCGAATTCCATAATAAATGTGGAAAAACTTTTACATTTGTACAAAATAAAAGGTTTTTTTACTTGAAGTATTATTATAAAAACTCAAATATGAACTAATTAATGTCACCCAGGCTTTGAGAGAGAAATAAATAAAAATAAAAAGCGATGTAAGAAAATAGATTTTTGGTTTCTTTCTTAGACTATTAAGGCCTCTATTCTTTATTAATCAATGAAGGTATTTAATATTCTTTAATATTTCTAATCTGAAGTTTTATTGCTAGGTTCAGGTTAATCATAATGCATAAAATTTATTAACTACTTTTTAATAATAAAATTTTACTATAGAAAAAATGTGAATTGTTTAATAAAACAACTACTGCATTTATATTGTATTTTTATCACAGCAAAGACTTGAACTATATTTCTCTAACATCAGTCAAGTTTTTGGTAACTTAATTTTATTGGAAAGTTATAAGTAATTTTATTAACAAATTCAGAGGATCTAATTACTGTAGCTAGTTCCTGTGACCATAATCCAAATTTCTGCAACACAAATTAATAACGTAAGGACTTTGAATCAGTTATTACTTTGTAACGAATTGGAAAAAGCATACCTATCCACAGTTTGATATTTCCATTCTGTGCTTTTCAAGTATTCCAACTGCTTTCTCAAGTTCTGCACGCGCTTCAGGTGAAGTTCTCGATTGGAACGTTCGATCTTGCTTTCTGCCTCGAGGCTTAATTTTATTTTAGTCATGAATTTATTTACGTTGGATGATTGGGGACTCTCGGATTCTGGAATTCTTGGTGTTGGTGATGAATTGGCTGATAAACCTGAATTACTCATGTTTTGTTTTGTTTTCCTGAAGCGTAAAAAAAGTACCAGTTTGTTTTTTTTTGTGTTCTACAAAAATAACGTTGTTCGCATAATAACTTTTCGATAAAATCATCAACGACAAAATTCAAGTGCTATTTTAACTGAATTTATAAATGTTTACACATTCAAACAATAAAAATAACATTTAAAATAAATTAACGAGCACACAGAACTGACATGTAAAGCAGAAAACAATATATAACCTAAATATTTTGAGATTCAAAAAATACTTTGAATAAAACGATAACAAAAATTGTTGGTACAGTTATAGGACAATAAAATGAAAAAAGCACAAGGAGCAAAAGGTTTGGGCAAGGAGAAATCGCTGTCACCGAGGATGGGTCAAAAACGGCCAGCATTTAGCTTGAAACCTTACGGTTTTTGCTGTGATAGCCTGAAAGACAAGCGACTAAGCGAAATGCGTCCCGAAGATGATCCTACCTTGAGGGATGTGGGACTCGATGCTGGTGGTCCAACACTCCGAATTTGCATCGAGGAGTTCGATCGACTGCAGCATCATCAGCCTAGCAGCAGCAGCAGACGGCTTTCTCTTGCAGCTGCTCATGCTGACGCTGGTTTGCGCCGTCGATAAAATTATAAATTACTCTGAAGATTAAATTTCTTTTTTTTAGCTCTCTGTGGCACTGGAAATAAATCCTCATATTTAAGCAATTAATTTTTGGCTTACATTTTTTGGGAGTACACAAATAACAGTTTGCTTTTTCCAATTTTTTATCAAATTTTATTTATTAAAGAAAGTTAGGATTATCGCAATGTACAAGTCTTATGTAGATTTTGGAAGTTACGGGAACAATAACAACGATGGCGTTTATTTCATATATTCGTTTTACTTAGTTAATTAAAAAAAAAATAGAAAATAAATAATAGTTATATCTCATTTAACTACTATACAAAAACAATTTGTTAACTACTTTCTAGAACTAAATAAACAGAATTACTTTATATAGAATAAGTATTGTTCATTTAACGCCCAGCGTAACAATGACTTCTACATCAATTTATTATTATGGTTTACTACATGAAAAATTTCAACTTATAAAATGAATGTTATCATCTTTGGTTATGATTGTAGCATATTTTTTTCTTGAAAAGTTATTTACTATCAATTAAATATCATGATAACAAAAATTTGCAATAATATTGCCAATTAATTTTAACTTTGTAAGTATCCTACAATTTTTGTAAAATTTAAAAAAAGTTAATAAGAAAAATCAATGTAACCAATAGATAATAGTAAAAATAAAAATGCATGCTGAAATAATAAAAAGAAACTTGCATCAAGAGATATTGAAATGCTCCCTTTTACTTATTACGCAATTTTTGGCGTTGATAACTTCACAATTATTTACTGCTATAGCACTAGAAAAGAAGCACTGTCTGATACCAATACATCATCACAGTTTTCAGCGCGGTATGAAATTTGAACTTTGCAGCATTTTCATCAGAATATGATACGAGGTAAATTACAATTTTATGTTTAGCTAATATTTTATAAAACATATTCACTATTTGAATTAATCAGATCTCCATAAATTTCTGGTGTTACGTGCAAATTATCAGAGTCAACTGCACTATCACGTGTCAAATTCGAGTTTACAGAGTCTTTTAAATGTTGACTAACAGCAACTGCAGAAGTTGTACAACTTGAACTATCAGTAGTGGTACTACTGATTGTGCTACTAAAATTGTTAATTGTTTTTGCAGTTTGTCCTTCAGAAGTGATAGCACTATCGTTCGAGAGATTTTTTTCATCTGAATATTTTGAACTTTTATCAACAGCACCATGAATCAGTTCTGTATTTAAAATTTCCGCACTTAGTAAAATTTCAGTGATATCTTGGTTTTCAATCAATAAAGATACTTCGATTGGTCCAGGTTGGTTAACTGAAGACAAAAATTTGAGCTGTAATTCCGTTTCCTCTAGGCTGAATTCTTTCAATTTATTACAAGCTGCCATAGGCCACTCTTCAAAATCTGCGGTTAATTTCAAACAACAACAAGTGGCCAGCGCAGGCAATTGAGCAAGCTCTTCTGGTAATTCACGTAAATCCGATCGTGATTCGATAACTGCTGAATTACCATAATCTATGTACAAAACTTCGGTGCCATTTTCATTTTGCATCAGTACTTTGGATCTGTACCACAAGTTATCTACATCGAATTTAGCTGCAAGAATTTTTCCTTTTTCAATTTTCGACACAACGGCAAAGCTTTCAAAATTCTCCATTTTTTCAGCAATGCCATCTATCTGGGGAAAGTGTTTAGTCTTTTGAATCCAGAACTCAGATGGTGAGATTATATGAGTGATAATGCATATATCGTTAGCAACAGAGTTCTCTTGACCAATGGGAGAAAGCCGTTCTTCCGTCGTCTCGTTCGCGGGTACTGATGTAGCAGTAACCGTGACATCTTCTTTAACGGCAACGACCTCATCTTCCACTTGATGAGCTTCAGCACACAGTTTGATCAACTCCAAAGCAACGTCCTTTGAATCGAGAGTCAATTTGACAAGGCAAGTTTCACCCTCTTCTATGACATCTAGCAAAAAAATAGTAGCACCCTCGTCCGATAGTTGGATAAATTTCTTGTCTATATTATTCGGCCAATTTTCAACTCCGTCCGGTTTAGCTAACCGGCATTTGCGTGCGAGTGGGCAAAACTTGGCCAAATCATCTGGAATAATTCGGAGGTCATCGCTAAATGCGGTATTACCGTAGTCGATGTAGCGGACTCTCGTTCCTGCATCTTCATGCGACAGAATGGTCGCTCGGTAATACAAACCATCAACGGAAAACTTAGCGACACACAAGAGACCCTCTTTGATCTCAGTGAGCGAGGGGAACATTGTCGCCATCATGAGTCTATCCTCCATTCTTTCCAGATCATTGACCAACTTTTCTTCTTGCATCCAAAATTCGTCGACCGAAACAATGCTGCTGGTAAATGCTGAACGTGGATCCAGCTGTACCTCTTCGTCTTCCTCATCCCCATCTTGTGCAACGGGTCCGCCAGTCGATACTTTTGGCAGTGATTCACTTTCACAACTGACAGCAAGTTTCGCGTCGATCAGCGTTTTGCAGATACTCTGCTCATCGGGCAAGAATATGTCAATGCGCATCGGAGCTTTGTCGGAGATAATTAGAGTTTCAATTGGCTTGTCCATCAGTTTGTCGTCTAGTAGAAGCCCTGATGTTTTCTTGCACGCCTCCTCGCTCCAGCAATCAGCAGCGTTCACTGGTAACAAATCGAGTTTGCATGGAATCGCGTATCTTCTTATAGATTTCCACTTCTCGGACAGTGGTAGTAAGCATTTTCCACTGTGGTTAATGACGTCTGTGTTACCGTAATCGATAAAACGAACAGTTACTATTTCTTCTGGAGCTACGTCAATCACTTCTGCTCTATACCACTGATTGTCGAAGGTGTATAAGGCTAGACAGAGCGATTTTTCTTCTAGATGAGGGACCGTAGAACCATCGGATTTATCTACTATTACAGCTGCATATTCCTGAAGCTGTCTCTGCATTTCGTCAAGGGAATCGATGTCCTCATCTCTATGGAGCCATAACTGACTAGGGTTGTCCACGTGCGTGACAAATACTTTGTATCGCTCACCTACTCGCATATCAGGCAAATGCTTGTGCAATTCTTCGAACTGCGGCACCTTGGGACCATGCTCGACAACTTTCAGCGATACCAGCTGTTCGCTTACTTTTTTGCCATCCTCACTTAGCTCGACCACCCATTTTCGGTTGACGTTGTAAAATGTGGCCAAAAATACTTTATTCGTTCCGAAAAATGGATCGAGAATTTTCCGTTGCTCCTCGTCAGTGCCTTGAATTTTTACGGTCAACGACACTTCGACTGCCAATTGGTGCGGCAGATAAAACCGTTTATCCAGCTTACGGAAGTTACTCAGGGCCAAATCTTCGGTGTTTCCGTAATCGATTAAGGTAACCGAGGCCATCTTCTCGATTTCTTTTAAACTGTTCACTTTAACTCGATACCAATTTAGGTCAATACTCAAAGCGGCATACATTTCATTCTCTTTTACAGCGATTTCTGTTGACTGTTCGTTTTCCATTTTTGAATAGTACTCGTACATGTCGTCGAGGAGTCGCTGATCTGCAGCAATATCTGCCTCTCTCTGAAGCCATACGCTACTCGAGTTTTTAATATAATTTACCGAGACCTCCTGTGTGGAGGTCAAAATCTGCATACTACAGACTGGGTTTATTTTTTCAGTATTTTGACTGTCGTGCACTTTGATCTTGTCACCATTCAAGTCGAATAATCGAACTACAAGCCTGTAGAAATTAAAAAAAATATTATTATGTAAGCTCATGATATATTAAGAAAGAAAAGTTTCGCATGGCAACGTACCCATTGAATTCGACTTTTTCAACGAATATTTTGACGTCTTTACCAGTAACAGTCTTTTTTAACAAATCGTCTGCTTTTGACGACAGTGGCACATCAAAAAGACGACACTCTATTGCTTGATTCTGCATCAATGCAAGTTGCCCTGGTAATCCCAACATCTAAAGAACAAAAAAGTATTTTAGTATATAAACAATCCTTACTTAAAATATGTATATAAATTTATAAATATTAAGCGTGTTTTAGTAATATTTTTGTTGGAAAAAACCACGTTAAATTATAAGTGTTGTAAATGAAGATGCCTTAAAAAATGTTTTAGTACAGTCAAAATTTGTTTTAATCACCATGTTTTCGTCAGTTGTGACAAAAGCAACAAATATAAAATGCTATATTAGTATTCATTAATTTGTTATCGTTAGATGTAACACTGATTTTGCATGAGAATATGAATGGATTATTAGCGTGCATTCAGAAGTGATTATTATTTGTTTGTTTGTTTGTTTTTTTTTTTTTTTTTTTTTTTTTTTCCAAATTTAACTCACACTATGTAATGCACATTTTTCGTGTTCTCCAGTATCGATGAATCGTACTTCATAGTTTGATTTATTACATTTTATGACTACACTTCGTCTCCATTTTCCTTTATAAAAAATCAAACAGCCCGCACCAATACATACCTCATGACTTAACAAGTGTGGCATCACCTAATACAGCCATATTTTTTAAAAATTACATTTATGAAAAATAATTTTTTTTTTACTCACTATGAATACCCATTATGAAAGAATGAATACTCAAAATAATTTAGATAAACGTATTATGACAATTGAAATCAATTTTTGGTCTTTTTAAAATAAATTAGAATTTGTTCTGTTATTTATAAATATTCCGCGGTATGAGAAAAACGTTGTCACCCCAGTAATACTATAAATTTTAATAGTTTTTGTTGCACATAAAAAGATACGCACCTTAGGATCGTTTTCAGTCATAAAGTCATTCACAAATGATTGGCAAGTTTCTGCTGTATAAAACTGAACATAAAATTTGGAGACACCTTCAACATTTGATACCCTCACAAACAATGTTTGTCCTTCGAGCAGATGTATATCGATTCTTGGTAATTCTTGTTTTTTAACATTATCTTTTACAACGTCTGTAAAACCGGTAATTAATAATTAGATGTTTAAAAATAGATCTCTCGGACATGACATATATAATTTAAGAAGTTATAAAAATTAATACCACTAATTATTTCATTTGAAATTGTAGGTGAAAATTTGGCCAAGTTTTTCTCAACTAAGGCACCAGCAACATCGACATTATTGGCTGTCAGTGAAATAAAATGTTTCTCATTTTTAAGCTCGTGAAAGATACATTCAAATTTTTCAGAGCTAAAGATTTGACGAATTTCTGCACGATCTGTCCATTCAAAGCCTGATGGAGGTGCGATATTTTTTAGACTACAAAAAATGGCTTGTCTTGGTAGAGTTCGAAACCTTTGATCAACTGGATATATTTTTTTAGGATCCACCAGTCCCTTATCTCCGTAATCAATGTATTGAACGACGTGGCCTCTTGGTTTATTAATTTCTAAAATTTCAGCCCTGTACAACACTCCGTCATCCGGAAGGATTGCTATTATAGAAGAACCAACCTATAAAATAAAAAAAAATTAAAAAATCAATTAAATTTTCTTGTGAAATTAGTAAAACATTTTAATAAACTAACTCTTGATATGAACTTACTTCGAGAGGTTGTTGCACGGGTTGCGCATGGGCGTAAAAGTCTTGGATGTTTTTCATCATGTTACGAAATTCTTTTTGTTGACTTTCAAGATGACAATAAAAATTTTCTGGATTGATGTACCATGCGAGAAACACGTCATACTTTTTTCCCACGTCAAGCTTATTATTTAACCATTTTTCGTTCAAAGCAGCATATTTAGGAATAACTAATTTTAGATCAGCTCCTGCATCTCTTCCCTTTCCACGTGTGGGTTCTGTTTCATCTTTTGTATTCAAACTTTTAGAAAACAAGTCATTTAAATGTTGGATGGACTTGAGTTCTTTTATGTAAATTTCATATATTCCATTATCTTCTTTGACAAACTCAGCTTCAAATGGCTTATCATCCAGTTCACATTCTAAAGTATAACTTTCTTCACTTGACCACTCAGATTTAGAAGGGCAAAATAGTCTACAATGTACAGCTTGAGCAGGTAATTTTAAAAATTCTGCTTCGATTTGTCTAATTTTATCAAAGCCAACTGCTTCAGCATTTCCATAGTCTACAAAATGAACAGTAGCAACAGATCTAGAATCAACAGATCTAACAATAGCACGATACCAGAGCTTATCTTTTGAGTATTGAGCAATGCATTGTAAGTCCACTTTAATTTCAGACGACGGTAATGCCTGCAAAATAAAATGAATATCAACCACATTACAACTTTTACTCTAATTCGAACAAATAATTTATATTAAAACTTACCTTGTCACTGTTTCTATAAGCAGCTTGAATTTTATCAGACATTTCATGTAAATCTTCATTATCCGGGCACAACTGCACATAAAAATTTGATGGATCACAGTAATGAACCAATTCACAACTTTTGACTGCTCCAACCGTGATATTTGGGGGTGGAATTTTAGAAAATGGTGTGGACGTTAATTGTCGTGGTATAACTGCTGTAGGCATTTTCGATGAGTCGTTCATTAACTTAATGTCAGTGATGCTCGTATTCTCATCATCTAGAGAGTTAATAGTATTAACTTTATATAAAAATTAAAAGAAAATTATCATTTCGAGTAGATTTTTTTTTCAAAACTACAACAGAACGCGATGATAACTTACTGCTGTGATTTATGTTACTGGTTGTATCTTCTTCATTTTCCCATCTCCCAGACGTGAAACGTTTTCGTTGTTCATCTGGAACATTTCGGTTTTGAGGTCTGCTATTTCTTCGACTGCCGCTACGCGATGAGGTATCAGAGTCTTTGTCGCTTTCATTTTTATCAGAAGTAATGTTCCTGTCAAAGCGAGCTGATAGATTCGGCTTATTGCTCTGATTTTCTTTGGCAGGCCTTCCGGAGTTAAAGTTATTACTGGCAAGACCTCTGTTTGATTGATCATTGGCTCCATAATCTTTTGGCCTATGATTCGGGACGTCCTGAATATCGCCACTTCTGCCATATCTATTGCTAACTTGACCAAACCGTTCTGATTTGTTGTTGACTTCTTTATCAAATCGATTTTTCTGAAGATCGTTTCCGTAACCGCTATCGCTTCTGTTTCTATATAGTTCTTCATTTCCGTTTTCCTTATGGGTTGCACTCGTAGCACTTTCATAATTTTCGATGTTTTTACTCCGATTGTCACTAAAATTTAAATAAGTTTTTTACTATTAGGGCATTTTGGCAGAGCTTAGGTGAAAGCTGAATCCTTGTAAAGTGAATTTTTGCTGCCAAAACCTGCATAAGCTTGCTTATTAATAATAATTAGTTAACAATTAATTTACATTCACGTTTTAAGCTTGTATTTTAATATTAGAAAATTTAATCAACCGCGACCATAAGAATTTCATGCTTTAACTTTTGGATGTTATAAATTGTTAATACAGAAATTGAAACAAGTTTTTGGTTAAACAAGTAAAATGGGGTACATTGAACGCTCGTTAAAAGCATAGCTTGAAGCTTGAACCCATTTAATTCAAAATTTTTACCCTGATTTCATCATTTTACTTTTTGTTCTTTGCCTCTTAACTTGAGATGCTTGGGTTTTCGTGTTAGACCTATGATACAACCAAGAAATTTGTTTGCACTTACATTACTTTTTTTTTTTTTTTTTTTTTTAAATAAAACTAGCTATCACGTTTTTTTAATAAGAACTGCAATCATTAAACAATAATATTTAAAACAACGTACGCATAACTTACTTTTCTGTTCTGGATTGTGAGATAGTACACGTTTGGCTTTGCATAGCAATTGCTTTAAATTCTTCTAATCGTTTGTGAATATTTTTTCCAGTAGTACCTGGTGCATTTATTCTATCATGTAAATGCACTAAGACAACACCAGAAACAATATCCTGAATCGTCATACTTAAATGCTCTTCAAGTACTACAGCTTTAAAATTTTTCACTAGTTCTTGATTAACTAACTGAGTATGAATACCACATAAGCAACATCTGATGGCTTGCTTTGAAAGTATGTCAATCAAGTGTTTCGATATTGCTCGCAAACTACTTATTGAAACGATTTCTTCATTACCAAAATCGACATAAAAAACTTTGATTCGGTTGTTTTGGACAAGTTCCAAAACAGAGGCTCTGTACCTGAAGTGAAAGAGTAAAAATTTAGTCATACAATCCAGAAGTTGATTTATTGGGTCGTTTTCAACTTGTATTTTAAAACTCACCATCTATGATCACCATCGTAAAGAGCAATACAAGGCATGCCATTGTAGATTTGGGAAGGACTTATGTTTTCAGCCGTTCGAGCATACCGTTCAATTTGATCCAAGACTTCATCCAACAACTTAGCATCACTTTCAAGTTGAACAAAGAACTTGGTAGGATCAATTACATATGTTACAAAAACATTTTCAGTTGATCCTTTCTGTAAATTTTTTGGATCACGATATGTCGTTCTGCATTGATCCGGAAAATTTTGACACAATATATCCCTGATGCACTTTCCTTTTAAAAATAAATCACAATACTGAGTTAATGGCGACATCGGACCTTTGCAGACTACAAGCGTCAAGTTTTCGTCGCTGACTAGACCAGCAAAGTAATCTTTCATTTCTTCAGAAACAGTCCAATTCGTAATTCCACTTAAGGTAAATCTTATGGAAAAAACATTGGGCACTGCGAATTCATCTGGTATGTGATAAATATTGGAATATGGCAAAACTTCATGATGTCCGTAATCAGCAAAATAAACCTGAAAAAATAAAGTTACAAAAATAAAAAAAATATAAATATGGCTATTGAGTGATGATAAAATCGTATATCGTGCAGATTATTACCTTGCACGAAGTGTCCCCAGGAGAATTCAATACAACTCTACAAAGCCTATTCGTTTGCGATTGTTTTCCCAAACAAACTGCTCCAGCAATAGGTGGCTCTTGCAGAGGAAGATGATGTTGAGAGTTGATCTTTGTCATCATGGCATCAAGATAACGTATGGATGACAGAAGCTGGACTGAAAATTTGCATGGACCATTTTCGACGTATGAAACTTTAACGTCGTGCACAGAGTTGATTTCTAATTGAATAGCCTTAAAGGCGTTAGTCTTGATTATTTTTTGAATTGGCATAGCAGTGGGACTAACAGTAGAGGCAGCACTAATCTGAGGAGCAGGCGTTCTCCAGTTCTCTTTGACAGGGTGACTTTGTCGCACTGATTGTGCAGGAATCGGTGACTGTACAGATTGCGGGGTAAATGGGCTATAGAAAAGAAAAATTAATTATTCGGTTGACTACGTAGCTAGAATCAAATTCCAAAGTGAGAATGAATTGAGCAATCCTTACTTGTAAAGAGCCATGTTTTTTCTGACCAAGACTTTACTGAAGTCGTCGCCAAAGGCGTTAAACCTGATGACTCTATATAGGCCCACAGTTCGGTACGTGCCAACATATTGGTTGCTAACCAGAATTGAATTGATTGCCGAAACTACGTCTTCATGCCAATGATTATTAATAGGTCCGACTTCACCTAGAATGAAAGGGCTAGCGGCATCGGGTAGCGAGAACAGGTAGTTGGCCTCTGAGATGCCGTCGAGCAGCCGGACGCTGTTCAGGGGCGCGAAGTTGACTATACCATAGTCGATGAAGTGCAGCTTGAGCATGCCATCCGAGCGTATACCAATGACCTTTGCTCGGTGGTAGTATTCGGAGCTGTTGGAACGCCGGGCGCAGCAGCGCGTATTGGGTGGAAAGCTGCTTAGTGAGTTCACTCCGCTGATGGCATACCCAAGCTGATCCTGGATTTCGTTGAGGATGGCGTTCACCGATTGGACTATGGACTCGTCAGTCTGTGCCCAGATTTTAAGAAAGAGTCCATCCGCTTCGACGTGAGTCACGAGGAACGGAAAAGGCTTGTCCTCGATGATCATCTTGAGAAAAATTGATACCAACACTTCAGAGATACTGGCTACTCATGTTAATAAACTGCAGGCAAGAAGCTGCTGTTGTTGTTGCAGCAACAACAAAAGATCTGCCTCTTTTTCTTCTTTCAGACAGCAATGACAACGAGTAACGACTGATAGGTAGATTTTTATAGACCTGCAATTTCAATAAAACAATAGTGAAAAGCGTTGAAACGTGACCTAAATGCCGGATTTGAATAATAATAACCTATAATAACTTAAAGGCGCGAAAGTCGAAAGAAGAGGAGAGAGCGAGAATTAACTGGTCACAAGAGTTACATTTATTGTGAATGGCATATATTAGCACACAGCCGTCTCTATACTTATTCTCTGTTTTGAGAATTTCAATCTACTTACTCATGATGGCTGGTGTGTTAATTTGTAAGTACGCCCACGGCCTGAATGGTGAAAGTGTTTTGTTTTAGCTAAGCATGGAACGAGATCATGATGAATGTTCGCCATACTCGGGTGCAACAATAAAATAAAATACCGTGTGCGCTAATGTTCCGTGTTACAGATCTGATGAGCACGTTATGTGGCATGTGTATAATAATAAATATTATGTCATGCAAAAGACAACTGTACAACTTACCGGTACACTTTGCAGAAAAAAATATATTACTTAATCACTAACACATATACTGTCTTTTTTGCGAACCTAAGATAAGAGTGCAAACTTGGCTACTTAAAACATCATCGAAACTTTCACCGCGTGTACTTAAGCACATGAGCACGAGTCGACGATTAACGTAAAAGAAAACGTTTTACCATATAACTAAGTACCTATAAATGCACGTTTTTGTAGTGTGTCGTTGTCAGGTGTGTGAGTGTGAGGTGTCTCTATTCACTATTGTCTCTAAACTAAATTTCTTAATACCGCCGCGATCGCGCTGCTATCTCCCGGAAAGCTGCGCGCGCTTGTGAAACACTTGGTTTTAAATATTTAAATTAAAATCCCATTTCAATTACGGTTTCATCGTAATTAATTTGGAGTAAATAAAAATTTCCAAATTATAAATCATCATTATAACTCCTCTTGTTTTCATACATTCTGTTTTCTTATTACTTGTTTTTGCCCCCTTTGTCTCTACTGTTCGTTTTCATCTCTTTTCAAATAAGTCGAGAGAAAAGCATCTCCCGTGTCACGAATCAATCGAGATGGTCCCATGTATTTAAATCGATGGACCATTTTTTCGACGACGAATCCAAGTACACAGGGTATAAAAATTTATTTTAACAATTTATTGCTCCAAGCGTTTTTTTTTAAGTGACCGATTTAATATTGATGTACACTTTCTACTCTGAATTGCCCTGCTTTACGGCGATCGACAAGTGAATTGCAATGTCGTTCTTTTGGATTAAGTCGGAAAAAAGTTGTGCCATTTTGATAAACCATTTGAAAAAATTTCCAAAATGTGCGTGTATAATATAGTATAGATACACACACCTTGGAGATGTATATAAGTACATAATAAAGTGCCAGGCAGGAAAGCTGCCCATCCGTACTCTTCGTAAATATACTCGCCTGGAGACTTGGGAGTTGGGTCGGGCGCTACTTTTGCATATTGTATTACTCCACGTATTCGATTACTCGTGGGTAGGTATGTGCTTATACTTGTAACATATATATAGCGAAGAGCGCAGTGCACTTGTTGCACGTATACCTTGTCATAATGTTATACATCGAGAGAGAGAGAGAGAGAGAGAGAGAGGGTACCTATGTACCGGACGTGCAGGCGCCGATACGTACTTCCGGCTGTGCGAACATCTCTTATTATACTTATATTCTTTCGCGCGACACTTTTGAAATTTTATCTCCCTTTTGTACTTATATACTTTACGCATCTTCTTCTTTGTCCTCTTCCCTATTCACTCCTACCTAGTCGCCACCAAGATGCCACATGTGTAAATGTACAAGTATACTTTAACAAGGGGAGCTTGGGAAATAAATAATTTTATTTGTGAATTGCATGTAAAAAAAAAAAAAAAAAAAAAAAAAAAAGTCAAATGAAAAATGTGATTGTATGAAAAAAAAAAAAAACTGATTTTTAATTTTTTTCACTTGACAGGTAAAAATTTATTTTTTCTGATTTTTCACGAAAAATCTTGCCCACGGAATCGTGCCCCAATGGTTCGAAAGCCATGTCAAATAAGACGACCCCATTACTGGGCAAGTGATTGATTTATAATCAATCTGAGACGGTTTTTTTACAATATATGCTAATGATACGATTGTATATTGTACGAGGACCTCGAATGGCTGTAAAAAGTATACATAAAGCCTTTTGTACATCAAATTTATGTAATTCGATTTCTTCAATAGACAAGGAAATTAAAGAAAAAACTTTGTTTGAATGATATTGATGGAAAAGTGTATGATATAGGGAGAAAAAAAAAAAAAAAAAAAAAAAATTAAAATCCATCGAAATCCATTCGATTTCTAATTATTTTAGTATTCCGTTTGACCCACACGTGGATACAAGTTCGAATTTAAATCGAAAAAGTCCCAAGTTGTACAGCACGTATCGGCACACCTGAGCATCCGACTTGCATACTCAATGAGGCACATATTATATACACCACTCATCGTTGACTCTATGTACCTACTGGTTGTATACGTACAGAATATAAGCGAGTAGGTATATTTTATTTATGAACGCGTGTAAGTACCCGTACCTATATGTACGTTATCGGGCAAGTGACTCAAACGCAACAAGTGCACACGTATATAATTATACGACAACGGCCGTATGCGATCGGTCGATCGGACCGAAATGGAAAGCGATAAAAAGTTGCATTGAACAAACGATCAGGTAAGTGTAAACAATTGAGATACACGTATAATGTTTCCATTGGCGTTTCACGATTAATTTGTATACGTGATATACTTACGAGTAAGGGAGAGGATCCGAAGGTATAACGTTTTTCCCCGTGTGAGACCAGCCGCGCGACCAGAGGCAAGAAAGTAATAAAATCTACGAGAGGAAGGGGGGGGGGAGGAGGACATGGGAGCCGAAACGCCGAGAGAGAGTCGCTTCCCATGTATGAATGCTGGTACGCACCCCGCGCTCCGCGGAGCTTGAAGCTCATGCCACACCGTCCCCCATACTGCACCGCGCAGCTATTAGTCTTCTTTCGGCCCAACTCGGAGTTGCGTGCTGCTACAAGTATATTATTGTCGGGTCGCCGCAGCTTTTTCATGCGCTTCCGCGTACATGCCCTATTTTTTTCTATTTTTCCCTTCCCCCAATAGCACATTTTCTCGCTAAATACATACAAATTCCTTTTTTTTTTTTTTTTTTTTTTTTTTGTCATTTGCTCTACATCGTGCTACGATTGTGCTTTTGGCTTTGACTGTTACCGGCGTTGCAAGCTGCGCCATCAAAAGCACTTTTTACGGATTATTTCTTTTTTTTTTCCAAGTTAAAAGTTTATTGGAAATCGTAACGGTTTGTGCTCGCCATGTGAACAGTGTACCGAAAGTGCCAAAAAAAGTGACAATATAAGGTAAATGATGTACGATGAATTTGGGGGGGGAAGAAAAATTGTAACGAAGAAGAAGTGAATCAATTGTAGCCGAAAATCTCGGGCAAACCATAAAAATACCAGCAGCGTACAAGCAACAGTGGTATATACCTACACCAACGGCATCAACGGGAGCATAATATCTTCACTGCTGCCGGCGCGCGCGCTACACTATACGACGCTATATTAGACTAAATTTATCACGAGTCCCACATACAAGTATACACAATATACGTGTGGCATGGTGTGTACGTATACATGCCTCTTCCTTCGACTTGAGTCGACAGCCCCTCTCTGCTGCAGCTTTTAATAATACGTATGATCATGTGTACATGGTATACAGCATCGGAATAGTCACAACTCGATTTTTATATTCCCTTTGCTTTCTCGCTCAAATCACACACGTTAATTTTTTTTTCTTCTTTTTTTTTTCCACCTTTCAATAAAATAAAATGAAAATACTCGCGCCACGAATGACAATAATCAAAGAGTGCATATAAAACATCGAAGAAGAAGAAGAAGAAACAAACGCAGAGAAGACCGAAGCAAATCGTTGGCTTATAAATAACCACACGGCGATTGAAAAATGAGGGCAAAAATCGGTAGCTGTTCATACTAGCTTATAATGCCAATACGGTGCTCCACGTAGACGTCAGTGAATCGCAGTGGATATACAATAATGACATAACTGTTTCCTCCTCCGAAGGGACGACGGGGGCATGCACACACGTGGAAAATTGTTATGTCCTCGATATCTTGATTCCGCGTCCATACGTGGGTATACATAAATATTGTCCCTCGTACAGTATGGGATGAAATATATGATGAGCCGCCGATTTGAGAGAAACCATCATCACCCACACGATGTACCGCCGATAGAAGTTGTTGTTATACTACTACTACCTCCTCAGGAGCAGTGCAAAAACCAAGGGGAAACGAAAAAACACCAAGGAATAATGCACGCAGGCCGGCGTTAATTATAATGAGAACTAAATCGGTTGGTCTTTGCAGTGAGAGTCGGCAAGGAACGGCAAGGCTGACAGCCGCAACGCTGTTGCTCATTGCGATCTACCTGATGACGATGACGACGATTTTCTACAGAAGCAGCGATGCTGGTTAGTAAATAATACACGCAAACCTTCATAGTTGATGCACGTGCAAAGTTTTTTTTTTAATTTCTCTTTGCAACGTCCCAACAATTTATTCGAAAACTTGCGTTACCTTGAAAACTGAACTTCACTTTAATATATCTCCAGTCTTGATCTCCACGTCTCACTTCTATCGAAAAAACTTGCAAGTTCAATATTTATCACCGACGCTATATACTATTGCCTCCCAACTCGATGAAACAAACATTTCATTCGCTAACATATATGCTACAACTCGATCGTTATCCACAATAAGGAAAAAAAAAAACATCGCCCATATATAATGGGTGTTTGTCTCAGCACCTGGCGAGACATAAATTACAACTATTGGCTTGTATATACGGTACATCGTATACTCGGTGGCAATGCGTATTGTATAGGTACGTGCTGCTTTCACGTACAGTTGTTTCCTTTTATTGTGGATGATATAACAGGGGAGGGTGAGTCGCAAAGTTTGACGCGATAACACGTAGCGAAGGGCCGCTGCGCCCAACGGTACGAGGAAAAAAAGGCACCGCTGCTGATGTGGGTATACTTTTTCTCCATCCCCCAAATCGGAAGGAGAAAGAACAGTTGCACGGAGGAGTTGAGTTGAATTTATTTAATCGACAATGGACTCAAGGTCCTACAACGCCGAGGCATAGTGTATATATAATAAAAAAGTAACAAAATGACTGAGCTAATACAATGGCATCAGCCTAACAAAATTCGCATTAATAAATCATAAAAAAAAGGTATGACAAAAATAAAGAAATAAACTTAAAAGGAAGAAAATATACATTTGCAAACTATGGGCGATCAAACGTCTTATCAATAAAGTAAGGGGGGAGATGCTGAGATACCGTGGCCCTTTTTTCTTTTTTCTCCTCTCCTTGCGTGTAATACAATATCGGGAACGCACAATGAGGCGTGCACGCGTACGTAGGTACTTGTGTTTTTTTTTTTTTTTTTTACCTCGTCAGTGCTACGAAAATAACAAGCGCAATTTTCAGCGCCCGTGCTACAGACGACCGAGAGCCACGATTCCATGGAACAGCCGGACAATCCTGAGCCCAGCGACGAGTCACCGGTTTTCGAGCAAACTGCCTCCAACGTTTCGGCCTTTGAAGGGCAAACCGTCTACCTGCCCTGCCGAGTATCCGGCCTTGCCGACAAAGTCGTCAGTACTTTTATTTGTGGCTATATTTCACTTGGGACGGTGGGATGATGACAATACACTTTGTTGCCCGCTATAGGTTTCGTGGATGAGAAGCAGGGACCTGCACATCCTGACGTCCGGCGAGTACACCTTCAGTTCGGACGACCGTTTCAAGCTGCAGCACCTGCCCGGCAGCGACGCCTGGACGCTGCAGCTGGACCGCGTCAAGAAACCGGACGCCGGCCGGTACGAGTGCCAAGTCAACACCGAGCCGAAAATCATGTACGCCGTCCAGTTGACGGTCCGAGGTATCGTTATACTACCGCCTCCAACTATAATTATACATATTTGTTTGCACCTGTATAAGTTTGGTTTTTTTTTGGTTCAAAATGATGCTCAGACCCCAACAAGCCTGAAGGTTACGACGAACCACATTCCCAACAGATCCACTTGAGTAAGTGTACCTACATATGATAATCATTCAATAATATATAATAATATTCAATGAGACGCGTAATGCTGTGTACATAAATATAAGCAAAAGCGGGGTGTGGTTGACGTATGGTAATTTCGGCGATTTCCTTGATTAAGGCTACGAAACTACGGCCCCCGTAGCGGCGATAATGGGACCGCGGGAGCAAACAGTAGCGCCCGGCTCGACCATCACCCTTAGGTGCGTGATAAACTCGCCGTACCAGACTCGGCCGATCAGAGGGGTCCAGTGGCTCCGCGACAACAAACTACTCACATTCCAAGTATAACCGTACACAATTTTTATTTATCACTACTAAGTACCATCAACAAACAGCGTTTATGCCATTTTGTGATACGACGCAGGCAGCCCGAGGTGGCATAAACGTGGAAACGGTCACGGGTATGGCCCAAACCTTCAGCGAGGCGACACTTGCCAATGTGACGGGACACGACAGCGGCAAGTACTCTTGTAGACCGTCGGAGGGTAAGAGCGACACCATTTTCGTCAACGTCCAAGACTCGACGACTTCATCGTTGGGCATTGGTAAGAGTTATTTTAACTTGTTTTTTTTTTTTTTTTTTTTTTCCAATCCTCGTTGTATGTACGTTACAGGTGATCGTACAGAGGCCATGCAGCACGACGCGCCCTACACTTCTCTCGCCGTGGCTCTACGCCCGTGTCTTGCCTCGTTGCACGTGATTTTTAATTTTCTTTTTATCAATTATCGAGGCAATAAATTTTAGACTCAGTATTACAAGCTTGTCAATGCGAGGACGAACGAGTCATCACGCGGGAAACAAATGCAATTTACCGAATCTGCTCCCATACGATTGAACAATGGTGATTCCATCAACCATTCAATTATTTCTTCCACGTGTGTGACCTACGACTTGGTTTTTGTTCAGTATCAAATGGTTATTTATTTATTTGTATCAAAGAGGTACACATGACTAGCAAATAACGTTTTTATTTCAATACTCCTCTCGCGTTGATGTATATCCGTGTCTTGTTTGGGAGGTAATTATATTATGTATGAGATGCTTATATCGAAATGATAATATATATATGCGCAACAAATAGTAATCATACACTTTATTAAAGTACAAACAATCGAAATAGAGTTGTGATTTCTACAACAAAGTAGGGATAGATATAATATATTTGTATACGAAATAAATTATAACGTCAAATGAAAATACAATTGTATTATCATTCGTAATAACTCATGTATAAGTATATAAACTTATCGTAAAAATATCAAAAGAGAGAAACAAAAAGTCAATCATTTGTGTACGTATATCGTTGTTTTTATCAATAATTATTTAACGAGCCTAATTAAAGACAATGTATACCCTAATTGACTGTTTCATGGAAACAGCTGCTACTAGCATATTTTTTTTTTTCATATATTTTTATTCGTAAAACGTCATTTTTGTTATACATTATGCACAAATAAGCATACAATNATTGAACCACCGCGGCTGCGGTAGCGGAAAACGAGCCCTTAAATCTACATCCACGGCCCGACCAAGTCGTATAGGTACAACAGTAGTGGGTATATAATAGGCGCACCACGCGCCCTCGTGCCCCAAGTCTCGTCCTAATCCCGCGTGGCACTAAATCAATCCTCAAAGCCTTACACACCACCCCTCCCGGCCTCTCTCTCACCAGTTAAGTATCAAACAATGCGTAATATGGCCAGGAGGGGGGTGGAGAGAGATCGCCCGGCGGTTATTGAACGCGGACACCCTGCACCCATTATTATTCCCTCGCCATGGCTGTATAGCGTTTAAAGCTCTCTCTCTCTCTCTCTCTGTACGGACGCTACGTAGGTATACAGGTATTTGCAGCAAATTGAATCATACATGTATACATATTGTGGATGGGTGGGTGTGTCGATGAGTCAATGTAATGATAATTGTGTGATAACGCTGTGGTGCTTACCGTGCGATTGGCGAGATTCTTCACGCGGCAGTTCAGCACACGAGTATTTATATTTAATTATTTACAGAATAAACTATATAATATGTCTATACGTGAATAAACGAAAACGAATCAAGCAAAACGTCTTTTTCCTTAATTTAACGAAATACTCTGCTGCGCTGTTAATTTATAAAAAATATAAGTTGTACGTAAATGATGGGGAGTCAAGTTTAACTTTAATTTTTATAGGATTTGTAGGGCGAAAAAAATTTCTGAATTGATACTTTCACGTGCCACCGGATAAATGATTTTTGGAACACTGCTGATTTTACTTTAGGGAAAAAATACAAACTTTTGGCTTACGAGGTACACCTTGTGTAACATAGTTATTACGTGATTGTTATGCGTGAATTCATCGAAACATTGTGTGTAATACTATCGTAAACGTGTAAGTCTACGAATGATCGAACAAAACGCCCCACTGCAACAGCAACAACACAATATGTATATATATATATTTTTTTTCATCGATCGAATTGCCGATCAACAAGTCGTATTAGTACATGTTTTTTTTTTTTCCCATGCACCGTACAACACGTGGGGTACAATATTGTCAATGATAAAAAAAGTTCATCATCGTAACGGTATAACTGTCGTTTTGTCGGGCATCACTGTGAGGAGCTGTCATTGCGCGACCATGTAACTCAGCAAAGTGATCAGTACAAGGAATACCGCCCGAAGCCGGTTGTCAGCCGTACCTCCGTGTTGCATAGCCGCCGGGTGTTCGCCTGAATAGAAAATTCAATGAATGAAATACTACCATACGTGTGTATATATGTATAATCTTATAATATATTATGCAGAGCAACGTAAAATACGGACGAGGTGGCAGCGTCAGACGTGTATATAAATATGATGTGTTATAATATATCATTGTGTAAGTAGGTATATACCATTGAGAACGTGAACCGCAACGGTAGCCGGATTCGCGTTGCTGGGCACGCAGGTGTAATTTCCGCTGTCGCTGAGCCGGGCCTGGGTCATCATGAGCCGGCTAGTCGTGCCGTTCTCCGTCTTCTCGGTTTCCAGGGATATACCGCCCCTAACAGCCGCATTGCAAATTAATGTATATAGTAAACAAGGTAAAATAATAGTTGACGATGCGCTGATGGTCAATCAGAGTAAAAATAAAAAAAAAAATAAAATAGTAGTAAGTATTTTGCGATCGGCACCTCGGACTGTCAAAGTCGACGAGAGAAGTGCCGTGGAGCCACGATACGCTGCTCGGCGGGTGGCTTTGCACGTTAACCGTGCAAACGAGGCTTATGGTGCTGCCTTTTTTCACGTGCACGTCGGGAGGGTTTATTACCGCCTGGGCCGCTGAAACAGTCAATCATTGTCGAGCTCTCGTTACATCACGGCCATCCACTATAAGTATACATTTTTCCCCCTCCCCCCCCTATCTCTCGCTTTCATTTATCACACGGTCATATCCTATGCTTAGGTATTTCATGTGTCTCATCATCGACGCCGTCTCGCAACATATATATCGCTCCATCTCTTTCTCTCATGCCTTTCATCGCCCGCATTATTATTATAGTTTGATGAAATGATCGAATATCGCATAGCAGCAGCCCATCATGGATAATATATAATATGTATTTGATGATATGCCATTTATACAAAGCCAGTCAGTGATACGCAGCTATTTCATTATATAACGTATAGATGTATAAAAATAAGCTCATCTGCAGCCTGATGTATATCAACTTATCATAGCCAATGTGCAACACGCTGCGCTTGACATATATACCTGTTACTTATTATTATCATGATCGAAGCACGCTTACATAAATATGATGATTCAACAGAGGTATAAAAACATGAAATATATTGAGATGTTATTTATGTTAACATACGTATTTATGCATGCATATAGGTGTATAATTATGGTGTAGGTATACCATGCGATGCAAGGGGGGTAGATATGCGCGTGTGTGTGGGTGTCATATCTCTATTTCTTTTCTAGCTATGCTAACCTGAGTGATTGGAAATCCGGTGATATTTCCGCTTGAGTGCATTCACAGCGGGGACAGGGATACTTTTTTCTAGAACGGGAGCACACAAAAAAAAAGTATATATATATATATATATCCTAAATATATAATATACTTGAGTGTGCGTATACACAGCTACACATGTAGGGTGTGATGATGATATACTTACTTTATATACTTTTACAAGTATCTTTTTACTCCAATACGATGAAAAAAAAAAAAAAAAAAAAAATTCAATTTTGCTTTATCATTTCTAAGACAGAGGTGGTGTGCTCTAGTGCTGAAATCGTGCGTACATCTCTATATATATACGTTTATTTGTATACATATATCTATATTGTATAGGTATAATTATATTATAATATAATTGTTGTAAATATATACACATGCGAGGATTGCAATAAAAAGTTTAGTACGTGTGGGTGTGTAAGGGGGGAAAAAAAAAAAAAATGGAAAAAGCATAGGTAACTAAAAAGCACCGGCCCACCTTCGACTCGCAGGGCGAAAGCCAAGTTTAATTTAGGCTCCGTGTTAATTTGACACTCGTAAACTCCGGCGTCTCGGGGGTGTACGTGCACGATCTTGAGGGTCCACTCGTCCGACATCTCGGGATGCGAGACCGAAAACCTCTCGTCCCCGGTGTAGGTGTACACCGACGAGGTCAGGATGTGCAAGTCGGGATGCCGAATCCAAGATATCTGAAACTCGCCAAAATATATATAGCTCTCCGACCACAACACAATACATCCATGCAATTAATTTTACTTTAACGTCAATTGGAACCTACATATACATATAATTAAAGAAAAAAAAGTGGTATACAAGCAGATGAGCCATGCACGGCAATTTTCCTCCCTCTCGGGCGAATAACTAAAATTTAATTGAACCACCGCGGCTGCGGTAGCGGAAAACGAGCCCTTAAATCTACATCCACGGCCCGACCAAGTCGTATAGGTACAACAGTAGTGGGTATATAATAGGCGCACCACGCGCCCTCGTGCCCCAAGTCTCGTCCTAATCCCGCGTGGCACTAAATCAATCCTCAAAGCCTTACACACCACCCCTCCCGGCCTCTCTCTCACCAGTTAAGTATCAAACAATGCGTAATATGGCCAGGAGGGGGGTGGAGAGAGATCGCCCGGCGGTTATTGAACGCGGACACCCTGCACCCATTATTATTCCCTCGCCATGGCTGTATAGCGTTTAAAGCTCTCTCTCTCTCTCTCTCTGTACGGACGCTACGTAGGTATACAGGTATTTGCAGCAAATTGAATCATACATGTATACATATTGTGGATGGGTGGGTGTGTCGATGAGTCAATGTAATGATAATTGTGTGATAACGCTGTGGTGCTTACCGTGCGATTGGCGAGATTCTTCACGCGGCAGTTCAGCTCGGCCGTAGTGCCGACGATGGCGGTGACGTTGCGAGCCACGGTGTCGTCGAAGTATGGCTTGTCCCGCAACTTCGTGGGGTTATTAAACCCCGTAAACCCTCCTGAAACGCCAAAGCAACGTATACATAGAGAGGAACTACGTACAAATATAAGGCACAACCAAATCCCATTGGTATAGGTAAAAAGTAATTTAATATAATTTAATCAAATATATTTATGTACCCACGCTTTACGTGGGCCAAAAGGGGAGGGGGAAGAATTTAGGACGACGAAATGAAGCTTTTTAAACCCCTTACATCCCTGTATCCACACGTATACGCACATAGGTATAATATGTATATACTTCTCTCTCGATTACTTTCAATTAAGCCATCGACGGATTATTAACGGAACGGCGTCGTCATAATAGCATCGGGTATCATCATCATCATCATCATCATTAAGTTCGGCCCGTACCCTCGTTTCATCGAATTTCTCGCTGCCACTTTTCTATCCCTCCCCGTCTCGACGCATCAAGAGGGATGAGCTCGATCGAGACACCCATCACCATTGTATTTCTTTTCGTCACCCCGTCGCAGGGTGCAAGTATCAAGTACATAATATTTATATTGGGATGTATATATGTATATATGTATATGTATATGTATACATATATCAAGCGAGAGTTAAGCTCTCCAAGGTACCTATATGTAGATCGGTTAATTCGGTTTGGGTGATTCGCATGCAAGCGGGTACACGCGGCAACTCTTGAAAATAATAATTGAACTCGGACGTACAGCTCCCTCGCGCCCTTTTGGTGCCCAACAATATAAGTATATATATATATATATATATATATATATACTTATACATGTGGGTACAAACTGTTGGTTTCGGAGCAAGGGGGCTACCCGGAACCCCGAAACTCTTGCGGGAGCGCAAGTTCGAGCCAACGGCACGTGAGCAATAAGCAAACTTTCTTGCAGAGCCCGCTCCACAACCCCTCAATCCCCAAGTACGTGTATATATACATATTTGTACATGAGGTACAAATACCCACTCTTTGGTTGTTTCTCTTCTCGTTTCGCCTCTGTTCGCTTCGAAAGTTCATTTGTACGAAAAGTCATTCCTATATAACAAACACACGTCGTTTGTGTGCATGGCGAGGGCCGTTAGTTCGCGCACGTCAATGATTGGCTAAATGTACAAGCGAAAAAAAAAAAGGGGGGGGGGAGAGCTAAAAATGAATTATTATCATCCGAGGGTGGAAGCAGTTGTGGAGGGGGAGAAGAAAAAAGCAACGAAAAGAAATAGAAGAAGAAAGAAAAAAAAAAAAATGGCTCGTCATACCCATGTTTCTCCTCGTAGAGTCGAACGAGTGCGCGTAAGCGCCGTACCGATGCTGCTGGTGGTGGTGGTGGTGGTGTTGTATACAAAAGCTCCCGAGAAGCACCAAGACCACTCGGATAAATCTCACGGGCAACATTCTCGTTCACAGGCCCATGGTTGCTTCAATCTGCAACAACAAAAAATGAGAGACAATGATAATAATAACAAAACGCGAGTGATTATATATCCTCTTCCCTCCGCCTACGATTTTGATTTTCTCTCTTTATTCGGGATTTGGTCGCTACTCGAGCCAAGATATAGTAGTGTAAACAGGGTCAGCCACGGCATAAGGTACAACAACAACAACAATAACAGGTATATATGTATATATCTTAGAAGATATATATATATATATATGTATTATATAGTGTATATTTATATATACAGACGAAATTAAAAGGCACGTCGTCCGTGGCCGTCGCCGTTTCGAGGGGATGAAGAGGAGAAGAAAAAGTTTTGGTGAAACAGGAAGCGTCGACGACGATGGAATACGCAAATAATGTACAGTATAAGCATATAATGAGAAAAAGCTCAAAAGTTTTTATGGATGGCTGGTGTGTATGTTTGTATATATACATATAGGAAGATATATGTGTATACATTGTATTATATATGCAAGAATGATATCGGCGAAAGTTGGAGCTCGTAAGGACGAAAGTTGTTTGGGTGACCGACGGGCGAGGGAGGAAGTACATATACCTATACAGATTCATACATATTTAAAACTTTTTTCGAACGAGCTTGCATCATATACGTGTACAAGGACTTGGGCGTATTATAAACTATAAGCATGCACGTGTACCGACACGCAGGATACATGTGTAATATATAAAAAAATGTGTCTTTTATTGGGGGATGATGATTCATGGTTGGGAGGAGGGTAGTTGTGGAGTGATAAGTGTATCATCGATGAGGCCGAGTTCTTTGGCTGCGGTGTTTAAATTGAAAGCACGTCCCATCTCACATCCCCATGCATCAGGAGCTCCTATACCTCCTAGTCGGAGAGTTGTCACGACCGAGGGGGGAGCAAACGTATATATATATATTAAACGAGGTCAGTTGTGTATCGCCTATTCCATACTTTCTCACTTTCGTCATCCCCCCCATACCTATACGGCCTATACGGTACATAAATATACCTCACAACTCACCCTCCCCCCTCATTCCTCTACTTTTCTGCTACAAGTACACGGGTGTGTGTGTGTGTGTGCGTGTGCATCGGATGTTCCTCCTCGTATAGGTGGGCGGTGACTTTATTTTTCTTTCTCCTCGTGTCACCGACCATCAAGTAAAGCCAGCCTTCTCTCTCTCTCTCTCTCTCGCTTTTCTTCGTAACGATAACAATGACGAACGTAGATATGTATCTCTCGTATCGTCCTCTCCTTGCAATTTTTTTTTTTTTCCATCAGCCTACCTATAAACATAAACTCGGCTCTCTTCACTCGCTCCTCCTATATATTTTCCAACCTTTTACTTTTGTTTCTTCGGGCAGGTATACTTTTGTGATTTTTGTTGAAATATACTAACGATGAAATGAACGTTCTTTTTTTTTTTTTTTTTTCATACAAAATGAAAAAAAAAGTTGGTTAAAAAAAAGAAAAAGCCAAATAATTTATAGGAGCCGATGCAGCTAGAGCAGAATCATCTTGAGTATGAAAAGCATGCGGTATCTGGTATCATCACATTGTGCCGTCAAACGAGAGACATAGAGGGCACCGAGGAGGGCATACACCCATATAGTACACCGTGTAGAGGGAAGAGCTTTGACACACTCGACAATGTCTTATACATAATATGTACGGGCATGCATGCATATACACGCGTAGGTTGCGGATCGATGCCGAATAATTGATAGGTGGATGTTATTTGAAACTGGCCCAATCATCATCGCCGGCAACATTGTCGCCGTCGCACGCTTATCATATCATACATGCCCATCCATACCGTCTCTATACTTACGTGCTGCGATAAAAATTTCAATACGTCGTTCCATCCATAAAAAAAAACAATGACGGGGATTTATTTAGCAGACGTAGATTCATGTATAATAATCATCTTTTGGAAGTATGTGTATTCTGTCGGAGTTAGGAAGACAAGTCTACAGCAATAAAAGATGAGAGAGAGACGAAAGAAGAAGAAGAGGAACTGCGTATAAGAGGGAGAACTAAGGATGAGACGTCCGAGTCGTGACGAGGTATATGTGCATATATATGCGTATATAGTAGACACTGCACGTATTATGCATACGTGCGCATGTATGTGCATGGTGATAAGGAGACTGGGAAGAGAAGAAGAAAAAAAAAAAAAAAAAAAAAAGAGAACAAAAGAAGAGACAGGGCTAGAGATGACAATCGTGACATAATTAGAGGAAGGGAGGGGGGGGTTGGCGAAGCTGCATTGGCGCCTGCTCCCGGCGCTGAGCGCGAAAAGGGGGCCACAAGGGTTGCAGCAACAGCTGCTCCCTATATACACCCCCCCCCACTTTTCCCTCCATGCATATACGTGTTTATATATATATACCGTAAAGTCGCGCTAGGGCTGTTGTGTTGTACACGTATACCTGCAGGTATGGGTACGCTGAACAAGTCACCATTAATTAAGTCGAGTCTCCGTCATGAGCCCCGGTGTACCTTACACAGAGGGTGTATTCACATCCGCCCCATCAGCAGTCGAGGAGAGGCTAAGTACAGCCAGAGTCCGGCTGCCGAGCGCAAACAGTCCCTCTTTGTCGTGTTACCTTTTTTTTTTTTTTTTCTCATTATTGTAATTTTTTACCATTCCTCTCTCATATATACGTACCATATTAATACATCATTGTAATTATATCGTCGCCAATGATAATAGTATATGTGTGTACATGTATATATTTGTCTAACAAGTCAATGGGGTGACAGATGCGTCCACCTAATCAAGTCCCTCCGTGTGCAAGCTCGAGGAGAATTCGCGAATGAGCTTTTTTTTTTCCGCGCTATGCCCGTAAAGTTTCACCCGCGTATTATAATGAGGTCTCTGTATATGGTGTGCCGACGTGCACAGAAAGACCGTGTATACCGTACCGTACCGTAGAGTTAAAAGGGGCCGAAACCAAGCCGGCGGTCTATGTATCATTATGTCGTGAAAATTTCCCTTAATTTATTAAATTATATGAATGTACACAGTCGTCATTAATACTATTATTATCATTCATTTGAATTCCCGTCGGGGGATAATGCATCTGTCATGTAGGTAGGTATTGTGTGATTTAAACATTGCTCATAAATCTTAATGATGATAATAATAATAATAATACAACTTGGTGCGCCAATTCACGAAAACCTGCATGCCTCGATCCGTGCACGTGTCAGTTACTATATATACACGTATACGTATATATATTTTAATACAAAAATATATATATTTATGTGATGGGTATATAATAAAGGTTGATGGTTTGACAATGATGTGTGGTGAGAAAAAGCTCAAAAGTTTTTATGGATGGCTGGTGTGTATGTTTGTATATATACATATAGGAAGATATATGTGTATACATTGTGTAAATATATACACATGCGAGGATTGCAATAAAAAGTTTAGTACGTGTGGGTGTGTAAGGGGGGAAAAAAAAAAAAAATGGCAAAGCATAGGTAACTAAAAAGCACCGGCCCACCTTCGACTCGCAGGGCGAAAGCNTAATAAAGGTTGATGGTTTGACAATGATGTGTGGTTTGAAAAAAAAAAAAAAAAAGCATCTCAAAGCACAAAAGGTGTACATATACAAGGCTATAAGTAAAATATCTGCGGAGCTTACAATGAGAGGTGCAATAAAAGATGCAAAAAGGTTGGTAATATTAAAAAGACTGACCGTTGTTCTGGCATCACAGCGCTAAACTGTTGGTCCTTTGCGCTCGAGCGGCCAAAGTAGAGGTAACAGCAAGATCAGCAACAACAACAAAAACAACAACGAGTCGATTCGCGGGTAACGAGGCGGAAGGAGATCCGCGGGGGTAGAAGGTGGTCCTCGAGGGCATCCTCACCGGGGTCGCGCGGCCGAACCATCTGAGCCACGTATATACGGTCTCTGCAGTATATATTTGAAAACGAGAGATGGGATATGTTGTTGTATAGTGGCTGGGAGGTAGCAAGAGCACTGTTACCTATGTATGTATGTGTATATATGTATACGCAATTAAGGACAAAAGCTCATATTGGCATCCTTGAACGCGAGGCGAGAGAGAGAGAGAGAGAGAGGAGTTTAAGTAGTTACCGCAGCCAAAGCAGCCGGGCGCCAACTGACTGCTACACTGGGCCACTGCTCGCCTGTGCCGTTGCACACACACACACACACCTATACGTATACGTATACGGATCTCGCGGGGGGGGGATGGGGGTGCTCCTTTCTGCTACGCTTGCGTACAGCAGTGGCACGCGCGGTGGGCCATATCAGCTATACGGCAGCCACCCCCGTCACACACCCCTCCTCTCGTCCGTGCATGCGTCGTCCCGTGTCCGAATAACCCTTCCCCGGTGTTTCTCTGTGTATGTGCGCGCCACCCTCCACCCCCGCCATATAGGTGCATAAATACGCTCCCTGCCCTCGATAAGCGCATAATATTCTTTCTCGCTGGCTTTGCTTTGCTCCGTATAGTATATGTATATTTGCGTGTGTGTGTGCGTGTGTGTGTGCGTGTGTGTTTTTACCTACTGCATATTGATTATAATTTTCACGCGTCCTTTTTACCCCATCTTATATTTTTTTTATTTTTTATTTTTAGTTTTTTTTTTCCTTTATTTTATTCGTTCGGATTTGTCGACGTATCATATTTATCCTCACAAGTATATTCATTCGAAAATATTATTCATCGAAATCGCCATCAGAGATTATTCCACTTTTCCAACAATTAACTTTTCCATCGGCACACCCACGCGCGGCTCATTATCACGAAATCACATACTGTTTCAATATAATTATATATTGTAAGCCGTGCAAGCTCATAAATACCCATAACACCCCCCCCCCCCCAACGGCATATAATATACGTGTATCTACTGTAAACACGTGTATATTATACACGGCACGATATACGCAACGCGTGTCGGGCAACTGTTGATTCTATATCGTATATATACATATATAACATACATCAGCCAACGAACGTGTACATATTATAACGTTTAGTCTAGCAGGTAGTCCCATCCCTCCCCACTGCAACCCGTATACGTATAGGTACACACGTGATATAATGTACATATATAAACACACTGGTATAAGTTACTTGTACTCCCATCGGGTTACCTCGAGCGTTTAATATCACGCGATGTTGTATATACATGTAATCGAGGCGACTCACAGATTGAAGTGGTACCTATACACCATATATGTATGTGAATAACGTAGGCATAAAATCAAGTCAAGTATTTTGCTCCCTCCCTCGGGGCTGGATAGAAAACTAACTCGATAACTATTTTATGGGAATAAAAGAAAGAAAGAAACAATCTGTTGAGAAAATAAAAAAGAGTGTAGAGAGAGAAAGCAAACTCCCTAATGATGATCGTCAACAGCGTCGAAGAAACATTAGGTCTCTAGAGCCCTATGTACACGTACCTTATACACACGCAGAGTTTGTTTGCACCTTAACAGAGAGTGCGTTTGTATAACTGCCACCCTATATATATATAATATGCTCGCTTACTGCAGTGCTTCACCGGGGGTGTGTGTGTGTGTGTACGGGTGTAGATACCGTTTGAGCAGGCGAGCTTGTTCTTATTACGATTCGAGTAAATATTTGATCAGGCTCTCATCGCTAAATGCTGACCTTTTGCCGCGCGCGCCTTCGCCTATGAATTATTTCAGTTTCACGAGCTCTGACGCTGCAGATCCAGAGTCCGGGGGCGGGGGGGTTGTAGAAAAAAAAAATATAACGGTATACCTGGTGCGGATAAATGCGTTTAATGGGTATAATTTTTGAAGCTTAGAAAGGATATTCCTACTGCAACTCGGTTTCGACTCTGTATAATATAGCTTTCAAGTATAATATACTGTGGCCTTCATCGATTATTATCGCATGCATATGTATAAATATATATATATACACGTGTTTTTTTTATCCAAATGCTCTCTTGTTGCGTAATTTCAGATTTCACTACATCAGATACGCGTTTACTTATTTTCCCAGAGCAAAAAAAAAAAAAAAAAAAACATCGACGCTCGATCGCGAAAGTATGTGCCCACAGTAGTACGAGTAAGTGTTTGGTCAGACAATGGTAAAACAAGGCTGATTTCATTGTATGGAATAAAAAATGCGTCTTTATGCTTATTGAATTTAGTGATGATGAATATGTGTGTGTGTTATTACCAATTACAAATTTTTTATTTGCCCCTGGGTATGTGCATCGATCGATTACCTGCAAGTGCCTATGTACGTAAAAAAATGTACCAGGTCACTTCGAGACGAGTTACTTACTTTCTTTGTATTTTTTCTTGAAAATTTTTAAACAAATCCCTGTACGCATTGGCTGATGATGGTGTATCATGATGAGGTAGAAAAAAAAAAAAAAAAAAAAGGAGGTAGGCACGTACGGTTGTTGGTGAAGCGCTTTTCTCTTTACTCCATATTATGTACCCGTGTACACAACAAGAATAAGGGCTGGGAACGAGGGGTAGGATAATCTTACATTTGTAGTACGTACCAGCTACCCACGTATATATGTATATTGTCACACGTGATGTACCATTTAAATACGTACGTGGGTACTTGTATGCACTCCGCGTCCCCTATATGTATTCTATATCCCCAACCCACACTCTCCCGCGTTACGCTATTATTTGCGCACCTTTTATCCATATACACATCCATCCGTATAATTACTGGCCTACTCCTTTCGACACACTTTCGCTCTTTCGCCCGCACCCCCACCCCCCTCTTACACTTTTTCCTTTTCCCCCTTATCGATTTTCCCCATCTGCTCTTTTTCCGCGCTACAGGTCATTTACGGCTGCAGACGGTGGCTATTATCCATATCGGCCCATCTCCCTACTTAGTGTACTTGGTCGTGCACGTACAACATCGATCGATCTCTTTCCCCATTATCTTTCGTCCCGCTCGAAAATCTCCCACCACCACCGGTTTTTTTTTTTTTTTTTTTTTTTGCATCATCACCGCCACTGCGATCGCGACGTATCGTGTCGCAAAGTGACACTGTATACGACATTGTACTACTCGTGCGACTTTTGGAAGAGTCAATCAAACCGGAGAATAAGAAAGTTGTTACGAGGGACAAGTGTCGAGGGGGTGTTAAAGTACGAAACAAGCTCAGGACGGGGGTATCGGGAGGAGGGAAGAAATATCCAAAGAAAATAGGCAAACAGTTCGGAGTCGAAGAGAGAAAAAGAGTGGCGGGAGTGGGGGGGGGGGACTAGCCGACACAAACGAGAGAGAGAAAAAAAAAAGGGAGTAGGGAGCCGGGCCGTGGGTGGTGGGATGGCGCGCGCGAGTTACGCGTTAGCTCGCAGGGGACCAAGTTGGCGAAAGGACGCGCTGCCGCTGGGAACGAAAGTGGAGCCTGGAAAGCCAAGGAAGCGGAAAAAGTGTTTGGCGCGCGCTTTTTTCCTTCAACCCTCCACGCGTGTGTGTGTACCAGCTACGACCGTAAGCACTTGTGTCGAGTGTACGCGGTTGCCTTTGGATTCCGTGTGGCTGTTACGGTTCGGGGAAAACTTTTGCCGCGCACCTTTTTCTCCCACCCCCCCCCTGCGCCCACTCCAGATCCAGCATCCATGAACAGGTTCGTGTGACTATACGTGCGTATGCCAACGGATATAACGTAAAGAAAAATATAATTTTGCCGTTTTTTTTTTTTTTTCGTGATGGTTTTCCAGGTGGTCGCAATCACATCGGCGCTTAGCCCTCTGCTATTGCTACATTTTTATGCTCAACGCGAAAGATTGCAACACCTCGAGACAGGAGGAGGGCCAACAGCGGTACCGGGACAATCATCGGCAGGATCGAGAAAACACTCCCGAGGAGTGGGTCGTGCGACTGGAGGGTGGCCCGGAGGTAGCCTCGCTTCTCGCGCTTCGCTCCGGCTACTCGCACCTCGGACCGGTAAGTCTGTTACCGATTTTCTTTCCTTGTTTATTTTCCTCTTAACAGGCATGCAAACACGTCAAAGCACTCCTTTTTTTTTTTTTTTTTTTTTTTTTTTTAACCATTTTAAGCTGTTGTTTCTTCAATATTGAAAAATTCCCACTCCATTTGTCGATCGACTGCATTTTTTGAAATTGATTGACCTTTTTTTTTTTTTTTTTTTCTATCACCGATAAAAAAAAATACTAAAAGCTTTTACTTACTCCCTGAACTCGCGTTGTTACACACCAATTATCGCAGATAACGATCGCACCAAATCCCTTGATGTACACAACTCCAGCTAAGTAGATATAGATCCACCGCGGCGGCAGCATATGCTTCAATGTGAAAAGCTTCGTTGATTTTTGTTCCAAACATCACACGGCATCGGTGAATTTGCATCAGCATATCCATCGCATAAATGTATAATTTTCTCGATTAACAAAACAACAAAAAAGAGGAAAGAAAAAAGTAGCCCTCACACTTGGCGCGGGTATAATATAATCAATGAAAAACGCTCGGCTGTATAATTCATCCGTAGACGAGGTGGTGGGGGGGGGGGCGATGGAATCAGAAGCAGGCAATCCTTCCACGTACGTGGGTAGGTATGTAAGGGGGTGGATAAAGGGCTGTACGGTATACGGGGGGGGGGTGGTAGTTTGATTAAAGTTACCGAGTCGGGGAGGCGCTTCGACAAGTTAACTCTCGGGGATTAAGCGGCCAAATCGGGTGTCGGACAGTTGAAAGTCAGATTGAAACAAATGGCCCGGCTATGAGGGCCATCCCTCATTCGGTAAACTCGGCGTAACTTCTCTCTCGATATTGGCTCATCTACATCCACCTCTCGTCCATTCACCCGACGTTCAATTGCAAAAAAAAAAAAAAACAAATCGTGGCCAATTAATATACTTTTTCAACTCGCTTGCTCTTGTTTTTTTTTTTTTTTTTTTCCTTCTTAAATTATCCGGGAGACTGTAAAACACGACTTTTTTTTTTTTTTTTTTTAAACGATCGATACAAAGAAAGCAAAAAAAAACAACCCGCCAAGATACAATAAAGAAAGGAAGAAAGGAACGAAGCCAAACACACCCACAATGGCTCGCGAGTGGCCTCGTTTTTTCACACACACACACACACAGAGAGTAGCAAATTGTAACAGATCTAATATGAGAATGAAAAAAAATCGAGCGAACGAGGGGAGGGGGGTGTATCGGCTGTTGCAGGTGCTGGGCTTCAAGGACACGTATTTGTGGCGCCCAATCGATGGCGCCCGGTACCGGAAGCGGGGCATGCCCTACGCCATGAGCGCCCTGAGAAATCGGGCCAAGGTATGAAAAGAAAAAAAAAAAAAAAAAAATAAGCACAGGTTCAACAGCATGACCCCTTTGACCGTAAACCGCAGATCGTGTGGGCGGATCACCAGAGAGCCGTGCGCCGCGAGAAGCGAGACCATTACAGCAATTACAGGAACAGCGCCAGGGGACGAGCGTCGGGGGAAACTCGAGCTTTCGTGGGGCTTCCCCCGAGGAACAAGCTGGCGTTCAACGACGAGCTCTGGGAGCAGGAGTGGTACTTGGTGAGCGACGGCGATCGATGTGTAACCGTCACGCGGAGCCGATAACGTATATTATATTGTAAGGGGCGATCGTGCGGGTTGCAGGTCGATCGCGAGAGAAGCCCCGAGCGGGATATGACGGCCGGGAGGAAGGGGCAGTCCTTGGAGAGGCTGGACCTGAACGTGCTGCCGGTGTACGGGCTCGGGATCACCGGGCGGGGAGTTAGGATCGCCGTACTGGACGACGGGCTCGAGCACACCCACGAGGATCTACGCGCCAATTACGTGAGCAACAGCAGATTGAGATATGGTTGTTTCTTGTAAACATGACATGTGTGTTTCGGGTTGGCACAGGATCCGGAAATAAGCTACGACATAACCGATCGGGACGTCGATCCGATTCCGCGCTACCTGGAGGAGGACGGCAACGGGCACGGCACCCGGTGCGCCGGGGAGATAGCCATGGAGGCGGACAACGGCAAGTGCGGCGTCGGCGTGGCCTTTGAGGCAAAGATCGGCGGTATTAAGATGCTGGACGGCTTGAGTAAGTTTACAGTTGTTGGTGCTGTGCAGCTGCGCCAAAAGGCCCCCCTCGATGCTCACAATTTGCATGGATATACTATTACATTACCTTTATTATCTCATCGAAGAAGCAGCGATGGTTTTGATTGCATTGAACGAAGCATCGGATGGAAAAAAAAAACCCAATTTTGCTCGGGCAAAATCAATGCTTGAGTTATTATTTCATTAAGCTCGATGCTCTCTGTTTGCATTGTACCGCTCGCGAGTATGGGTATAATTCCTGTTAATTGTAAATGTATTATCAGCGCTTACACGTGCATCGACACGCTTTAATGAAATTCGCCGAGCTCAGTCGTGCGGGTGCAGGTGCTCTTTTTACGGAGGACAGCTACACATTTTACATTTTCCGGCAGTTAACGATCGGGTGGAGGCAGAGGCTCTCGGCTACCGCTCGGACCTCGTCGACATATACACGGCCTCGTGGGGCCCACCGGACGACGGAAGCAGCCTCGAGGAGCCCGGCAGGCTAGCCTCCGAGGCTCTAGAGCGCGGCGTCACCGAGGTGTGCACACGCATCCACAATGTCATAAAGAATCACACAAGTATATAATATACCGATCCATGAAATAGGGACGAGCCGGCCGAGGTAGCGTTTACGTGTGGGCTTCGGGGAACGGGGGCTCCAAGGACGACGACTGCGGCTGCGACGGGTACGTCGGTAGCGTGTACACCATAGCTATCGGGTCTGCCAGCCAGGCGGGCAGCTTTCCCTGGTACGGCGAGATTTGCCCGGCCACCCTGGCGACGACCTACAGCAGTGGCGCCAACCAGGACCAGATGATTGTCAGTGACGCACGCATCCGTATTAATCCACACCTGCACCCGTCTTGTTAATCATAAGCTATTATATTATCATGTAGTTCTTTCGTTATTGTTTTTTTTTTTTTTTTTTTTTTTTATACCCTGCCACCATCGTCATAGTAGACGCTCAACAAATAAACAATGAAAATGGTTGTTCGTGTTCCCTCAGGTGACGACTGATTTGAAAAATACTTGCACAACCAGCCACACGGGGACATCGGCCTCGGCACCGCTGGCCGCCGGAATTTTGGCGCTAGCTCTGCAAGTCAAGTAAAAACCCTAGTACATACATGTTACGTCACAATAAAGTACGTGACTAGTGTTGCGTGTCATTAAACATCCACGTGTTTTTTTTTTTTTTTTTTTAGCAACAACTTGACGTGGAGGGACCTTCAGCATCTCGTGGTGTACACGTCGAAGCACAGGCCGCTTAGGTACTTACCTACCTGATTCATGGGCATGAAATATAGCGTTTAAAAATTCAACGACACATGGTTTTTTTTTTTTTTTTTCCCTCAAGAGCCAATCCAGGTTGGTTCACAAACGCCGTTGGGCTGTGGTTCAACCCGCGCTTCGGCTTCGGTCTGATGGACGCTTATGCCCTGGTGGCAGCTAGTTCGAACTGGACCGGGGCTCCTGAAAAATTCATTTGCGAGACCCCGTCTTCGTCAACGTGAGTTTAACAAACGTGGGATCACACGTACACCGCATGTACGAGGTTTTTTTTTTTTTTTTTTTATCAACAGGGTCGCGTGCAACGTGAGCTATGGCGTGCCCCAAAGTTTGAAATTCGAAACGGATGCCTGTGTCGGAGGGCCCAACGAAATCCAGTACCTGGAGCACGTACAGGTCGAGACGAACATCGAGTACTCGTTGCGCGGAGCACTGCAAATACATCTGACAGCGCCTTCTGGTATTCAAGTGCTTTTTTTTACCGCTGCACATGTGTACACTTAATTTTGTTGGACGATTTTCATCTGGCTCTCTGTGTGTGCAAATTTGCAGGCACGAAAGTTCAGATCCTCGGAAAAAGAAAGTTCGACAATTCGAGCGAAGGTTTTGCCAACTGGAAATTCATGTCGGTAGCCACTTGGGGAGAAAATCCTCGGGGGACTTGGGTTCTCGATATCATCGATGAGGTTATTGAAAAAGAAATCACACCTAACAATTAATAATCGTTATCATCTTTGCGTTTAATCGTAAGCAAAAGTTTTAACAGACAGTAAAATGCACTGCTCCAACAGGTCGGTCCGGAAAACAATAGCGGCAGTATCGGTACTTTAAACTTGATTTTACACGGTACTAAAGACCGGCCCGACTATCTGGACAAAGTAATCAAGTATGACGACGGTTCATTCGAGGAAGTCGCTAAATTAGTGAGTATTGGCCTTAAATACAATAAAGTATATACAAATGAATCTTTTGACTTGAACTGCAATCAATATATTTCTTTCAGAACGACATCGCAGATGGAAACGGAAACGATAATGTGTTGGATGAATCGGAGCATTACGAGAACCGCAGTAATAATTTCAATGCAACCTTTGACGAAGATTGGCTTATCCGATTTTTGCTGTCCGTTTAAATGGATGGGTAAACATATCCTGAGAATTCACTATTTTTCTTAATTACTGTATGATTAAAATAATGTAAATGTCGAATCTAATAATTGTATCAATGGAAAAATAAATTATTTTGACGGCTAAAGCTTTTTAATTAAGTAAAATCTATACATCTGGAATTTTATTAGATTACGTGTGTATAAAAAATACCTTAATTAGATTGTACAACTACCTATGCAGTTTTTTTTTTTTTTTTTTCCTCGAGTCTTTTATTTTTTAACTACACATAAAGGCACTGGTAATATCACATTATGCAATATCAATAAATACGCGTCGTTGATTTACATTGTATAAAACTATCATAGTGACGTTCCGTGAAATTAGCGATCACAAGTACAGCAATTGAGATGTTCACTCCCAAACTAAGTATAGCTTATTTTCTAGTTAAAAAATACGAGCGTTAATTAATTTTTTTTACCAGTCATAGTTTCCACATTAACTTAAAACTAAAATTGTAATACTTGATGACGATCATCATTATAATCCTACAAGCAAACTCTCTAGCACATCAATTCGAGTCAGACGATGCAAACTAAAAAAATAAATTCATCCACTTTAAACACAAACGAATCTAAAATTCATACATTTTTACTTATCTACATTAATATATGTATATACTTACATTTTGTTGATTCACTTCGAGCTCGCACGTGTAAACAATTTTCATACTGGCGGGCACACTGACGCAATTTACGAGACACGTATAGTTTATCTCGCGTTGATGCCAGGTGATCAATTACCAGCAGTAACAGAAATTCAAGCTGCCGGTGGTGCTGGTAAGCTAGACGTATTGTACGTTGCGGCCACCTTCGCTTTGGCAAAGTTCAGAATCTGGGGATTCTCGTAGATCAAGCTGGCCAGCTGTTGAGTGCTCGCGTACGTGTCGGCCCTCGTACCCAGGCACATGGCGTGCTGATGCTGGCTGAGCGAAGAGTCGCACTTGATTTCGTGGTGGACGTGCACGAGACCCACGTCCGGGGCCCGGAATATCTCCAGGTCCGAGCGCACAGCCTTCTCGTACCCACAAATAAAAACATGTTCACCGTATTACCAATTTTTCCATTTCAATCGCTATGGGTAGTGTATACATTTTATTTCAGAGCTCGATCGATTTTCTCTTAATTGTTTCAATCCCACGCTGTGCCCACGAAAATAACACTTTCCCCCCCCCCGTGTGTACTCGATACAAGAAAATGCAACCAAATTTTTAAATGTAAAGAAAAATTACGCTTACGCAAAAACAAAGCGCTTTGTAATCTAAATGGGAATTTTTTTTTTTTTTTTTTTTTTTTTTTAATGCATGCACTCCGTTTAATCATCAAAAATTAAAATATTTTTTGTTAAGATGGTATATGTTCTTTGAACGAAAAATACCGATGATTAATGCATGGTTTTTCTTCTTATTTGTACACGTATAAAACTTGATTGGCCACCTTTTGATACAGGTCGACATCCTCCTTTCCCCAGCCCTCGATCGTCAGGTCGAATTTGCCGATGGCCTCGTAATCGGCCTTGTAGAGGGCAGCAATGCCAAAGCCGAATTGCCGCCAAAAGCCGGTTATCTCGTTGATTTGCTCCATGTCCCCGGAGTGCAGGGACGAGCGCATCACCATCTTGGGATCGTACTGGCTGAAGACCACGGGGAAGTAAAGCGTGCCCGGCCGAGCGTTGCGCCGAATGCGCTTGAGGCTCGCGTCCGTGAAGCTGATGTCCACCTGCGCGCAATCGATTTATTATACGTTTTTTTCCAATCACGCGACACTCGCTTCGTGTATGCAAGTTTCGACTCGCGTTTTCGTGGATACTGAGAATTGAAGGAATAAAAAAATAATAGCGATGATGATACATACGTCGACGAAGAACATGAGGTCGTCGGCCTGAAGTTCAGTTGCCGCCCGATCGAGAGCTCTGGCTCGCGAGAACCTACCGCTGGCCTCGATCACGTGTATCCTAGCGTCTGCGTACTTGGACCTGAGCCGTTCGATCAGCTCTCGCGAGCTCACCCCGTCGACCTCATTATCCTGCTCTTCTTTCTGACCATCGTACAGAACGATGTGCAATTGGGCCGATTGTTCGGACGACCGCAGACAGACCCGCTCTATACGAATCATCACGTGTCTATTTATTTCCGTACGTCCCCTTTTTTTTTTTGTTTTTTTTTTTCTACATCCTCTCATTCGTAGGGTCGATAATTACCGTAATTGCCGAGGAACCTCTCGAGAGCTCGCCGACGGCCCGAGACCGGCACCAAAAAGTGTATTACTTGCTCGTCCGCGTCCTCCGTGGGGAGCACTCGGCTCTCGACACCTATATATATACGTACACGAGAGTGTTCAACATGATGGGTTGCCAAATTGAATGAAACTTTGTACACGTATGAGGATATCGTGTAGTGTACTTGCCGGTGAAAGGTTGGTGAAGGTGCAGGTGTCGCCTGACCGGGAGTGTGACCTTCCTGCCCCGGTACTTTTTGTAAACGAGCAACAGGTCGAGCACGGTGTTGATACCGCGGCTGTTGCGGCTCCGATAGGCGTAAAGGGCTTGCCGCTCCTCGACGTAACGGCCACGCTGGCGCGAGCACGAGTTTATTTGCGTCATCACCTCGCGTATTATGTCGTCCAAGCCCTCGCGCACATCCCCGTGGATCCGCCGGCGTGGATTAGCGTCCGACACACGGAACTCGGAACGCGAAATAAAGTCCCAGTGCGACGAGCCGTAACTCTGCCGATCGCTCTCCTTTTTCTCGTCACTGACTCCTTCTGTAAGAAATGAGAGCGACAAGTCGAGGAAGCTCTCGTTCATCGCGTGTGCCTTGAAAGACGAATTGTTGTATACACGTACTTGCCGATCCGGACTCCGATTGCAGAAACCGGTCCATCCTTTCGATGTCTCGTTGTAGCTCTAGCCTCTTGTGCTGTAGTTCCTGGATTTTAAGAGTCTAGGGGACAAATCGAAAAAGATGGGGCGTGAAAATCGGTATGCAAACGGATGCGCGTACAAGAAATAATGTACCGACCCTCATGTAGTTGTGCAGGCGATACATGTGGGGTGGCTTCTTGACCGGGTGCATGGTGATGGCCTGGTGGACCTCTTTGCTCTTGAGTTTGCCGGTGAAGGCCAGCTCGCCGCTGCTGTTGTGGTAAAAAATCGTTTGCATCTGCAATGCAACGGGCATTATCCAATGTACCATATTAACTGTTAGTGCAGCCATCGCAAAAAGTATACATATATGTCTATAACTACGCGATCGCGGAGTTTATCGCCTGTTCGTTCGTTACATCCGTTTTGAGGCGGGCGGCACGGTAGGTACATACATACATCAGGCGGTTGTCCTTCCGCTATTATAAGTACGCGCAGATCGCAGAGAGAGAGAGAGTAAGTTGGGTTTAGCTATGCGTTACTTGTTCGCTTTGTCGAGAAACGCGCATCAACGTCAATTGGTCTAAACTATCCGTTTCCTGAACAGCGGAGCCGACAAGTGTATATATATTATACACGCATGTGCTGTGCACAAGGATAAGTAAGTACATATCGAAACTGCATCGCGTCCGCACCCACCACTCCACCATACAGCTCGATGTCACCGTGCACGTGCGTACATTATGTTACACGTATGAATTTTTTTTTTTTTTCCTCTCAATTTTCATGAAAATTATTCTCGGTTTTTTTACATTATACGCATACCAATGTACCTTACACCGATATGCTTTACTCGAGCGCCGCGCGCCTTTCCCCTCGGCAAGTGTACATGTAATACACGAGCACGCGCATCATATACATAGGAGTGTATTTGCACGACTGGATGCAAATCAGTCGTTGACAATGCTTCATTAATTAAATAAACAGCTGTGCGAGGGCTCTCTCTCTCTCGTGCACTTTGACAGAACGTGATATTTATATTTCGTATCGAGGAACAGTACATATATATATATATATATATATATATATATATATATATTTACGTGCGTGTTGATATACGTGCTACTTAAAATACACGCACATCTGCGTTATATTGTCGAGCTTATTAAGTAAGTAAGTATATACGAACATTGTACGAGAGACGCATTGGACGTCAAAGTGAGCGACCGGTATATAAATATGTACATCAATCAAAGACGCGCCCGCACGTCTGACTATAATAATATTTAACGGAAGATCAAAGTATGTCCAAGTGTAGATACTACTTTGTGTGTCATACGAGCCGATCATTCTGTGTTTGGCGCGTAACAAAGTCAAATTAATGTATATATATATATATATATATATTTGTGAGGGACGAATAAACTGTAATGTGAATTATTTTTGATTCAGTATGGATCATCGTCTCTGAATTTAATGGAATAAATAAATAAAGATAGTGGGTTCGATGAAAGTACCTCGTAGTTCCAGGTGCAGGGTATGCCGGCGTATTTGCGGACGCAGCGGCCAAGCTCGACGTCCTCGTGGCCGGTGTAGAGGTTCCCCAGGCAGGTCTTGATGTGGGGCACGATACGCCTCAGGGTCTCGCGGGACATGATCACCCCAGGTCCACCCATGCAAAAGTTCTCGTCGTAATCGAGGGCGAGCCGGCCGCGCTCCTCCGAACTGCCCCGTCCGGCCTTCCGAGAACAGGGACACCCGATTTTTTACAGATGGGTACGTTTTATCGGCAACCGATTTTCAAAGCCCCCCTTTTTTTCCAATCACACTGTCTCTAGGCGTTTCATGAGAAAAAAAAACAAAAAAAAAAAAAACAGGTTTTTTACCTGTCCGATGTAATGCGCCCGGCGCGAGTCGACGCTTCTGAGCAGCCTCTCGAGCCGATCCATGCTACAAGAGGTACAAAAATATATATGTATATATCATCAATTGCTAACAACCAAGTACCTACGTACTATTTGGGTAAATTAGTCGATTAGAATAATAATAATAATAATAATAATAATAATAATAAAAACACACGTGGTTGGTTGTATAAATGTCGATAGATGTATGAAACAGTGAGAATGAATTAAGTACCGGACGTAGAGATCGTCGTCTGCCCTGAGGAACCACTCGTAGCGCTCGCCGTACCTGGTCCACATGTGCTCGAGCATGAGGAAGGACTTTTTCTGGGGTGGGTAGCTATCGTCGACCCCAGGCAGCCCGAGGAGGGGCAGCCCGGGACAATTGTCGGGGGGCACGGAGCCCTCCGAGGAATAAAAACCAATGCGCCCGGGCACCTCGGCGCCCCAGCTCTCGTAAACGGCCTTGGCGCGCGTGCCCAGGTACCGGCGAGCCGTCATTACCCCGACGCACAGCAGACCCTCGCTCTTACTCCCCTCCTCCTCCTCTTGGCCGCGCGCTTCGGTGAGCGTCGAAGCCTCGCGATCGTCCTTCTGCTCCTTGTACGTTGGGTGCTGTTGTTTATTGGCACTGGGCCTCGAGTTCGGCTGAGCCGGTAGTAGCAGCAGGCCCCCAGCGAGCCCGAGCAGCAAGCCCACCGTGAGGCCCAGCGCGCCGCTGCTCAGGCTGCCCCGTCGCTTGCAGCGCATCGCCGCCGCTCATGCTCCAACTGAACAGACCCAACTTCTCGCGGCTCGCACGGAATTATATTGTTGCTCCGGAGAGGAGTAGCTCATCGGCTCCTCCTCCTCCTCCTTTTACACCGCTGCTGCTGTGTATATATATACACATATATTACTTATGTATACCTACATACATCCACTACTTTGCTTCTCCTCGGCTGCTCTACTCGGGCTGCTGGAATCCCGTTAACACACACACATATATATATATATAAAGATATATATATAGGTACGTGCGATGGTGTGTGCAAGTATATAGCCTAATATACCATTGCCCATTCGAACTAACTGTTCAGCGGCTCAGTCGAGCGTCTTCTCTTCATCCTCTGCTCCTCCACCAGTTGGACGATGTTTCGCTACTGGGGCTATTTATTTCTCGAGCATGTATTTTCACATATACCTACAGCTGTGGGCCTCGGAGCACGTGTGCGAGCTCGCATTAATGTGCCTTATTCTGTATGCTTTATTTATATAGTACTTGATACTCCGGCTTGGTTTTCTTGGAGCAACGCGGCATTTGAGAAAAAAGTAACGCAGCTTTGCGTCGCCCAAAGAACCGAGTAGCCATGCATACATACATACATACGTATATCAGGGGAATCAAAAAAAAAAAAAGGATGGGCTATAGGCCCGATAACCGTTGCGTTCGATAAAAATAAAATAAATAATTACATGTTTCTTCCACGTCTCTGTACGTAATATAATTTATACCCCTATACATCTATAAAATAATTGTCGATTCTCAACCGATTTGTGTTTCGAACGCCAATACATATATACATTAGTTGGATTCGAGTTTTATTTATAAAAACTCCACAGATGCTAGTCGTCATTTACTTAATTATATACTAATTTTTCTCTGCACCATCATCTACCTCTAGTAAACTAACTCTTTTTTTTTTTTTTTTCCTCGACATCCTCCACTGGCGGTGCGCCGATTTTCAAAAATTCATCATGCAAGTCTTTAAACAAAAGGTGAAGCTGATGAATAATAATGGCGACAATTTTCTTATTTAGAATTGATCAATTAATATTATACCTGTAGGTTATTGTCACATTATTATATTTATCGCATGTGTGATAATGCGTACATATACGAAACGTGTGCCTTTGATGGCATATATATATGTGACCACTGTTTCGCTCGGAACACCTGAATCGAACGAACAAGTCTATCATCGTTATTACTGCGATTCCTATATGACCAAGTATTGTAATTTGAAAATTATACATCATTGCCATCAGCATTTACAAACTGTTGCTTTTTTGTATCGCTGATGATTGCATTGCACGACGTACATACACACATATGATATCATACCGATGATAAAATAATTTTTCCTGCTTTTTTTACCTTCGGACGTTAAATTTAGCTCTCGGTAGGAAAAATAGGGTGCGCATCCGACCATAGGGTGGAAGCACAATTAACGAGCCCCTCGTGCCTTAGGCTGCGTATACGTGGAATCTTGAACTTCCAGGACCAGCCTAAATATATATGCCCGTGTAAGTGCGGCAAAGAGAGTATAAGTAATATGTTATATCACGCGCACTCACACGGGCTTATGCATGGTTATGATGCTTGTTCTATAGTGGCATGTGTCGCCACGTACGAAAACTACTATTTCCTACCTCGGGAGTTTTTTTTTTTTTTTTTTTTTTTTGGACGTTTGCTAGGCATCGCACAAAAAAGATAACTGGTGCGCATCTCTTCCAGGACTATCAATCACAAAAGCGCAGCGATCGGCCTTTAAGAGAAATGCGCACCAGTGACGAAATCTGATGTTCATCATCAAGTAAGCATTTGCAAGTAAATAAAAAGAATTACATATTATGTGTAACGAAGTGATCATCAGCGAAAAAAAAATAAAAGGTTTTCTTTATAGGGCTGACTACAAGATTCTGTCTGACGATCAAATGTATATATGTAACTTATACGTATATATACGTAGATTTCGAATTTCGTTGAGGTTACATAACAGTACAATTAATAAAGTATAACTCGAGAGAATTCGATCGTCGGTAACTATAACCGATCGTTCGGTGTTCGGTTCGGTTGAGTTTCGCGCATTTATAGATTTAGGTACATTACACGTAGGGGTAAATGACCCAATTACTTACCAAACACTGAAATTTTTGATTGTACTAAATTTCTCATTTCTCAATGTTTTTCGATGTAAATTGAACCAGATTTACTTAATCTTTATCCGCAGCATCTTGTGCGATTAAAACGACAAACATTTTTCTGTCAAGTAACTTTTTTTTTTTTAAATAATCGTTTTAGTGCTGATATCACTTGCTGGTATTATTGCGCACGGTTATAAAATTAGCACCAGTCGCTGGTCGCTGCGCCCTCAATTACTGCGCGGGTATCTCCCATAATGTTTTCATGCTGAAGCCCTAGACCCAATTGCTGCGCACCAATCACTACGCACGACTACAAAGTTTTGTAGGTTAGATTCGTTTAGGATCACTCAGTTAAACAATTATAAATGTCATGATGCAAAGTATGATTCTGGATTGAATGTTATTAATGTCCGTACGTGTTACAATATCCAAGCACCCAAATTTTTCAGTCTGTTTTTCTTATTTTTAGTTACCGTCGAGTGCGCAGTAATTGGGTCATTTACCCCTATGTATAATAGCAGTTAGTAACTGCCAGTGGCAGTTACCCTCAGTTACGAGCGACAGGCCAATAGACGGCAGCAGCAGTCGAATGAGTCCGGCGTCGCGGCGTCCGGCGCATTTTTTCAATTTTTTGTTTGCGGCCCCTTTTCATATTTTCATTACCTTCCTCTCTCTCACTATCCGTTTATCTCTTTCCTGCACACACGATCCTGAGAGGTAAATCTAATGTAAGGAGCCGAGACTGCCGAGAGACGAAAGCGTGCCGACATGTGCGATGTGCCGCGAGGAATATGGCCGAGCGAAAAACGGAAGTGACGTCAAAGCCCATACGATGCGCGCGCAAACTTATCGCATCAACCGAGTATTGTTTTATCCTTGTCTCTGAAAGAAGCCAAAAGACGTTTCTGATAGGCTGTGCCGCCGCCTGTGCCTTGCATCACACACACACACTAGCAAAATCAGTTTTTTCTCTCCCCCCCCCTTGCAAGAAAGATATAAAAGAGCCACATTGGCCTCTCATCCCCATATCACCCCATATACGTTCATTGCTGAAACAGCGTGTGGTGTGTGTAAAGGGTCTAGCAACACTAGCGCCACCGTCGCCGCTGCCGTTCCTTTATGTTATATACATATACCTAAGAATCATCTCGGTGTGTGTGTGTGTGTGTAACGCCGAGTCCAGCAGCTCCCGGAGCCTCGACTAGCCGCTTTAGACTGCCATATTTCCGAGCCCCGGCACCCTCAGTTTCCCCTGTTCTGTTCTGGTAGTAGCATGAGAGTAAAGACCGAGATGGATGACGATGAAAAGGGGTAAGTTATTTTAATTATTTCCCGTTGGCTCGCCTTTCATACGGACGAATGAATGGAGTCTGCTTTGGTGCTCCCTCGCTCGTCCGTTTGGCCAAGAAAACATGTCGTCGCCGCTGGTGCCGCGTGGCCATGCAACCCCGACTCCAAATTCGTGCCTACTTATTAACTTTGCACTTTTTTTTTCTCCTACTCTCTTTCTTTCTCATTGTCTCGTACGCACGTTATCAGAAAACTCTTCGTTGGTGGTCTGTCATGGGAAACCACCCAGGAGAATCTACAACGATTCTTCAGCCGCTACGGCGAGGTCATCGACTGCGTCGTCATGAAGAACAGCGAGTCCGGTCGAAGTCGCGGCTTTGGCTTCGTCACCTTCAGCGACCCCAACAACGTCAACCTCGTACTCCAGAACGGGCCACACCAGCTCGACGGACGCACGGTACTTCATTAGCCCATTATTTGCTCTCTGCATTTCAATTACTTATTAAGTATATCGTTATCATCATCTGCAGTATCTACCCAGCCGGTTCATCGTATCTCCATTCCTTGCACGTATGTCTTTCCCTCCCCTTTTCCTCTCCGCACACTCGATTACCCCCTCTCGCGCGCGCGCGCGAGCGATCTCTCTCCGTTTATATATATAGCATTTTCGGGCCAACGTACGAAGCTCATTGGCGCTTGCCGCTTTCTCGTGTTCGCAGATCGACCCGAAGCCATGCAATCCTCGCACGCTCCAGAAGCCCAAGCGAAGTGGCAGCTTCCCCAAGGTCTTCCTTGGCGGATTGCCCAGCAATGTTACCGAGACCGACTTGAGAACCTTTTTCCAGCGCTTCGGCAAGGTCATGGAAGTTGTCATCATGTATGACCAGGAGAAAAAAAAATCGCGAGGTGAGCTTTACTTGTACAAACTCATCATCTCCTTTTTTTCTTTCCAAAGAACCTTTTTTCCTTTTTTTCCTTCGTTCCTTTCAGTTATTATATCACTTAGACTCTCTAAAAGCTGTGTGCCTGGAGATGAAGAATTTCTTTGAGGCATAGCCAGTGAGGGACAGTAAGAGCGCACTTGGTGTCATTTTGAAAAGTCATTTTTATCGTTATGTATCTATCTTGAGCACATAGTTTTTAAATAACCTAGGGTTTGTATTTTTACTTAGCTTCAAAAACTTTCTTCCTCCAATATTTCACAGTTTGGATCGAGTCAACAAACTTGTTTTTACGTACTCACTAACACACGTTAATTTCATATTAGCATTCAAAAACTAATTGACTTTCAGACTATGTTTTCACGCTGCGTTGCGTTAATATTTAATTTTTTCTGCCAAATAATAATTGAACAAGTTCGTTGATACATTATGGTCATCCAGTTCATATTTTTAAATCTTCCAAATTAACGTGTTTAAGCACTTTTTTATGTTTTAAGCATAGCTTAAGTTGTTAGTTCAATAGTTAATTAACAAAATATATGTACATCAAACTGTGGAAAATGTATTTATCGAAAAAAAATTTGGCTATCATAGATATAAGTATTATCACATGATTACAATGATGTATACATTAAGAAGTTGAAACATTAATTTTACTGTACGAACTTTTCGATGGCGCTGGTGTCTCTTATAATGAAAGGAAATGTATATATTTGCTTTAAAATTTTGAAAATTTTCGACCCTACTTTTTTTTTTTTATAAACAATGTATCGCATTTGGATGGCAGGCTTTGGCTTTCTCAGCTTTGAGGATGAAGATGCAGTGGACCGATGTGTTACAGAGCACTTTGTCAACTTAAATGGAAAACAGGTATAACTCATATGCACGAAATGAATTTATATACTACTTATTTAACACTATCCCATGAATCTTCAAAAATATGTCTTTTGATCAATATGTATGAGAAAAATCTACAGCTATACATAATTACATGCGTAAATGATGTTTATTACTAGAGTAGAAAACTTTATCGTTATTTATTACGTTATGGATTTGTTATGAATTAATTATCGTAAGTTACTTTGTTAAGTAGTCCTACGTAAATATTATTCTAGTCTATAAGCACCCTTTACATACTGAGTGTTGTATACTTACATAAACGCAATGTGTACACGTGTTTGTTTTAAATTTGGTTACATAAAAAAGTTAATGTATATTTTATACGTTCTTTAATATAATCTTAGAATTAATGTTAATTCGTATTAAAATTACCGTATTATTAATTTATTTTCTGTAACTGTAAAGAAGGTGATATAGCGACAAGTTTATAATGATCGTCTTTTTTAAGGGACCACGCATATTGCTCAATTGAACTGACAAAACTGTTTTTCCCCCTCCCTAATTTATGTATAATAATTTGTTTGCAGGTTGAAATTAAGCGTGCTGAGCCACGAGATTCGTCCAGCAAGATGAATGATTCTCATCAAGGACAATGGGGTCCGCCACAACAAGGACCACCAATGGGAATGGCAGGAAACATGGGACCAATGGGTGGACCCAATGGTCAAATGGGTGGACAAATGATGGCAGGCCCAATGGGGCCACACGGTAACATAATGCAGCAGTATCAAGGTTGGGGAACCAATCCACAAACTGGTGGATATGCAGGATACAGTGCTCAGTACAACACTCCAGGATGGGGTGCACCTGCTGGACCACCACAGCAACAGCAAATCCCACCTCCGCCACCTCATCAGTGGGGCAGCAGTTACAATGTGCAACCTCCTGCGAGTCAAGCATATGGAAGCTATGGTTAGTATGGCAACATATTTTAAAGAAAATGATTTTTCATTTTATACATACATATATAAATATTTTTTTTTTTTTTTTTTTTAACTCTGATATTTTCAAATATTATGTTGGCATTGCAGTTATAATTCAAAAAATTTAAATTTAACTGAAATGCGTTCATTTCGATATGAACAATGTCTCACTTTATGCAAATTTGAATATGATAGAGTATATAAAATAATTCAGTAAAAATTTATTACATGGTTTTTAATTTTTCACTTGGTACGTGTTAGGCTAGTAGCAAATAAGGTTGTCAATCACTCACCAAACCAGTAATCTTCAATTGGTTTCTAGTATATCAACTAATGATAAAAAATTAATCTTATTTGATTTCTTTTTCTTTCCCTTCTTTTATATCTTTATTTGTCACTTTCCTTTTTTTCTCACTTTTCCATCTTTTTCTTACTCTCACTTTCTCTCTCTCTCTCTCTCTCTCTCTCTCTCTCTTAATTATGGAAACTAAATTTTTTTCAAGTTAATTAAAAATGGCCGAATCTTTATCCTATCCTCCTCCCTTCCACTTGGTCACCCAGATTTTTAATTTTTATGTGGAAAAAAAAAATTAATAATACAATTCTAATAACACGAAAGAAAGAAATTAAATGGCAAAATAAGTTTGGGAAACAGATTGTTTAAGGCAATAATGGCCAAGTATGCTCGCTGTAATTTTTTCCCCAAAAGCAAATCAGATGATAAAGAGCCAACCAAGACAAAAACGTTTTGTAAGATTCGTTCAAATCGACACTAAAAGGAAAAACAATAAATCCTAGCAAAGCAAGCTTGGCTGTTAGATATCAAAAGGGAGGAAATGATCATTTTCTAAATTTCGGTTGGTGAATTGTGGTGATATGGTTAATGATCGCAGGTGGGCCAGCGGCCGCTTCTGGGGGCTACGGGCCCACGGCGGGTACTGGTGGGGCTGCGGGCGGAGGACCAGGAGCATCCTGGAATTCGTGGAACATGCCACAAAATGGCCCTCCACCCGGGCACTCCAGTCAACCTCCACCCCAGCCCCCTCAGCCCAACTCCTCGCAGCCAAACTCCAACTCGAACCCCTCTGGTCCACCGGGTGAGTCTTCTAGCTCAGTCAACACACATTTCAAGTGCCTAATCTTAAGACCACACTTAATCCCTTGTCCCCTTTTTCCACCCTAACTTTTTCTCATTCTTTCTCTCTTATTCTCTGTCTCAGCTTTTCAAAGCCTGAGCATTTCTGTATTCTGATTGTTGTACATGTCTTTTCTGTCTGTGTTTGTTTCATAAAATTTGTTGTATTGCATTTTTACGATATTCATTATTTCATTCATTTGTGGACCAGCTTTTTCATCTTGTTAATTAATACTTCCTCCTCCTCCCCCCCGTCATTAAAATAACTCTTGAAAGATTTTAATAAATCTCCGGTGTGTTACTTATGTTGCTCCTTGTTTATTTTCTATTTTTTCTTGAGCAGTCGATCTTATTTTGTACAGTAAAATTTATTGCCATGTTTTTACTTATTATTTTTATGTAACATTGGCGGAAAGTGGAATTTTCTGGCCGAGGAGAGGTAAAAAAAACTTATTTCTTTTTAGAATAGAGAATAGAGAATTTTTTATACTTGATGTTTTTGTCGGGTAAAGTTTTTCACGTAAGAAATTTTTTACTTCTCTCCCCAAACGCTTAAAGCATTTCTATGCAAAAATCGGCGGAAAGTAACCACTTTCTGTGTTGCGTGGACATGAAATTTAACTCTTCATCTGCATTGACATATTAATTACCTCAATACACTACGTATGCATTGAAAACTTGTTGAGATCACAGAGGATCTCTGATGTTCTTCACTGTAACCACCATACATGTATATCGTCCTGCATTATTTTGGATTGATCGCATACCCATACAATGTAGTGTAGAGCAATGGATTTTATTTAGCCAAGCGTATGTTACAGTTTATGTTTTTAATGTTCACCATTTAAAATTTCTTAGACATGTGTTACCAATAGGACTACTTACGTGTAAATACATATTTGTTTACTTAAACGCATGATACAAAATTTATGTTTATGTGATAATGATATTATTAATCAAACAAAACTTAAATAAAATGAAAATTTCTTACAAATCAAATAGCACCTATATTTCATGATTGTAGTGAGGTTATGGTGTCACCTTCTAATCCTTACCCAAGTCCACGTTAACTTTTATTGTAGACACACTCTATTTAATATGTTAATAGTGAACAACCTAAATTATTTTGCATTTTTACTAATTATTACTTCAGAAATGTAAAAAGTAGATTTCAGCTTGAATAATATTTTATTTGTTAGAAGAGTCAGTTGTTCACTGTGTAATACCGCAACATAATTTTATTTTTACAAGTTCAAAAAAAAATGTTTTTTTTTTATTATTGATGTGTGTCTGAACTTTAAACTTTTACTCAATGAAATGTCATTGAAGCTTGATTATAATTTTTTTATTATAAATACAGTAGTTTTTTTTTTAAAGAATTTGGAACCAATAGAGAGAAGAAAGATAATTGAAAAATATTCATATAAAAATCACAATTAAAAGAGAGGAAAAAATCGTAAGAAAGAGAAAGTAATCAAACTACAAAAAATAATTTTTTATTTGGTAAATAATGTTGCAGGTGACATGTACTCGCGTCAGACAACAGGCTCAGGAGCTCCTGGTTCAAGTGGTAGCTCAACTAAGACACCCGATTATGCTGGTTACACCGGCTACAGCAATTACGCAGATACATCATATCCACAGCGTTCTTATCAAGGTGGAGAAAGCAGCCAAGGTGGGTATGCTGCCAGCGCACCTAAACCGGGTCCACAAGGCTTTGATCTCAAAGAGTGGCCCGCCTCATGACCGTTTTAATTTCAACACAAAATTCCCGTCTTCACGGACGTAACAAGCGCCTAAGGCTTAATTGCCTTGCTCTCGTGGGTTGTCCATTTACTTTTCAACTCTCGGACCTGATTCTACCGGCCGGCTACTACTCATCACTCTACGCTATCCCAGCAATGATCAACGTCTCGCTCAATAATTACACACTTTTTAAGTAACATCACTATACTGTCACTATTGTTTTTTTTTGCATCACGACCCAACAATGATAACACGCAGTACAATCAGTTTTATCATTAATCATGACTTACAGTGTTTTTTAACATTTTTTTTTTATCTTCGCTAATTTACACAAGTATACAAACTATAAACACAATATACGTATTTACATACACATACAAAGTGCTCGCGTGAGACTCAATTCTAACTATAATCCAGTCCTTTATCCTAGCAAGCTTTTACCTTGATTACTATTACGTAACATAAATAATACAATTCTAATAACACGAAAGAAAGAAATTAAATGGCAAAATAAGTTTGGGAAACAGATTGTTTAAGGCAATAATGGCCAAGTATGCTCGCTGTAATTTTTTCCCCAAAAGCAAATCAGATGATAAAGAGCCAACCAAGACAAAAACGTTTTGTAAGATTCGTTCAAATCGACACTAAAAGGAAAAACAATAAATCCTAGCAAAGCAAGCTTGGCTGTTAGATATCAAAAGGGAGGAAATGATCATTTTCTAAATTTCGGTTGGTGAATTGTGGTGATATGGTTAATGATCGCAGGTGGGCCAGCGGCCGCTTCTGGGGGCTACGGGCCCACGGCGGGTACTGGTGGGGCTGCGGGCGGAGGACCAGGAGCATCCTGGAATTCGTGGAACATGCCACAAAATGGCCCTCCACCCGGGCACTCCAGTCAACCTCCACCCCAGCCCCCTCAGCCCAACTCCTCGCAGCCAAACTCCAACTCGAACCCCTCTGGTCCACCGGGTGAGTCTTCTAGCTCAGTCAACACACATTTCAAGTGCCTAATCTTAAGACCACACTTAATCCCTTGTCCCCTTTTTCCACCCTAACTTTTTCTCATTCTTTCTCTCTTATTCTCTGTCTCAGCTTTTCAAAGCCTGAGCATTTCTGTATTCTGATTGTTGTACATGTCTTTTCTGTCTGTGTTTGTTTCATAAAATTTGTTGTATTGCATTTTTACGATATTCATTATTTCATTCATTTGTGGACCAGCTTTTTCATCTTGTTAATTAATACTTCCTCCTCCTCCCCCCCGTCATTAAAATAACTCTTGAAAGATTTTAATAAATCTCCGGTGTGTTACTTATGTTGCTCCTTGTTTATTTTCTATTTTTTCTTGAGCAGTCGATCTTATTTTGTACAGTAAAATTTATTGCCATGTTTTTACTTATTATTTTTATGTAACATTGGCGGAAAGTGGAATTTTCTGGCCGAGGAGAGGTAAAAAAAACTTATTTCTTTTTAGAATAGAGAATAGAGAATTTTTTATACTTGATGTTTTTGTCGGGTAAAGTTTTTCACGTAAGAAATTTTTTACTTCTCTCCCCAAACGCTTAAAGCATTTCTATGCAAAAATCGGCGGAAAGTAACCACTTTCTGTGTTGCGTGGACATGAAATTTAACTCTTCATCTGCATTGACATATTAATTACCTCAATACACTACGTATGCATTGAAAACTTGTTGAGATCACAGAGGATCTCTGATGTTCTTCACTGTAACCACCATACATGTATATCGTCCTGCATTATTTTGGATTGATCGCATACCCATACAATGTAGTGTAGAGCAATGGATTTTATTTAGCCAAGCGTATGTTACAGTTTATGTTTTTAATGTTCACCATTTAAAATTTCTTAGACATGTGTTACCAATAGGACTACTTACGTGTAAATACATATTTGTTTACTTAAACGCATGATACAAAATTTATGTTTATGTGATAATGATATTATTAATCAAACAAAACTTAAATAAAATGAAAATTTCTTACAAATCAAATAGCACCTATATTTCATGATTGTAGTGAGGTTATGGTGTCACCTTCTAATCCTTACCCAAGTCCACGTTAACTTTTATTGTAGACACACTCTATTTAATATGTTAATAGTGAACAACCTAAATTATTTTGCATTTTTACTAATTATTACTTCAGAAATGTAAAAAGTAGATTTCAGCTTGAATAATATTTTATTTGTTAGAAGAGTCAGTTGTTCACTGTGTAATACCGCAACATAATTTTATTTTTACAAGTTCAAAAAAAAATGTTTTTTTTTTATTATTGATGTGTGTCTGAACTTTAAACTTTTACTCAATGAAATGTCATTGAAGCTTGATTATAATTTTTTTATTATAAATACAGTAGTTTTTTTTTTAAAGAATTTGGAACCAATAGAGAGAAGAAAGATAATTGAAAAATATTCATATAAAAATCACAATTAAAAGAGAGGAAAAAATCGTAAGAAAGAGAAAGTAATCAAACTACAAAAAATAATTTTTTATTTGGTAAATAATGTTGCAGGTGACATGTACTCGCGTCAGACAACAGGCTCAGGAGCTCCTGGTTCAAGTGGTAGCTCAACTAAGACACCCGATTATGCTGGTTACACCGGCTACAGCAATTACGCAGATACATCATATCCACAGCGTTCTTATCAAGGTGGAGAAAGCAGCCAAGGTGGGTATGCTGCCAGCGCACCTAAACCGGGTCCACAAGGCTTTGATCTCAAAGAGTGGCCCGCCTCATGACCGTTTTAATTTCAACACAAAATTCCCGTCTTCACGGACGTAACAAGCGCCTAAGGCTTAATTGCCTTGCTCTCGTGGGTTGTCCATTTACTTTTCAACTCTCGGACCTGATTCTACCGGCCGGCTACTACTCATCACTCTACGCTATCCCAGCAATGATCAACGTCTCGCTCAATAATTACACACTTTTTAAGTAACATCACTATACTGTCACTATTGTTTTTTTTTGCATCACGACCCAACAATGATAACACGCAGTACAATCAGTTTTATCATTAATCATGACTTACAGTGTTTTTTAACATTTTTTTTTTATCTTCGCTAATTTACACAAGTATACAAACTATAAACACAATATACGTATTTACATACACATACAAAGTGCTCGCGTGAGACTCAATTCTAACTATAATCCAGTCCTTTATCCTAGCAAGCTTTTACCTTGATTACTATTACGTAACATAATTGTTAAAAAAAATAATAATAATAAATAACTAAAACAAGAGTCACGTGTCAAAGAAAGTATCATAAGTAGAATTAATTACTTAATTATAATTATAATAATAACAACAATGTGATTTTTAGACTAAGGTGACGTTAAAAGGGTCAATTGTGAATATAAAAAGCTGTGTAAGGTGTTAGTTTATAGCAACAGTAATCAATGCAAAAGTCTGCTAGGATTTTTAAAATATCTCTAAATTTATTCGGTAATAAAACGTACAACGGAAATCCATTCTTGAGTGATCCTTTTTGAGAAAATTGTAGTATTTAAATTAAAAATTTTTTTTTGTCAATATCATTTCACGCCAATTATTTGCCCCTAGAAAAAAAAATCGAGACAGCGTGGATTTTAAACTGTTATCAACTGCTCTCAAGAATGGTCGATAACTTATTTCATAGATACTAAATATATACAGTTAGTATAAAGAGAACTCAATTTAAAAAAAAAGTAAAGTAGAATAATCACGACGACGAGATCAAAGCGACAATAGGCTACCCATGGTGCAAGCATAAGTCCTTCGGCGCTGGGACACCGAGGGCAAAAATTAATCATGCTTATATATTCATATATATATTTATAATTATATACATATATATGTGTCTATATCAATTATATTTTCTGCGACCTTTAATTTAAACAAAATTTTTTTTCTCCTTTAACAAAAATTTCGAAAAAAAAAAAAAAAAATGAAAAAAAAAGAGTATCGATAAACAATCTCCAACAGAGGCGGAGGAGCACATACACTAAGAAATTGACGATGAAGGCGATTATCGCTGTGGCCATCCTGTTAACTTAAAAGATACACGAGCGCTTGATTTTACTTACTTTATTTTTTAATCTCCAATATTAAAATTAAAAAATTTGCAAAACCCACGCTTTGTTTATGTACATTTATTCATCGCTTGTCTAATATTCATACACAGTTGATAAGTTTGCATTGAATAATCTACATCTCAATGGAACTGTGCACTATCAAAAGTATATTCTTGAATTACGCTATACAATTATTGGTCATTATTGTCGACTTACGAATTGAAATTATTTACTCTGATAAATGTTATAATTATAAAATTTGGCGCTCTTATATCTTTACAGCGGTGTACGTTACAATAGAAATGAATTACAAAGTTAATGTTTAAAAATTACTTTTGAAATGAAAATAAGTGAAAGTGCTTGGAATAATGCCTGAGTGTGAGAATGAGCGTGTGTGCGTTTAGTTGACACAAATGATGGAATGCACGACCAGGATGAATGGAAAAAAATGATTAACTGAAGACAGTCAGAGGGTCAACAGAGTAATTATTGGCGACAGGTTCGCAATATCGAGACGACCAACACTTTACAATCAATATGATCTACTGTTATTCATAGTGGTCAATAACTAATAATGAAACTATACAAAATAAAACGACGAATTATTAATGCGATTTTAAAAGTCAATATAATCATAAGCGGTTTCAAACGAATAATTTAACTATTTGACGGAAGTATGACACATGTAGAACTTATTTGGACGTGTGCTTATAAATTATCTATCAATGATGGTATTTTTGTGGTTTTTAATCTGCTCTTTAGTTTTATCATAATTTTACGTCTGTGCTGTGGAATTATTGAAATTTATACAATTGTTTGTTAAGATTTTAATTTTTATTAATAGTTGTTGCAATTATAATTACTTTTTTTAATGATTCTTGAGATTTTTTACAATTTAGTATTTGCTACTATTTTCACGATTTATTAGTAATACCACTATAATTATAACTACTGTTGTTGTTATTTCGAGAATATTTTAACTCTACATTATTCTTATAAAATTAATGTTATTTTATCAGCACTCAATTAAAACAAGGATGTGCAGTTTTGTAAATTTTTAATTTTTAATGCTAATTGTAAATTGAATACGTTTTTAATTATTTAATGGAGCTTAAGAACTGATTTTTACATAAGTACATTTCATCTCAGTTTTAATAAAAATTAATTTTTAAGCATACCTATGTAAGAAAGAAGCAGTCATACATCATTTTAAAAACCAAATACCACTTTATTATGGCCATTGTTATTGTCTTGATTTTAGTAGGAATAAATATATCAATAGCTTTGCCACGGCTATTATTTTCTAATTATAATTAAAACTATCCATGTAAATTACGACCACTGTACAAACTATTTGACTACTTATTATTTGTGCCTTAATTATCACGTATGTATAGATTTCGTTTACGAATTACTTATTAATATACCTTTAATTCATTCACTCGAAAGATTCTCATCTTTTCATGTGCAGTGAACAACCTAAATTATTTTGCATTTTTACTAATTATTACTTCAGAAATGTAAAAAGTAGATTTCAGCTTGAATAATATTTTATTTGTTAGAAGAGTCAGTTGTTCACTGTGTAATACCGCAACATAATTTTATTTTTACAAGTTCAAAAAAAAATGTTNAGTTAAGATTGCCTTAGCTTTGTTGTAAGGACACTAAGTAGTAAGAAAGAATAACTTTATATACATATATTTATATAATAGCAGAAGATATGCAGCTTAAGGGAATGATAAATATTGTGAAACGAACTGTGTAAATTTTTGTTAAATTTTAATATCCTCGTTGACTCGAGTCTTTAATACATTTTGAAAGCCAAAGGCAAGTCTCTAAGAAAAATGGCACAAATAATAAGGACAGTGGAATAAAAATAAATGACGTATAATAAGATCATACAACTAAAGAATGATTATATATGATAATAGTAGTAATAATAATTGACGACATAATACGGATAAAAGCGATTTTTATTAATAATGAACAGATGATTATATTTATATTAAAAAAAAGTATAATTAGTATTTTTCAAAAGTAAAGCCAACTAGTTATGACGTATGATAATCCAGATGTAAAAAATAAAAATATAGCTTTTAGGTAATGTGTTGAATTTTTGGATGATTAAATTGTAAGAAAAAATTAAAGATCGCTTATTAACTACTATGTGGCTGCATTCGCTTCAGCATACTCCCAGGGTTGTTGACTACTTTTCTAATCGGCTTTCATCGGTCGGAGTCGTTGGTATCTTTTTTTATATACATCACACTTGTCAACGGCACATGTGTCGTTCGTAAACTTTCACACAAATGCCAGTGAGCTAACGCTGGTAATTTTTAATTAATAAAAAATTGATACACTTTACAAACTACATTATATGTACTACAGTTCATGGAAAATCAAATAAAAACAATTGAAATCTTTGACTGAACCTCTTAGATGAGGAGAGTTTAATTTAAAAGCTTCTATTACATTTAATATACCTATGTACTATACATAATTACCTAGCATGACTGTGTGACATAGCGTGGAATAAAAATTTAGATTTTGAGATTCAAATTAAATAAATAAAGTGTATGCCTTCTTTGTTAAGAATTAATCGTTGAACTTTTTAGTACACATGAGACATTTTCTAATTCATAGTGGGAATCAATAATCTATCAATATTGATAATTCGAGTAAAATGCAAAGTTTTAAAGTGGGTAAGAAGTAAGTTTAGGATTAAATGAATTAAGTAACTAGGTGAAAAAGAGAGAGAACAGTAACATAAGAGTTAAAGATTACTTTACTTAAAACAATTCCTATTATTTATTATCTATTCTAAAAATGTACATCAAAGAGAGTTTAATTACGATAATAATGGAATCAAGGAGTAAATAGTCGATCGATCGGAAGGGTATAACACAAGTTTGTGAACACTCGACTATACCGTACGTACTCAAAGTTGCGCGAATAATATCTATAAAGAAAAGAAAAAAAAACAAATATAATAAAATATGGCCAAGGAAAAATGAATGTATGAGAATGAGAGTAGTGAGGAGTGTGGTGTACTAGTAATTTGTCGAATGAATGTTGTGTCTGAGCATTCTGTGCGCGTGATGTAAGAAAAGCAAACAAGACAAGTGAACCAGTGCTTTAAAGGAACGTGATTAATACGAGATGATGATTACGGTGATGACGATAGAGATAGGAAAATTTTTTAAAGAACAAATATAATGTAATGTCAAGTTTTATAGAATTATAAATAATATTCAATCGGGATTCCGCCACAAATGGCCCGTTTAACAAAGACTGGTTTTAGCCTCTAATTAAAGATACGATTACTGAATTTTACCTGTACGCGTACGTCTTTTTAGATATTGTCAAATCAACTTCTTTACTTTCTTACTTTTAACACTCGTACCTTGAAGATAATGAACTTTTACTTTTAATGATTAACGGTTAAATAAGTAATAAATGTTAACGAGATCGTAATTATAAATGATTAATTAAAGAAACATAAACAGTAACTAATACATTAGATTGTACTTTCACTTTTAATGTTATTAATGTATTAATGGAATATCGATGAATTTTACTGAAAACCGCTCGTTGGCTCGTTCGTAATTTTTTGTGTTCGTAATTTTTTTAAATGGTAAGAAGTGCGCGCGATAAATACATTATATATGCCCTCGTTCGCGATTTGTACAAACTATTGAAACGCACGATCAAGATGTGACTAATTTATCTTAAGGGTTATTATTCATAACGAAATTTAAAAAAAGTAAGAGACCATTAAGTATAGAAGAAAAAACAAACGTGCCGCATTCTTCTCAAAGACGCACTTTTGAAGGAATAAACGTATATAATACACACGTATATGTATACATATTCGTTTATAGGTATTTATGTATAGACGTATATATGTTGCAACAAAGTTTTCAACACGATGGCAAAAATATAATATTTACATGTAGACGTTTGTTAATAATGTGTACAAAATGTCTAGAGAGAAGATCTTCATTCGTCATTTCTTACGCTCTCACCGACTCTTTTGGAAGATTTTTTGCACTACAAGTCAAGGTTGCAGAATATTTTGCACTTAACTTAACAAACTAACAAAATATATATATATATGTATGTATATGTGTATATCTATATATCATATGACTCGATCGAATTTTCCACTACGTGTTAACCCTTCGATTTATTACAATGATAACTTCACTTTTTTTTTTATAATGCACTTAACCATTTTTTATGATTACTACTACGGTTATTTTTCTATACGAATATTTCTCTGTTTCATCGTATAATTTAGCATACTTTCAAAGCAACATCTTATACCTCTGTAGTTAAAAAATAATTTTTAATATACTGCGCTTCAAACATTTTATCACGTTCACATCATGACTGATTAAATTCATATTATCACTAATCAGCGCAAAAAAAATTAAAACCTTAATATTTACACAGATACGTCTAATTACTCGATTTCTTATTCCAGTTAATCTCTCGTCTTTACTCGATTTTTTTTTTTCTTAGTTCACTGCCACCCTTACCCTTGCTTTTATTAACATTAATATTTTCGTTATCATTATTATTATTATTATTATTATTATTATTATTATTATTACTATTATTGTTACTTATACTTACGTTGGTCCAAATAGTCCATATAAAATTTTTTTTGTTGAACTAAAGATCAAGGTGGTTATATCACAAAAATCTTGCTTTATTGAGGATTAAAAAAATTAAAAAAAAAAAACAACGAACAATTTGTATTTTAAGTAATGTTTTTTTAAAACGGTAAAATCAATTCTAATATCGTTACTGTAGCATACCTACCACACTTAATGAAAAATATACTTGTAAAAAAAAAATTCATTCAAAAGATAATTTGTCTATGACCACCCTGCCTTACATCTATCTAAATGACAGTGAATATATAGGTAAACGACTAACTTTTAAAACAAATTTTAACCATATTTTATTTTTTATAATTTTTTTTTTTTCATTTTTAATCTCTAATCTTCGTATTACTTATCACTATAGCATAAGTTGTCAGTACACATAAAAATGTTTTGAGAAACCTGTTGTTACTTTACCGAAAACATAGAAAAATTATTCTTATGTATACTTCAACCTGGCTACATTTATTATAATATATTTAGAATTGTTTTTAGGATTATAATGGGAGAGTATATTTTTAAAGGGATACAGTTTTTTTCCCTACATAAGATTATTCAAAACAAAAAATTTGAGCTATTTTTTTATACTTTCTACTATTTTCATGTTATTGCCTTGTTTTGTTGATCTTTATTATTAATTTACGGTATTGATCGTATATCAAGTAATAGTAGTGGCAGGAGCTCAAGTAAATTATCTAAGATCGGTAATATATGAACTAAAATATACGAAACAGACAGATTGTTTGAAACAATATACTATATTATCTGACTGCTGATACATGTGTAATGTAAAATTTAAGGTGTAAAAAATTAATGACAGTTAAGCCAATAACGACGTGTTACAAAAAAACTTAAAAATCGAGTAGGGAAAACTGAGATACTTTAGCAAAATAGATATTAAACCAGGTCGCATCTATAATTAAATAATCGTATCCCTGACAAAGTTCAAAGTACCTACTGTACCTTAAAAACTTTAAGCGCTTATTATTATTATGTAGTAATTACAGAGGAAAAAAATCATTTTTTCTATTTATTGAGTCTTTCAAATTTTCAATATTTTGTATTAGTATCCTCGTCCTTAGCCTTATCTACGCGCGTCGTTGTTCCCTCACGTCATTTTTAAGATTGAAAAAAACGAAATAATAAAAATACTTTATATCACCGAAATTACAATGAAAATATTGATGATAGTGATGATGATAATAATAATAATGATGATAGTGGTAATGAGAATTGTTATGATTACAATAATAGTAAAACTAAAAGTGATTTTAATAAACAATCGTATAAGCCTGAGCTACTTGGAATTTGCGTACTTTCGTTTAATTAAGCTAAAAATAAAGAGACTAAGTAAAGGTGCAGTAATCCATAAGTTTGTAAAACAATGTATTTCTAAGCATTACGATTAATTTTAATGTAAGGAGCATAGTTACGATCAAAATGAGAACAATTTGTCTAATCAATCAATTTACAATAATTATGAAACTATTTTTGTTTTAGTGTTTATTAAATTAAATCGAAAAAAAAATAATCATGAAATATTTTCACCTAAGAAAAATACGTAATGGCACGGATACATAGGTACCTATAAGAACAAACAATATTTCAAGCTTACATCTCGTAAAATTAATATTTACAAGAACTCACCTTTCTATTTCGGTTTCAAGTACTAAGAATAAACTTGATAATTATGTATAGAGATGAGAGATTATTAAACGAAAGATACTTGTTTCTCGGCGCTGTATATTACTCAACAACATTTCTTAAATCTTTTTAATAACTGAGCATTTGGCATAAAAGACGTAGTTTTAATGAACAAAAAAAATGGGTCTGACCGAAGACTCGATTGCAGTCTTGTGATATATTTAACGGAATTCTTTGCCTGACAAAACGATTAAATGATTGATCGATACTTAATACAATTAACGAAGCTGATATCATACTGATAATAATAATAATAATGATGATGATAATGACGTTATTATTATTATTACAACTACTCTAAGAATAATAACAATAATGTTAATTATAACATATTATACTACCTACTATTAACTGTACGTTATATCTCTACAACAACTATTATATGGATAGCTGTATACTAATTATAAGTTGGCATGATAAGTGATGACTATTATTATTATTATCATAGTGATGATTATATAATACAATTAAATTTAGAAATGAAAATGATTTACTCGTAAAAATATACATATATAAATATACACATTCTGTGGTATAGATGATGAACATGAGGATTATAATTAAATGGAAAAAAATATTAAAATTTTTTAAGAAGTCTTTATTACATCCTTGTCATTACTATCCTCACTTATGATCCTAAAAGTTTTTTGAATTGTTTAAGAACCATCTATAATAGTAATATGTGTAATATTATTAAAGTATTTTTTTAAGTTAGTTTAATTTATTGGTATAAAGATCATTTGATGTTTTCATGGCATAACTAGTAGGAAGTAAAGACAAAAAGCATATAAAGCAGTGTAAAAGACATAAAATTATACTCGAGAATTAATACAGAGATACTGTTTATTTATGATGTTTACTGACTGATTAATTTGACGCTGAAACTAATGACGTTTAATAAATAAGGGATATAAGCCCCATGTTACGCACACACTGAGTGGCAAGATTGCAGGATGAGCGGAAAAAAATATGATTGATTGGGATGAAATTAAATAGAAATGAGGTGGTCCATTCGTTTGATAAACAATGAGGAAAGGTAGCTGTACTTAACTGAACAGCGCCTTATTTGGTGACGATAAGTCGAGGATCGATCAGGCGAAGAATTTGATCATGTTTTGTCAATGATTACCGACAGGAGGAGGAGGAGGAGGAGGAGGAGGAGGAGGCAGCAGTGGAGGCGGGGGGGCTGGAATGCCGGTGGCATCAAACAACAGCAACACCAACAACAGTAACGACTTCGTTGGAGTTGGCTATAGGAACCCAAGCCCCAACGGTGATGTCGCGAATCATCATCAGTCGCATACGAATGCAACAAAAGCTACAGCTGGAACGACGGGCATAGGACCCCAAAGAGCCTCTCACACATTGGCTAACAACAGTAACTCTAGCTATCATCCGTACCGGCGATAACTTTCTCATGGGTTTCAGATTTCAACAAATCGCATTCCAGATAAAATATTTTTTAACTTGACATCCACTATTGTCTCAAAGAGTCATGCTGTTGTCTCTTTGACTCATCTTTTTCTTTATTTTATTAGTTTTTTTTTTTTTTTNGAAAAAGGACACACGTATATAGATGAAAACGATTTGGGTTAAGAAATATGAAGGAGCGTAAGTACGGAGCAAGAAATAAAGATAAATTGCGCAGAAGGTGTTTTAATCCGAGAAAAGGTATGCCAAAATGATTTCGCCACTCTTCAATTCACATATAATATTATGTAATACATCATTTGTCATACATGCCTATATATTTGTATTATTCTCTATTTATATATAATATTCTTATTTCGAATTATATATATATATACGCATATGTATTTAAAAAAATGACTGTTCAAACATACAGAGCGTAACTCGCGAAACTCATTTTAAAGTGTAATATCAGATACTTAATTTCTTTGTCCATAATAATATTTAATATGAGAGAATACTCTATTGGGCAAACTCTATTGAATTTAATAAAAGTACCATCAGCTGAAAATTAATTCACAGAACTAGTATTTACGTCACCATGACATAAAATGCTTTAAGAGAATTGAATTTTGTTTGAATTTTTGTAAAAAATTTTATGGTAAACTTATTGTTAACCATGTACCAAACAATAAACTTAGTATCAGTATATTATGTGCATAATTTGCGATACTATTGGAATTATTATTGCATTTATGCGCTGTCATTTTGTCTTCAAGTTTGTTATTGATCTCTTCATATATTAATGTAAGAAAATTTGTAAACAAGAAATAAAAATTGTCGTTTTGTAAAATTTACCCAATTATTTTAATTAAAATGGTTCACAGTTTTGTTGGATCTATCATTATAAATTGTAATACAAAGGTCAAGTTAAATAATCTTTATATAAAATAATGATGAATCAGGATTTTAAATACATTTAAAATATTCTACATGAGTAGCAGTTAAATTTTAATTAATAAGAGTTGAGCAAAATATTTTTTGAAGAAGGTTTATTAAAAATTAAAAATACTGTATATACACATCTATGTACATGAAGACTAAGGTGAAGTTGGCCTATACCACGTCTTAGCTTCAATTGCTCTCTTAAACATAACGTGTTGACTGCGCTGCTTCATACGTTGAATGAAATCGTCCTTTTCTTCCAGCAGTATATCGTCAGCCGGCAGTTTTGACTCATCCTTGGTCTGGCAACAAATAAAAGTAACCTTGAGATCAGCGTTATCCCCAATACGATTTAACTCAAATTTCATTCACTCGTCGATATAAACAATGTAATGTAATTAAGATGTGATGATTATTTAAGACCCACACGAATAGAAAAGATCACGAAATTAAACATTGTAGATACGTTAAATATCAATGTGACAGAAGCTGCTGGGCGGAAAATGTAATGAGGAGAGTTGATATGCTTGAATAAATCGGGGAAGCATACCAAGGAAGACAAACAGTGAGAGAGTTAAAAAACTTAGCTACAAACCTTGACGGCATCATCGGTCTCTCCCCAGTGCTCGTAATCCTCCTCCTCCTCCTCCTTTTTATCCACTTGGTCGTTAAAATCACGCTGCTTGCTCGCCGAGGACTCGTTTTGCTCCCGATCTCTGCCTCTTTTATCGCGGTTACCGCCTCTGTCACGATAGCCCCGATCTCGACTTCCTCGCTCCCGATCCCAATTGCGGTGGGACTTCAAGCGATCCCGTTCGGCTTCCTTGTCTCTCGAGCGTGAACGTGAACGTGAACGCGAACGCGTACGTTCACGTGACCTTTCCTTAGAGGCCGCTTTGTCTTTGGATTGTGAGCGATCGGCACGCGAGCGAGAACGTGATCTGGAGGAGCGCCTATCTTCACCACCCTCCTCGAGAATGCGGTTAATCTTCTCTTTGGCCTCGTCCACCTTCTGCATAGGGTCAGGTGAAATGCTTCTACCGTTGGAGCGGGAGCGAGAGCGGGAGAGGGAGCGGGAGCGGGAGTACGCCCGCCTGTCCCTGAATTCCCTCCTGTCTCGGAAATTGTTGTCGCGGTTATTGTGGAAGTGGCGACTGCCTCGCTGATTCATCCACCCGTCGTTGCTGCGATGGTTATTGTGGTAGTAGTTGCGCCCGCCACGATTGTTAAAGCGATTTTGGTTATTGAACTGATTGTTGTAAAAGCGCTGGGGCTGGTTGCTACCGCTTCTGTAGTTGTTCTGGCCATAACCCCGATAGTTCTGATTGTTGTATGGCTGGAATCGAGGTTTGTAATAAGTGCCGCGATTGTTGAAATTTCGATTATTGTTGAACTGTCGTTTGCGGTAGTAGCCACGGTCGGGGCTGCGCGAGCGCGATCGTGAGTACGAGCGTGACCGTGATCGGGAACGCGACCGAGAGCGTCCCGAGTGGCTGCCGGATGGCGAGCGACTGTACTTGCGCTCAAAACTACCAGAGCGCCGGTTGGCGGTGCGCGAACGGGACTGCTGATCAGAACGTCCCGAGTGCGACAAGCCAGAGCTGGAGCCACTACGCGATCGGGAACGTGAACGTCTGACCCGAGGGCCTGGTCCACCAGACTGACGTTGTCGCGACCCGTCTCGCTCGCCTGGACCACCGGCACCACTGCGCCGACCGCGTTCTCGTTCGCTTTCGGAGCCAGAGCGCGATCCCGAGCGTCGCCTGTTAGAGATAGACGGGGGTTGGTCGTCTGCCTGACCAATAGGTTGGAACTTGCTGCCAAGGCTCGAGAATTTAAGCTGGCTGGTGGTGAGAGTTTCCCGATGTCAAGGAAGACTCTTTGTAGCCCTGATATTTGTTTTGGGGCTGGGGAGTTGGGTACTGGACGGGCGCAGGTGGCGGCTGTTGCGGTGGTGGAGGAGGCGCGTGGTGCGGATGCTGCTGCACTTGCTTCAGCGGCGAGTCTTTGTGACCCGAAGACGGGGCCATGGCCGATAACTGTTGCTGCTGTTGCAGTTGTTGCAAAGTGCGCTTTTCTCCCGTTTCACGTTGTATCTGCTTGAAAGTGTTGAGGGATTTGTCGAGAGGTCGATGGATTTCAGGCTCTTCTCCCTCGTTTTCAAGAATTGACTTTACCTTTTTTTCAGGCTGCATATTTGGCCACTTTTGATGATGTGGATCACGCTGTCTAAAAAAAATAAACCGTTTTTTTAGAGCTAGCCTTTGAACGCAAAAAGTTTTTAGTGATGTAGTTTATGATAAACACCATACATACTTGGATGCTTGAGCGGCTTTCCATTTAGCGTTAAGAGCTGCCGTATCCAAAATTGGCTGTTTTGGTTCTGGATGAATTAATTGAGAGTCCTGTTGAAATGTGTCAGAAAATTGTTTTTGTTCAACGTCTGAAACAAGAAAGTGACTCAAGCTAATAGAAATAGTGTAAAAAGGCTGGAAAATTTCAAAAGTTATATGTAATTGGGGGTTTGACTGGAACTACATAAAATATTTGAAAATTATAAAACACCAGTAGGACATCAAAATGAGGCGCCATTTACCTTTTCTTTGCAAGGTCCTATTTGTTCTTGGATCTTTTTCGTGGTATGGCTTCAATAAGTCATCTCCGCGTGTATCTTCGGCAAGCTTGTCACTACGCAAAGAAGATATAGCATTATACTGAGGCAGATACTTATTGAATGTAAACATATAAAAACTAGTGCCCTTTACCATAACCAGACGCACTTCGAAAAAATATTTTTATAATGTTAGGCAATGAATGAAAGCTACGAGTTAAAATTAACGGTGATGGTAACAAGGCTATTCGAAAATTATTTACAACATTAACGAGAAGTTGGTGAAACTGAAATAATATGGAGTATATACCATTCGATTTTCAGAGCTAACCTTTTGATTGAAGCCGTTTCCACTTTAGCATAGTAAGCGCTAAGCTTAGATTCGAGTTGCTCAATGTCAGGCAGAGATGTTTGCAAATCTCGCTCAAGTTTATCTTTATTCTTACTCTTCTTGCGTTCCTCTTTTTTCTTCTTCTTCCGTAATTTTGTTTCTTCTATGTCTTTAGTTTTTTTTTCTTTTTTCTTTTTTTTTACTTTTCTGTCCTGTTCTGGGGTTCTTTTACTTTCTTTTTCTTTGTCTCGCTTCCATTTTGCTGTTTCTTCCAAAAACTTTCGGACCTGTGAATTGACAAAAAGTTATACAAGTATGTCACTACGAAGAAATAATTTAGTAAGTATACCTTTTCCTCGTAATCTGAGTCGTCCTTGGTTTGATCAAAGAATTTGCGCACTTTGAGTTCGTACTCCTCCTTTTCGCGCATGTTCGAGCTCCGACTTTGCTGAGAAGGCAATTGCAGTAAGTCTACTTGCTGTCGAAGCCGCTGAGGTTGCTGCTGATAGTGATGATACAATGGCTGATGCAATTGCAGTAAATGCTGCTGACCGAAAGCCTCTGCAGGGTCGACTTGTCCAAGAGTTCCTGCAGGTGGGTTATTGTACAGAGTTGCGCGTTTCGATAGCGGCGACAGTGAAGACCCGTGGTCCTTTTTGTGCTTGCGTTTACTGGTATACCCAGGCGAGTACGGGTTGAAACGAGAACTTCCACCAGAAGAGCTTGAACTGCTCGACGACTCGGAGCTACTACTGCTGCTCGAAGAGTCGTCACTTGAGGAGTTAGAGCTGGAGCTCCAGCTCTGTTGTTTTTTAGAACGCGACTTGCGTTCTTTTTTGTGTTGTTTCTTTTCTGTTTGGGAGTCGAGATCAATGACTTCGGAACTAGTGCCAGCGCTTACGCCTCTAGTCGGCATAGCAGACTCGGCAGAAGTGTCAAAATTGTGGGCTCGCTCAAGTGTATTTGTAACTACGTTCATTTGCTGTTTTTCGCCTTTCAAGTACTCGACCGATTTTCTCGCCTCATCATGATGTGGCATTATGGCGAGACAGTCCTCGTAAGCCTTTAGAGCATCTTCATACTTCTTTTCATTTTTGTAACTTCGGCCTAGTGCAACTAGTGTTTCGGCCATATACTTGCGCACACTTGCATGACTGGGGTTCAGCTTGAGTACCGTTTCAAAGTCTTCGACAGCTTTCTTCAGATTACCACTGTTGGCGTTTCTGTTTGAACAATGAAACTGATGTAAGTATAGTAATCGATTATGATTACGACAAAAAATTTTCAAAGCATCTTACAATGCTCCTCTGGCGACGAGCCCTTCGATATTGCGTGGATCGATAGTGAGAGCTCTATTTAGGCATAGAAATGCATCAACATGCCGCTTAGCTTTGAAATGCTCGATGCCCTTAGCTATGCTACTTAGCGCCCATTTGCTAGCTTGCGCTTTCCTTAATTCACTTGCATACTCATTGGATGGAAACTTTTCTCTAATTTAATATAATACAAAGATGTCATTACTTCAATTCATACCAACAAATATGTATTTTTTGTTAGCAAATCAATTAAGTAAATTTTTTAAATTTACTAATTAAAAATAAAACCTCATGCTCGCATCAGAATATGCACAGAGAATTGAAGTATTTGACAGTACCTTAATCCCACCATATTTGAATGATTGATTTGACCTAGACCCATCAAATCAGACAAAACTTGAATGTTGTCTGGATAATTGAAGCCAATACTATTCTCCAAGAGTATGTCATAGGTTTTTCCTTTGTTACTCATTGCGTTCCTAAAAAAAAAGTGTTTTTTATATTTTTGTATGTCAGTCTTAATGTTCATAAAGTTATAGTTTTCAATTTTTTGTTTCATGAACTACATAATTAATAGTTGCCAATCGAGTACGAACAAGTTTTTCCTAATTATTTTTCTTCATGTTTGTAGCTTTTTTAAATTCTGATTTTTTCACTCTTAGAATATGGTAGTATTATGTTACTATTAATTGTAAAAAACAACATACTTATATGCATTTGGTAAATCATCAGCATGTACAAGTCCCATAGGGGGATGTGGGGTTTGACCTTCACGAGCTGGCACATTCATAACAGCAATAACTCGCTCAGCCTCTACATTAACTTCACCGACACCGACACAAACTAGGTCATTAGCCGAGTAACTTTTTGCAACACCATTTTTATCCACGGCTGGCACAGAAGCAGTATTCCATATAAAAGCCTATGCATCAAAAAAGGCAAATTTAACACAATTTCTTTTTATCGTAATAACAATGAAGAATATTACCATGACATCAAGGTCAGATGCAATTTTTGAAAAATCACTGCAATTACAGAGAATTTTCAATAATAATCCATTGGCATGTGTACTCTTAACTTGTGCAAAAATAACATCTCCAACTTTTAAACCCTTTATGTATCAAATTTAAATTAGTTAGCAATAATCGCTCAGAGTTGTGTTGGTGTAATGAAAATAAACGTAATGAAGTTACCTTTAAGAAATAGCGTTTTTTTTGTGATTTGTCCATGTCAACAAAAAAATCCAAGCTGGGCATTGAAGCATAAGATTCTACAAGTAGAAATAAATTATGAGAATAAGTAATTAATTATAAGTATTCATAGGTTCAAAAGTATGTTTATGAAAGAATTGGATTTTATCAGCGAAGTACATATATTAATACAAGTACCTATATCACCAAGCTGTTGTCTAATAAAATCACATGCTGCAATGGAGTTAAACCTGTCATAAAATGCATCTGCTTTCTTTGCGATGAATTGTTGTAACTTTAATCTTTTTCCTCTTTCACTAAAACTAAAAAATAACAAAGTATAAAAAATGTATCTGAAAAAATTTTTGCATTCTTTTTAGTAACACAAGTAGTAGCTTTTAAGTTAATCCAGAGAAAATTATTTTTTTAAATAAATTAATCAGCATATTTAACACCTTTAATATATGTATAGCACACAATTAACAATTTTACAGATCAGAAAAAGTAATGCTAGTAAAGAATTTTTGATAAGTATCTACCTCAATTTATGTTGACGTTGTTCATAAATTTCAAAGGTGGGCTTTTTGAGATTGAGCATGACCAGCTCAGCCTCATTACGCTCGTTCTCCCAAACTTTTTGGAGCTGTTGTCCATGATATTTGAAAGCTTGAGCAATCAATTGTGAGTCCATGCTATCCATGTGATTTCTTAGTTTTTACTTAAATTGTTCCGCAAAATCTAAAATATGTAATGTGTCAAAACTGAATTATTGATATCATGATTTTAAACATGTATATGTACAACTTGCATTATTAATGAGTTGTAACTGTTACATATCTCTTTACTAGGAGTTAAGTGCTATATACAACAAATATCAGAAGAAACGTTCAACGAGCTTAAAATGCTAAGTATGAACTCTTAGAAATACCATATAAATATAGAAAATTTTCAATTATTCCCCTGTTGAATGATTCTCCGAGTTAAAGAAGCACGGATGTAAAAGTTTTTATGTATAGTATATTAAATTATGGGGCGATGTACGAAAACAAAAAACTCCGTTGGCTACGTCCGGTTTTGTACTTAATGTGAAAATGCATAAAGTATTAATAAATATGAATCACTGTAAAGTTAAGTATACAGAACATAAACTGGAAACAATCAGTATTATAGTATCAAGATGCACGTCTGAATGGTAATAGAATAGATATATTCTTTGGCAAAAATTGTGGTAGTCATGAGTACCATGTAGTTTGTATGGAACAAACGAGTTGTTTTAACAAAGTTATTAGGTTACCTCTGTTTATCTATTGATTGGATGAAACTTTCATGTCGTACTCGTAATATGTCTGTTGTACTGAAAAATAATTACATTTAATAGTTACACTATATGGTCCGCGAGGCACATTACACCACACGCACATTACAAATAAAGTAATTGGTCATAATATTTTTGGATGAAGCCTATATCATTAACGTGCCCGATTGCCCGCAACTGTAGCTCTCAAAAAAACCCTCTCAGTGAATTAGTGTGAAGCAACGTTATAAAGTTACACCTATATATCACTGTCCATTTTGTACGTAGTAGAGGTTATATGTGCAGGGCACCTATTAAAAAGTAGAATCTTTTGTTATCTGCATGCGTAACAATTCGACATTCGACCATTACAATTATCACCACTATGAACTAGTATGAAGATGAAGACATGACGATGAGTACTTAAATGTGAACCGCAGTTCACCATCAGTATCACTATCACCACCTCCTTTTTAGCGCATGTGTATTGGGTAATAGATATACACCTACACACCTGTCTATATGTCGAAGTCGAATGTCGGTAAGTATAGAGTATTTCGATAAAAAAATTCATAGATATACGTAAAATATAGGTACCTATTTTAAGTTAACATTGTTAACATAGGATTAGCAAGAAAACGTATAATTATGTGCATTTCCACCGTAAGCTCCTAAAATCTGCTTATAATACTTTGAGAAGTGATGAAAATTCATCCCCATCAAGGTTTGATTCCACGAGGGCTGTCTGGGTAGGCTGTCTCGATCGCTAACCGGCTCTCCCTGCCCTCCCTGCGAATTAATGGATTCGATGAGTCAATGAGTCATTAAGTATATAATAAGAAGAAAGTTTTTTCAAATAAATTATCATTAACGTCGAAAATATAAATAAGCATTACATCATGAAACTTATATTAGTATATGAAAAAAAAAAAAAAAAATCCATTTTTTTGTTAATCTCCTACCAACTTGATGAACCTAGTGAATTTGATTTTTTCAACCAAAAAGAATAATTGTGCTGATAGCTTGAAAAAGGACACACGTATATAGATGAAAACGATTTGGGTTAAGAAATATGAAGGAGCGTAAGTACGGAGCAAGAAATAAAGATAAATTGCGCAGAAGGTGTTTTAATCCGAGAAAAGGTATGCCAAAATGATTTCGCCACTCTTCAATTCACATATAATATTATGTAATACATCATTTGTCATACATGCCTATATATTTGTATTATTCTCTATTTATATATAATATTCTTATTTCGAATTATATATATATATACGATTGCGTAAGTCAGCTAAGCACATATATAACGCTAATATAAATTAAATAGGTGATGCCATATATTAATTCAATTCGTTTCTATTTACTGTATTACGGCACCTGCGCGTAAAGATGTCAATTTCTCGTAATGAAAAACACAATGATTATTATTGTAATTCTTTTTTTTTTCACCAATAAATTAGAAAAGGCAAAAACTAACTAAAATGAAAAAATTAGTTTCTGCAAGTGATGCAAGCAGTTGAATTTCAAAACTCGGTGATGTGATGTGATGTATATGTGTACACATGGGGTGTGACGCTATATGCGATATAGAGAACGGGGGGTGTGTTCGGAAAGTCAAGCTCGTGTCCCTTATTAGTAGCGCAATTATAAAATAAGACTCATTCAAGCTACCAATAGTATAAGTGATCATCGAATTTTTTTTCACCTATAACCGTTAGGAACATATATATAGTTTGATGAATCTATGTATACGTATGTTCGTAGATGTTATAAACAATGAGAAAAAACTAGTTGGCGAATTCCGATTTAGTCGATTGCTTAGAGCTACTGTCTCGTCCGCATTAAATGTCTAGAAGCTTTATTTGGATCAATACTTATAGATGCTAACCACCGTGTGTTCCGCCATTATGAACTAAATCTATAATTATATTAGAAGCAAAAAAAAAAAAAAAATGCGAATACGTATATTTTCTCACCATTCCCTTGATTAAAGTAACTCTCATTTAATTACACTTCAGAGCCGGTCAGAGCGTGTGTGTATATAATATATGTATAAATGTATGTATGTACCATCGAACATAGGTACCGGTTATTTTTTAATATATTTTTAACATATTCATATAATAATACATTTAAATTTACATATATGATTTACGAGGTACGAAAACACGAATAAAGTTTGTTTGTTTTTTTGTGCGCCACGTGGTACTTATCATCAGACTTGAGTGCCTCATCGTCAATTAACTTATCGGTGGTATCCCTCTGTCTGCATTGACTAGCAATAGATATCCTAATTGAGTACATGTGTATATACCGATATGAAACTCCTTTCTTCCAATCTGAAGATTAGATATTATCTTCGGTATCCCATTTCGTTGATGAATACGCATAAGCGAGATATACATAATTACATAGTAGATTTCGTGGCGTATTGGGTCAGAGAATCCCGAGACTCCTCTAGGATGCGTATTAGGTGCTAACAGTTTTTTTATTTTATTTATTTATTTTTTTTTTTTAGGGAAGCGTGGAAAACGTTCAAAAAAGTAATGAAACAACGCTCGAGGAAAAATACAAGTATATACTACTTCAGCGAGCTCGAAGGGTGTGGCGAAAGACATATTTTTCTCTTAGCATAACTATTTTACTTACATCGATCGACACATGATTTGCTGAAATCCAGAGATCGAATCCGAATTTTTTTTTCGAGCCAAATGTGTTTGATAGGACGTCAATTTTATTGTATACGCATTGTAAAAGATTTATTTAGGCTGTTGTACAAGCGAAAAATCGAACTTGAAAAATACAGTGAACTCCTTGTCTCCACTATCAAATTATTGTGCCTGTACTTTTACAAATACTCGTTTAAATGCCACGTCTATATACATGTACTGATTTCAAAGAAAGTCGAAATTATTCTTTTGTAATGGCACTCATTTTCATTATTCATCAAATTATGGTCAATTTTTTGAGTATATGCTGTTACAGAAAATTAAAACTGCTAGATTCCAGAGTATTCGTTTTTACTATACGTATACACAAAAATTTCAAGCAGAGCCAATTCATACAGATATGCATCGTCATATCTAAAAATTCTTCATTAAAATGGGACACATGGGATTTTACATATTTGCCTGAGCCAAAGTCGAAGACGGTAAACAATTCGTTGAGTACAAGGATAATAGGCATGTCTAAGATTCCTGTGGAGCCGTCAAGTTAATAACCTAGCATCTACTGGATTTCCAATAATTACGCTGCGGGAATCGTAGAATTGCCCGAGGATATTGCGGTTAATGGATTTTGTGATAAAAATACATTTTTTAGGTATATGGAATGAAAAACATGCACTATCAATAACTTACGATTAACAATTTTTTTTTATTAGTGAATGATTTATTAAAATTATAGATAATCAATGAAAATACATAGTTATGTACATGATTATTTACCTAGTAACTAAAGCATATTTTTTCAATTAATTTATACTATACAATGCGTCGTCTTTAAACAGAAATTTAATTGTTACATGTAACGACAATAATAGGAAAAAAATACACTAAGGCAAGAAAAAATAAACAAGTTGATCTCAATAGTTGATACTGTTTTTAAAGGCATACCTTTAAAAATAACATAAGTGTTTTCTCAATTTCGACAGCCATTGCGGATTAAGGTGAATTCATAAAAGATCATCCATGTCTCGGTGTCAAATGTATCATCACAGAAAGTAGTGGGTACAGCACACGACACATAAACACTCGCGTAACTGATTGTTAGTAGGTTTAATAAAAAAAGGCGTTGCCTTTGTTACGGAAATGTATTTGAACTCAAAAGTCTAAGGAGAAAATGGTCGGTTCCACGTCCTAGCTTCAATGGCTCTCTTGATAAGAACGTTTTGACTGCGCTGCTTCATACGCTGAATAAAATCATCCTTCACTTCCAATATTGTATCGCCAGTGGGCAGCGTTGAACTATCCTTGCTCTGATAACAAACGAGAGTTACGATCCGGACCATTTCCATTTAGCATCACGATCATCATCACCGATACGACTCGATTCTTAAGATTGACCTCTTCTCGTCTATGTACACACAATATAATACATGTCATAGTACTATTAAAGAAACAACATGAGAAAAATTGTTGGGCATACACTGAGAGAAAAGATCACGAAACAAAACTGTGTACATGCATGCAATTAATCCGAAAGTAGCCGTCAAATGTCAACGTTGACGACGTAATAAAACGAATGTTGTTGAAAAGTAAGAAGAGAAAGAGAGAGAATGAGTGAGAAGGCTTAGTTACGAACCTTGTCAGCATCGTCGGTTTCTCCCCAGCGTTCGTAATCTTCCTCTTCCTCTTCCACTCGACCGTCGGAGCCACGTCGCTTGCCTGCCGAGGCCTCGCTTCGCTCCCGATCTCGGTCTCCTCTGTTTCCTCTGTCACCCCGATCGCGATCACCTCGCTCACGATCACGATCGCGTTCGCGGGACCTCGAGCGATCCCTTTCGGCTTCCTTGTCTCTGGAGCGTGAGCGCGAACGATCACGTGATCTTTCCCTAGAAGCCGCTTTTGATTGTGAGCGATCGGCACGCGAGCGAGAACGTGATCTGGAGGAGCGCCGATCTTCACCACCCTCCTCTATCATGCGGTTGATCTTCTCTTTGGCCTCGTCCACCTTCCGCATAGGGTCAGGCGACATGCTTCTGTCGCTGTAGCGGTCGCGCGAGTAGGCTCGTCTATCCCTAAAGTCCCTCCTGTCTCGGAAGTCTCGTTGGTCCCGGAAATTGCGATTGTTGTGGAAATAGCGGCCGCCTCGCTGATTCATTCGCCCACCACGGTGACCGCCCATCATGTGTCCATCGCGGCCACGCTGATTGTTGTGGTGGAAAGTGCGCCCACCACGATTGTTAAAGCGATTCTGATTATTATTCTGATTATTGTTGTAAAAGCGCTGAGGCTGGTTGCCACTGCTTCTATAATTGTTTTGGCCAGGACCTCGATGGTTCTGATTGTTGTATGGCTGGAATCGAGGCTTGTAGTAAGTGCCGCGATTGTTGAAATTTCGGTTATTGTTGAACTGTCGTTTGCGGTAGTAGCCACGGTCAGGGCTGCGCGAGCGCGATCGTGAGTACGAGCGTGACCGTGATCGGGAACGCGACCGAGAGCGTCCCGAGTAGCTGCCGGATGGCGAGCGACTGTACTTGCGCTCGTAACTGCCGGAGCGCCGGTTCGAGAAAGAGCGCGACCGGGACCGTCGACCAGAGCGTCCCGAGTGCGACGAGCCAGAGCTGGAGCCACTACGCGATCGGGAACGTGAACGTCTGACCCGAGGGCCTGGTCCACCAGACTGACGTTGTCGCGACCCGTCTCGCTCGCCTGGACCACCGGCACCACTGCGCCGACCGCGTTCTCGATCGCTTTCGGAGCCAGAGCGCGATCCCGAGCGTCGCCTGTTAGAGATAGACGGGGGTTGGTCGTCTGCCTGACCAATAGGTTGGAACTTGCTGCCAAGGCTCGAGAATTTGGCTGGCACCGAAGCTGGCTGGTGGTGAGAGTTTCCCGATGTCAAGGAAGACTCTTTGTAGCCCTGATATTTGTTTTGGGGCTGGGGAGTTGGGTACTTGACGGGCGCAGGTGACGGCTGTTGCGGCGGTGGAGGAGGCGCGTGATGCGGATTCTGCTGCACTTGCTTCAGCGGCGAGTCTTTGTGACCCGAAGACGGGGCCGTGGCCGATAACTGTTGCTGCAAAGTGCGCTTTTCTGCCATTTCACGTTGCATTTGTTTGCGAATGTTAAGGGATTTGTCAAGAGGTCGCTGGATCTCCGACTCTTCTTCCTCGCTGTCGAGAACTGACTTCACCTTTTTTTCAGGCTGCACATCTGGCCACTTTTGATGATGTGGCTCACGTTGTCTAAACAAAATAAACCGTTTTTTTTAGAGCTATTCTTTGAGCGCAAAAAGTTCTTAGTGATGTAGTTTACTATTTACTATACGCACTTCGATGCTTGGACGGCTTTCCATTTAGCGTTGAGAGCTGCGGTATCCAAAGGTACTTTTTGTTCTGGATGAATCAGTTGCGAGTCTTGTTCAAATATATCTGAAAATGGTTTCCGCTGAACATCTGAATCAGAAAAAAAGTCAAAGCTGGTAATGACGGTCAAAAACGTGGTAAAATTTTGTAAACGTTAATTGTTATTATGTATGAATCTATGTGGAATTATTTACAACATTAAATGACCAATAACGGCAGTAGAGCGCCATAATACGATATCAAGTACCTTTTCTTTGTAAGGACATATTCGTCCTTGGATCTCTATCGTGGTATTGCTTGAATACATCTTCTCTTCGCATGTCGTCTTCCCTGCGTGTAGCTTCGGCGAGCTTTTCGGCATTACTAAGGGGGGAAGGCATGTCATTATACTGTGGTACATACCTATTGAATGTAAAAATACAAAAACAATGATAAGTGCCCTTAACGATAACCAAACGCACTTCGACAAGATATTTTAATAATGTTGGGCAATGAACGAAAGCTACGAGCTAAAATTAACGGCGATTTGAAAATCATTTACAACATTAACGAGAAGTTCGTAAAACTGAAGTAATATGGGGTACATACGATTCGACTTCCGTAGCTAACCTTTTGATAGAGGCCGTTTCCACTTTAGCATAGTAAGCGCTAAGCTTAGATTCGAGTTGCTCTATGTCAGGCAGAGATGTTTGCAAATCTCGCTCAAGTTTATCTTTATTCTTACGCTTTTTGCGTTCCTCCTTTTTCTTTTTCTTGCGCAACTTTTTTTCTTCTTTATCTTTGTCTTTAGCCTTCTTTTCTTTCTTCTTCTTTTTTAGTTTTTTTTCCGAATCCGCGTGTTTCTTTTCTTTTTCTTTGTCTCGCTTCCACCTGGCAGTTTCTTCTAAAAATTTCCTGACCTAATTGTACAATTAAAAAATTAAGTCAATCACAGGCCATCTAAGTATCATACTGTGGAAATAAATTTTAACGTACCTTGTCCTCATAGTCTGAGTCATCCTTAGTTTGCTCAAGAAATTTGCGCACCTTGAGCTCATAATCCTCCTTTTCGCGCGCACTCGAGGTGTAGAGCTGCTGAGGAGGTGGTTGGAGCAAATCTAGTTGTTGGGGTAGTTGCTGTTGATGATGATGATGTGGCGGTTGATGCTGTGGGTGCGGCTGACTCAAAGCCATTGCAGGGCCAACCTGACCAAGAACTCCAGCGGGTGGATTGTGGTATTGAGCCATGCGCTTGGAGAGAGGTGATAACGAGCCATGGTGTTCTTTCTTGTGCTTGCGTTTACCAGAGCGGCCAGGTGAGCGTGAGTTGGAACGAGAACTTCCGCCAGAGGAGCTTGAACTGCCTGACGAATCAGAGCTACTACTACTGCTTGAAGAGCCTCCACTTGAGGAACTAGAGCTAGAACTCCAGCGCTGTCGTTTCTTGGAGCGCGACTTGCGCTCTTTTTTACGTTTCTTTTTTTCCTTTTTGGAGTCAAGATCTACGATTTCTGACCCAGTGCCAGCACTTAAACTTCCGACTGGCACAGGAGGTACAGTAGTAGTATTAGCAGCAGCAGCAGTAGCATCGAAATTGCGGAATGGCTCGATTGTGCTTGCTGCCAGGCCTACTGGTAGATTTTTCTTGCTTTTTATGTACTCTATTGAATTTTTGGCTTCTTCATGGTAGGGCATTATGGTCAAACAGTTTTCGTAAGCCTTCAGAGCATCCTCGTACTTTTTTTCATCTTCGTAACTACGACCCAGCGCAACCAGTGTTTCAGCCATGTATTTGCGCGCATTTGCATGGCTAGGGTTGAGCTTGAGTGCAGTTTCGAAATCTTCTATGGCTTTCTTAAAATTGCCACTGTTGGCGTTTCTATGTGAGCATGAAAACATAATTAGCTACCAATTTTAAATACAATGAAAATTTTTTTGAAAAGTGTAAGCTTACAATGCCCCTCTAGCGACGAGGCCTTCGACATTACGAGGATCAACGGTGAGGGCTTTATTCAAACATTGAAATGCTTCAACATGTCGATTAGCTTTGAAATGGTCAATACCTTCAGCTACGCTTCGAAATGCCCATTTGCTGGCTTGCGCTTGCCTCAATTCACTGGCATACTCATTAGATGGAAACCTTTCTCTTTTTGACAAAATAGAAAAACACGTCAATCTTCATTAGTTACCATAAATCATTTCCTATTTTTTTTAAAGAATCAGAATTAATTATAATTAGCTATTTAATTGCTTAAAAAACATGCTATATACTGCTTTTGTTTGATACTCTTAAAACTCGACTTTACGAAATTTACAAATTCAAAATGTAATTTAAAGCTTGCGTTAAAATGTGTTTTTTAAATGAAAAAGTTCATAGATACCTTAATCCGACCATGTTGGAATAGTTTAATTGACCCAGCCCCATCAAGTCAGATAGATATTTTATGTTGTTAGGGTTATTGAAGCCAGTACTATTCTCCATGATTGTCTCATAACTTTGGCCCTTGTTGTCCATAGCTTTCCTGAATAAAAAATATTCATTTATTTTTATACAGCAACCATTTTATTGTACATTATGAAGGATAATAAATAGCGGCTGCTTTGTTAACATCACTATTTATATTTATACATTAGTTCAAAGAACAATTGAATTTTTTTCCATCCTTCCCATTCCCTATGTTCAGTATTTTTTATGTAAACATTTCTGTACATACACATTATTTGTCATGTGCCACGAGTATCCTCAAGTTTTTTGTTAAAGTACAAGGTGATTTATTTCATAATTTTTTTTATCGAATTTGATCAATTTATGGTCCAAGTTATTCTTGAAAATACTGACATAAGGGAGATACGGTTGCTTCTCATTAGGTGCGGATCAACTCCCATATTATAAACAAATAAGTATATCCCTGTCAAAATCAGTAGACAAATGTTGTCACATTTAGACAGAGTAAGAATTGATCAGTGTTGAATACCACAGTTAACTCCTTAAGGAGCAGCTAGACTTAAAAGTTTGAAGATTTATGCTTTATAATCTTCAATTGCTGCAGGATTCCTTTCGATCTGAAATTTGTACAATGGTCCTGAAAAATTATGAAAACTAATACCTCACCTTTCTAATCATCCCTACGTATAGTCTGTTTCTTTAGTATTTATTATTTTCTGTAGCAAGTATTACATGTTTTCTTTCAAAACTAAAGCTTACATTGTCCTAGCTGTGGCAGAATAATAATTTTTTTCATGTGTTCATTTTTTAATTCGTCTCATGATAATTTATAATGTGTGCAACAAAATAATTTGCAAAACCCTCAAATAGGTTTGAAAGCCACGTCAATTTGTGATTTAATAGAGATCATTTTTATCATCCACAAGTTGACCAAAAAAATGTTTAAGCAGCACATTTTGTTGTGTAATATTCAAATGACATCGTTTTTATAAGTCAAATATAGCTGTAATTTTAAATGATGTATTAATTATCTTAACAATGCGTGAATTATTCAAGGGCTACATAAAATCACTGTGTATTGCACGATTTTAGTTGTTTGGCCTTTTACCAAAACAATGTATATTACAAAAATACTTTTTAACTTTTTTAAATCATGAAAATTTGAAATTATCCTATATTATTAACAATGTATTTCATAGAACACAAGATAAAACAGGCTTTGATTTGCCAAGATTTTTTGAAAATGTACATTAAGGAAAGGTCAAACAACTTTTCATTAAATTAATACCTACCATTCAAGGAATACAAGTGAACAACAGCCCCAAATTGCACTTCATATCATACTAGAAATACAATCTCAAAATATACATTGTGGTCATTTAGTGTACAGTGACACGTTCATGTTGGTGCTTGAAATGACATACATATATCACAAATGCAGATAGAACGTGAAAACAATTATAGCTGTGTCAACCATTGTTTGAACATCAAACTTTTCTTATTGCATTATATTTATATTACAGACTGTCTGCCACCTGGATTCATAAAAGCTGGTCAGAGACAAAACACAAACCCTCGTAGTTTAAAAAATATAGATATTAAAATAAACACGACCCCCTTCATGTTGAGAAATTGAGTAAATTTAAATTACAAATAAAATTTAAAATCTCAAACTATACATAGTGTTAGTAGGTGTTTATAGTTACTACTTCAAGATCATATGAAAGTTATTATGGAGTTTCTTTCAAGATGATCTCAATTATATTAACTAAAACTAAAATTACAAACAACACCCCAAGTACAACTAAATCTACAGATATCGAAATGTTTTTTTTTTATTTCGAGGAAAAAAAAAACAAATGCAAATAACACGAGATTAAAAATAAAATTTTTACGAAAATCTTAATATTTTCTACTTTTTTGCATATAACTAGTCAAAAATGCTTCAGATAAAAAAAACTTAAAAAACATAGTGAATTAAACTATAACATACTTATATGCATCTGGTAGATCTTCTGCATGTACAAGCCCCATGGCAGGATGTGGAGCTTGACCTTCACGAGCTGGTACATTCATAACAGCAACGACTCGCTCAGCTTCTACATTAACTTCACCAACAACAACACAAACTAAGTCATTAGCCATGTAACCTCTTGTAACACCCTTCTTATCAACAGCTGGTACAGTAGCCGTATTTAATATCAAAGCCTAAAAAAATAATTAACATACATCATGATGCAAGATACCTTGATTCTGAACTGAAGTACAATCAATTCGTATTACCTTCACACCAAGATCAGATACAACTCGTGGAAAATCACTACAATTGCAAAGTACTTTTAATAATAATCCAGCTGCACTTTTACCCATGACTTGTGCAAAAATAACATCTCCTACTAATAAACTCTGCAAATATTAAACAACGATTAATGTGTGATTGGCTTTGTTAACTTTATTATTTCTAGCAGGAGTCTAACATAAATAACTAACCTCCAAGAAATTACGAATTCGTTGAGATTTTTCCATAGCTACAAAAGAGTCCAAGCCAGGCATTGTAGCATAAAATTCTAGAAATGAAAATTTTTAATATTTCATGTTTGAAATGTAAAAAAAATTAAAATCTCGTATTTGGTTCAATTGTTACCTTCATCACCCAATTCTTGTATTATAGGATCACATGTTTTGATCAAATTGGACTTGTCATATATTGTATCAGCTTTTTTTACTAAAAACTGCTGTAACTTTAACCTTTTTCCTCTGTCACTGAAACTAATAAAAAATGAATACATAAGTAGGCAAATTAATGATACGGTAATCCATATTTGTTTTTAATACAAGAGGTAATGTTTAGAGTTTTTTCAAGTTTACTTATGGGCTTTTTAGGCAGACTCATTAAAAAAAACGAATAATTTAGAAAATTATCAGTACCCTGTACTATAAATAACATAATTTGGTATTAAATATTAACATTGTAGGTAAATACCTCAGTGTCTTCTGTCGTTGTTGGTAAATTTCGAAACTGGGCTCCTTGATTTTGAGCATCGCCAATTCAGCCTCATTGCGCTCGCTCTCCCAAACCTTTTGGAGCTGTTGTCCATGGTAGTTGAGAGCTTGTGTTATCAATTGTGCATCCATGCCGTCCATCTTCCACCTTTTCACTTTTCACGGTTACTCTGAAAAATCTAAGTAATATAATCGATTAATACTTCAAATTATCGTTTCTACACGTTTTCAGTTTTGCATCACCCATTGCCTTACACACACACATACACAGAACACACAAACTGCATATTCTATCTCTTATTTGCTTATACTTATAGGTACAATAAAATTGAAAAACCGAGAAAATACCCTACTACTAAAACAGGGATTATTCAAACGAGCTAGCGCAAAAACTTGGCGTAAATATCTGAGTACATGAGAGTGTAAATGGCAAAGATCATATTGGCGTACAAAAGCGAAAATTAACAAGATGGCGATGTAGGGTTGCCGCATGCACATTTCGTGACTTTACCTTTCACTACTGTATCATTCTCAAACTCCCATCGTTTTGGAGCTGCTGATCTGCCGCAACCGCTAATTATTCACGAGGGATCGACAAGAAATGTAATAAATTTCTGTAATCAAGTTCACAAACAAAAAAAATCGACACACGCTTTGTCGCGTTATAGTGATGACGGAGCACTTGCACAGATAACGATGGAGAGCAACGCAACGCAAGCAACGCAGGAACACACGCACACCAATGGATGCGCAGGACGCCGGACGCACAGCATCGTATAGGCTATATATAGACTATAGGCTATATATAAGGGACGAGGAGGGATCGAGGGATTGAGCAGAGGGAGAGACGCGCCCGTGGAGTGGACGTCGTGGACGCGTCAACGCGCGCGCGATGCTGAAAATATGGCGACCAAACACCAAAAAAAGACGGATTATAACCCATTCACACACACTTATACCTATATCCTATACAGTCAAACTTCAATATTATATATATTTTATTCATAAGCAAAAGTAAAATTGAAAGGCACAATACAAAGGTTGTTGTAGCTTACTGCTAAAATACGTAACCTGCAGCGTGCTGCGTGACTCCAAAAAATCTTATGCGTGGTGGCGGATGCAAAATATACGCTGACAAGTCTTAAAATATTTTTGTTTATCGACTATAGACTCCCTCAGTGTACTTCAGCAGTTTTATCAGTTCTGCTGACGTCACGTATGATTTATTGACTAAAATTACATTGTCGATTTTAGTCTATAATATCTATATTGCATTTATACTGAGGCACATATATATATTAAAGGGCAGTCATATTTCCGCAATCCGTATCTCTCACAAATTCATATACCTGTGGCGTCTCACATCTCTCGCGCTTCAGGCTTTACTCGCCAGGTGGCCAAGCTCCTAAGAGTCAACTCCCGTCAAGCGGCGAAATTCCCGATCACTATATAAGCGCGATCGAGTCGAACTGAGCCCACACCTCTTCTGTGTCTAAGGCAGGGAGCACGTCATCAGCCTTACTGATGAGTTCTAGCGTGCTCTCGGGACGAAACACCTTTTTCTCTCTCGAGTAGGCGATAACAACCGCCATATACCTATATTTCAATGTATTGATACGTATTGCGTATGATAGCATTAACATGTTTTTACATCGATATTTTTATAATAACTATTGATATGCGAACATTTGCTGAATAACGTTACATTTCCTGGTCAAAATATTTTTGGGTATTCGATTATGTGTTATTGCGAATCCTGTATTTTCTTCATAATTTATAATGCGAAATATACGTATATACCTACTTAACTCTGTTCTCAGAATATTTCTAAAAGATAAGCGTTCATATTTTTAACAATTTGAAATATTTTTTCATTAGTAAGTGTTATTGACACCCAGCGAATAACCCAATAAAATAGGAACGGTACTCCCCCATGTGACCCAATGAAACAGGAACGATGGAATGAAATAACCCTACATGACTCTCAATAAAAACAGGAACAGTGGAATGGTATAACCCACTGCCCCAATAACACAGGAACGACGGAACGGTACATCCCCATGTGACCCAATGAAACAGGAACGATGGAATGGTATAACCCCATATGACCAACAAAGCAGGAACGGCGGAATGGTATAACACAGAGACAACGGAATGGTATAACACGGTGTATTCCACAATCGCCGCCGTTGCGTTGTGGTTGCGTGGCTGAGGGGAGCTACTGTCAGGGTCCGTACCATATAACTTTTTTTTACTCTACGGGCCTATACGAAGCAAAGAAAAGTTATATGGTATGGCCCCTGAGCTCGGAGCGCTCGGAACCTCTTAATTGAACAAATCTCGTGATTTCTGCTTTTCTAGGGGTCTGATCGGAGCATTCGATATCTCGCTTAAGTAAGCAGTTTTTTCGATAATCCCTAAACTACGCTGCGCATTATCGTTATTTTTGGTCATTTTATAGGGATTATCGAAAAAACTGCTTACTTAAGCGAGATATCGAATGTCCCGATCAGACCCCTGTGCCTGTGTAAGGTAAAGTACCCAATTGTGGTCCCCTAAATATTGAGGTCAGCAATATAATAAATATTACACACACACAACACCGATAGTATGCAAAAGTTATTTGTTTAATTCATTTTAAATGCCTTTTTGAATGAAACTTTACAAAATTTACTTAAAATTTTTGCTCATTTATTTAATAATTAGCTTTTAAAAATATGACGTTTAAGACCATATTTTTGAGACTAGACGACGAAGTACCCCAGTTGTTGGACCATGCATATTCTATGGCAAAGACCTTGCGTACCCCAATTATTGGACCGCTGTGTGTTTTCGCATTATTTACGCAGAGCAAGTATATTATGAGCTTTTTATGAAGATTTAGTAATTTATATTTACTATTATAGCCTTTTATTTTAAATATTTATTAAAGTTATGATATCACAGTAAAATTGTAATGTTACAAAATATACCTAGATTTAATTTTAAAAAATGAACACTTGGGTATACAGTTACAAGAAGTTCTCGTGACTAACTATCATATTTTATATCGTACTGCAAGTCATTAATCTGTTTTTGAATATCTTTAAGTTTCATTTCAAATCTAAATTTATCATCTTCAATATTCTTTTTCTCTTCGATCAAACCTCTTTTAGTTTCAATAATTTCTTCTTTTTTTATTTTTTCTGCAATAACTTTTATTTTTTCTCTAAAACCTTTGATAACATCTTTTGAATCCATTTCTGTCTGAAAATATAAGTACCTATGTGAAAAACAGTAAGGAAAATTGAAAGTGTGCATGCATCTTTTGAACTTTTATCATCAATAAAGGCTTGAATTTAATGAAAACTTAAAAGCATTAGCAACTTCTTCATAAGTAGGGTTATGTGAATCTGTTTATATTAAGTAATCGTACAACAATTATCACTGAGTCAATTGTGTGATTGAGACGGTAAATTATACTTACAGTAGCACTTTAAAACTGATTTACTGACGATTAAATCATTGTAACCAGCAAACTAAAAAAAAAATACACTCTCACAATTGGGGTACTTCGCTTGAACAGTGGGACTGAGCAAAAGGGCCGGTAATTATGGACCGTTGTAATTGCGGGCCAAAAACTGGGGTACATTCACCATAAGGACACCTTTTGATGGACCATCGAAATTTTTAATGAAATTCTATTTTTTCAATTTTTTATTGGTAATACGTCAAATCCTTAAACTATAAGCTTTCGATTCATATAAAAAACATTGCACAAAACAAAATACAAAATTTTAAACCTGTATTTCAAAGTTGACGAAAAGCGCATTAACACCTGTACAACTAAACCGACTTGCTATACGCACTGCATATGACGATAATAAATACGTTGAAAAACATGCTAATTTTATGATAATTGGGAGAAAATTTATTTAATTCTTTGCTCAATGCCTTATGTTTTGATTTACTATTAACTTACAGGCTTTAAACTTGATTAACAATTATTTATTAATGGTTAATTCAGATATGGACCATTAACTGGGGTAAGGGGACCACAATTGGGTACTTTAAAGTAATTAAATAAAGGTAATTACCTTATATGCTTGTGTTTTTCACTGCGTAGGCCTTAATGGTTACCCGCGTAATATTAGAGCCGTGGATAACAGAGAGAGAGAGGTTCAGAGACAGGAGGTAAGCGTTACGCTCTCCAATGTGACGATGTGACCGCGGCTTAAAGATTCGTAAGATTACGAAAATAAATTTATTCTCTCTTATTTGGTATTTTCACAATCTTTCATCACAAATTCTATGGATTCATAGTTGAATAGGATTTGATTTGCTTATATAGCTTTAAAAGGTTAGTGATTTTCAAAAATAAACTACGTGAAATGATGAACAAAACACTAAAATCTGTGGCTCTCTGCTAACCACATGTTTTTCTACATTTTTATACTGAATATTTCAAATTAACACAGCTTTTAGCATAATTTAATATACTATGCCACCAAAAAAAGGTGCTGGAGCTGCTAGTGCCAAGGGTGGTGGAAAGTCAAAGGGTGGAGGAGATGATGGAGATAAAGGAAAAGGAGAAAAAAAAGGAGGCACTTCTGTCAAGGTATACATAAATTTTACTTGATTTTCTACATCAAGTACTCTATAGGCTCATCTTAATGTGATTAAATACTTTTGTCAAACTGTAATCTTTTTTTGTACTTAACTCTCCTCTGGCTCACGTTTTTAGGTACGACATATTCTTTGTGAGAAACAGTCAAAAATTTTAGAGGCTCTAGAAAAACTGAAAGCTGGACTAAAGTTTAATGAAGTTGCTGCAACTTATAGTGAAGACAAAGCAAGATCTGGTGTAAGTGCCTGTACTCTACTATTAATTATATATTTTGTCTCAAACCGTGATAAATATACAATCCAATCAATTTTCACATATTAGTTGACATAAAACAAATATCTACATTAGTATGTGCTTAATTTTTTTGATCAGGGAGATCTGGGATGGATGACACGTGGTTCCATGGTTGGTCCATTTCAAGAAGCAGCATTTGCATTACCAGTTTCTAGTCTTGGTTCTCCAGTATACACAGATCCACCTGTCAAAACAAAATTTGGTTATCACATAATAATGGTGGAAGGAAAAAAATGAAAACGTGTACATGAAATTTTTTTGTCATAAAATAAGTCCTATTTAATAAAACATTTTTATAACAAAAAAAAAAAACTTTATCAATTAATGATGTTTACAAACTCCAATGTCCTTGACCATTTCACAAGATTGCCATGTAACATCATAATGTTGTATAATGAAATTCCATCTTTGAGAGAGTATAGTTTTTACTGTATTTTGAAACTTTATAAGAGAAACTTTGTAATGTGAAGAGATTAGTTAAAAATAAAAAAAAGATTAAGTATGTATCTTCTTTTCAGACTCACGTGAAAAAAAAAAAAAAAAAAAAAAAAAAAAAAAAGTTTATCTGCTTAAACAGACTCAGATTTTATGGCATACACTTATACCAAGCCACCATTCTTGACTTTCACCACAACCAATTTACATTTGAATGAACTTTCATGTTGTACCAAGAAAGAAAAACCTTTTCGTCATTTCGAAGTACGTAATTGTGTCCACTTGCATCCAACTAGACCGTATTAAATTTTTATTCACTTTCAGGCCAAAACGATCATTCGAAAAAATTACCCATGTTACTGGCACTTGGCACAAAGTATCCATCTGTATTACTTTAAGGCACCATTCAGCCGACTCAGCTAAACAAATTTCAAAGTGTCAGACATCGTGTTATTGACGGGAACATTTTTTTTTTTTATAAACAGCTCTTCAGATATTTTTGCGATTGATTACATTGACAAAAATTTCTAATAAGAATTATATCATTTAAATCCCCTCAAATCTGATGATTGACGCTTTGGATAGGCTGTAAGTGCGCTACATTGTTTTACTCGCTAAAATCGGGTAAGTCCATTCATGAGTTTTAAACTTGAAAAAGTAGTCAATACGAAATCGATGAAAACGTCGGGAACCATAATCAATACTTTTCATAACGAATGAAAATAATGTTTGACCACAAAAAACTTGTTTTAGGGCAAACAGAGCGTGAAAAAAGAAAATGAAAAGCTTACGGGTTTGGGATCGGTGGATTTTCCAGTTGAAAACGACCGTTAGTGCATTTCCATGTTGTGGTACCCATAAGTGTGATCGGTTTCACATACTTTTTTTCGTTTTTTTAAAGCTTGGAATTCAAGAAGGAGCGCGCGCATCAACTTTAAATCTTAAAAATCGCGTTTTAAATGGTTAATAATAAAAATTTAAATTACAAGTAGGTATCTCTGGCAAGTTGGATGATAGGCATTAAAAAAATTCATCGTCTTTGGGTAACTTTTCGAGGGTGCAGTAACTCAAACGCAAAATAACAAATTTTTTGGGGAAATAACACATTGTAAAATGTATATATATATATNAATCAGTCTCTCTCTCTCTCTCTCACTCTATATGTGTAAGTGTGTTAGTATATATGTATGTATGTATGTATACGTATATATTACATGCACGTAAAGCTTATAGTAATAAAATTAAAGGTAGGCGCGCCGTTTTACAGCCTCAGATCTCGGACGCACGCTTACACATATATATGCGTATGTACATATGTATTATAAAACATTTTCTAATTTGAGAAATAATATAAATACAGATATACATAATATCGTACACCCGACACGGCTGTTTTAACCCGTTAGCTATATAATATGTTAGTTATATGAGTGTGGTGCGTACGTGCCAAGTGCCACGCACACACGCGCGCATACATACGCATCATCAGTGTAACACTTTCTTTTCCCCTTTGTCACACAATTATCGGTAAACTTGCGACGTCCATCAGTTGTAAAAAAAAAAAATAATTTTTCCTCGCCCATCACCGCCAGGTCCAACAAATTCTCAACGCTGCTCTTTTATGTGGGTACAGATACAGATATATCCTCGGCAGCGACGCGCATGTTACAACCATATATACCCTACTTACTAAAAGTGTACCGATTAGAAGAGAAAAAAAATCGAAAGTCACGAATGAATTCGAAAATCGGAGGTATATACATATGGAGGCGTGGTTTTTTCATGCTTTTCTACAGTGACAGTTAACCGACTCTCGTATTTTACTTGTTTTTTTTTTTTTTTTTTTTTTTTTTTTCTTTTTTTTTTTTTTTTTTTGTTTTTTTTTTCCATTTTATTTTATTTTCTTATCCACAATATATATAGGTAATTACGAGCTTGCGAGCGCCAAGCGAATTATTATAATACGAGATACCCGGCAAGAGACGGAACACGTCACACGAGCTCACTGTTAATTCATACATTCGTCCACTTCCTGCATCCCTTTCTACGGTACACTCAATGTACAATATATAGTATTTCTCATGTATATTCATTTTTTACAATCGCAAGCATTTCACTCGACGCTTTTACGGATACAATATCCTCCTTCGATCTGATCGATCGGCGGTTGCTTGAATATTATTATAATAATTGCACTCTTATGAAATATAGATACGGAATCGAAAAACATTATTATCATCGTCGTCGTTGTATCGTCCTTTAGCTATGCTTAACTTTAAATAATCCACTCCGCTGGTATTTAAATAATTATTTCGGTCTTGTTGCATAAAATATGCACCTCGAGATCGGCATTTCTGCGAACAATAAATTATCGAGCACACTTTTACATTACACTGTCCGAGATAGTTTTTTTTTTTTTTTTTTTTTCCAGGTCTGATTTGCATTTACGGTTACAAAATGTAATTTAAAGAAGAAAAAAAAAAAAAAAAAAAACGTAAAAAACAGTTGTACTTTCAAATATTTAAACGTAAAACGATAAATTAATTCTCGTCGAAACGGGAGAGTATGACAGTCATGTATAATAATAATAATGATAATAACGTCGCATCGGATTATTGGGCACCTGCGTTGTTGTTTATCTATCAATTTATTGTTTATTTATTCAGTATCGTCAATCGCAAATAAAATTGCAAAAGATCGGTTATTAGTTTTGTTAGCAACAACACATTGCAGGTCTCGGGGGTATTCCGATAGAATTTTTACAGTACGTGGTACCCAAGAAAGTAAAAAAGGCCGCGGAAGGAGAGGCAAAGGATGAAGAAGAGGAGGAGGAGGAGGAGGAGGAGGCGGCGGTGGCAAGTGTCGATCGGTATGCATCCTTGTGTATATATAGAGGTGGATACCGAAAGGAAAGTTTCGTAGTTGAGTGGTAAGCGTTGCCGATCGAACATCCTCCTTATTACTTACAGGTATATTTTTTATTCGTATCACATTTACATTGCATAAATCCTTATTATTTTACACTTATGTTTTTTGGGATTATTCTTATTCGTTTCTGTTTTCTCCAAATTTTTTTTTTTTTTCTTTATTACTGACACGATCGGTGTTGATAAAATTTTTACATACACCATAGCCAATTGTTTTTACTTCCGGTTTACTATACCAATCGTTCCACAACAACATCCATACGTTCAAGAACATTTTTTAGTCATTGAATGCAAATTTCAAATTTATTGTGACTTTGATTTTCAGTAGTAGTTTTACTGAAATTAATTATTACCGATTTAAATACCGATCCGCGCATTTATAACGACAATTTTAAAACCGTTAGGCAATAATGAACAGCAAAAATCCGATGCGATTGATTACGGTAATACGAGTACAAGAAATCGTTTTTCTCCAGACTGCATGTTGCGGGATAAAAGTAAAAGAAATCGAAATAATCAAGAGTAGCGATAATCGCGGATTGGCTTTCAAAAGTACCGATCGCCCTCGATCAGACGGGCGAAAAAATTAAGACTCGGAAGCGCGAGCGCTAGAAAACTGGTTTATAAATCACTCAGCCGTACTTGTGTATGGGTACTGTGATTAATAATTAAAAATTTAAGAAAAAACCTTACCGATCAAGGGAACGGCTGCGCGTGTAATGTGTAGTACATATATATGCGATCGCATAAAATAAATCATGCCAATAACAGGATGTTCGGCGTTACCCTTTTTCAGATGGCCTCGAAGATGCTGGGTTTCCTGCTTCTCGGAGTATTGATGAGCGTGGCCGTGGCCCAGCAGCCCAGTGGCCGAGTCCTGGAGCCGCCGATACCGCAAGCTTGCGCCCAAAGTTAGTCCGGCTCATTATCTCTTCTTCACTTTCGCTTATTAATATTCATATCGACATCTGCGACGAGCGTCATCTCATTATTGCGGCCATCGCGTGCACCGAATTAATAACGGATTGTCGCCTGCTCGTGAGAAAAATAGAACCAACGGCTGTATAATTATACATACGTTTTCAATTATGCAAATATCGGTAACACGTTGTATGTGCGCCATCGACGAATGAGATAAACAAGCATCGCTTCTTCCGGATTTCGAATAAATTACAAGCCAGTAAATGAGTATTGATAAATATACAGTTAACAAAAAAACACACACAACGGGTATATAATTATAGTCATTGTTTTCAGTTTCGTTTGTCACTGCGGCACAGCCTCTGTTTTAACCCTGAAAAAAGATAAGTGACGAAGAGTGACCACATAAAAAACAACGTATCCAGTGAAATTCATGGCTCAACTCTTTCATAATTATAAATAAGTTTGGAAAAAGTTAGAGCACCCGTTTCGAAAGCACTCGAAGCCAGCTTTGATTTGAGTTCTGGTTGAATAATGTTATTCAGTTTTGGAACAGAAAAGCGATGATTTTACCAACCATCGAGCGAATCTGTTTATTTTTTTAAAAACTTACAATCTAATTCCAATCGTGTTTTTTTTTTTTTTTTTTAACCAAAGCTCGAATTAAAAAACATGTGTTGAGCGCTTCAATTGCTTTTCGAAGCTCAGGTACAACAACTGAGAGAGTAGAGCCGTAATGTTCACTGAACTTTTTTTTTTTTTTTTTACCACAACTCTTCTTAGCATATCCTTCTTAAAAGGGTGTGCCGTAAAGAGAATAATGATCGCTACCACGACAGGACAAGAGAGATTTTGAATTTTAATTTGAAATGCGAAGCATCGCGTTGAAAAAAGCCATTGTTTCTCATTTCCGGATGTACATCTAGCTCGGGAATTTTTTGTACATATTTATTTTTTTTTTTTTTTTACATTTGAATCGATTAAGGAATTTTTGTACTCGTTTCAACCTATCACTGACGATGATAATTCAACAAGACGAACAATAACTGTAAATGAAAAAACTGTATAGGTTCCGCTTACGTTTATCTACCTGCAAAAAAAAAAAAATAAAAAAACAAGAAACAATTATTACAATAGATACAAATACATATACGTAGCAGCTATCATGGCAAAGTTACTCGCAGACAAACACTCATATATTTTTTATATATACACACATACACGTATGGGCATGGAGATGAGGAGTCAGGCGCTACACTTACAAAATATATTAGTAGGCCACACTTTCACGCTTCTTCGAACCGCGGAATTCTCAATTAGGCATAGACGACACTGCCCGCATATTATAATCGCATGGCTATTTTATCACTCACTCGAGCTGCTCTCGTATAAACTTTCATCCGCGTCTTACGCGCTTTGCGAAACAAAAAAAAAAAAAAAAAAAAAAAAAAAACACGAGAGCCATTATTTGGCGGTCGTTCGACCGGGGACCATATGGCCATTACACGCATTTCCTCGATCATTTTTCTTTTTCTTTCACTTTCCTCGTTTTTTTTTTTTTTTTTTTTTTTTCTTTTTTTGGAGTGCTCGTAATACTTGATGATACCCGCAGCCACGGTATACTTTATAATTAACGCCGAGCGAAAAAAACAGTCTTTCAGGCATATATACCACGTACGCGACGGGATCCATCCATCCATCATACCGTAATATAATTGGTAAATAATCGTCGCGGTGATGGACGAAGGGAGGGAAGGGGGGGGGGAAAGAAAAAAAGAGAAAACGCAAGCCCTGAATTTTACGGGTGATGTATGTGTACTACGTGCACACACGAGTTTCTTTGAAACGTATTTGCATAAATTCCACCGTAAGTATAATGGACACACGAGCGTTCGTTCGAGAGAGCCTCGTCTCTTTCTTTCGTTTTGTAGGTCAGGTATCGGGCGAGGAATCTCAAATTTCTCGAAAGGGGTCGATTTCCCCGACAAAAGAGAGAAGCGAAAGTTACGTGTGTTTGTGTGTGGAAGAGGCGGGCGATGATGCCGGGCCAAAGGCAAACGAATTCCTTGCCGAGTCATTTCCTCATCTAAATCAAGTGTGCCACGCCGCACGTCACGCGCGGCTTTAAACGTATATACCTTTCATTCCTAATGCCCATGCACATAATATATTATGTATATATACATAGAGACACGTTGTTGTTGTTTATCCGTTACTCGTAATGAAAACGATGCTCGTTCTGTTGAATCAAAGGAACCATCCACATGCGCTTCAACAACAAGGGTTACTACAACTCGTGGGCCGATCCCGCGACGGCAGGTCACGAGTACGATTGGCTCACCGCGAGGAACTTCTGCCGGAGACGCTGCATGGACCTCGTATCGCTCGAGACCTCCGCGGAGAACGAGTTCATCAAGAAAAACATTGTCCAAAGTAATTGACTGGTTTGCACAACCATAAATATGTGGTTAACATTATTGTTTTACTTTGCGTGGACTTGTAATTTTTTTTTTTTTTTTTTGTTTTTTCCCCCCCAAAGATAATGTCAAGTACATCTGGACCTCGGGGCGTTTGTGCGACTTCAAGGGCTGCGACAGGCCCGATCTCCAGCCGCTCAACGTAAACGGATGGTTCTGGACCGCCGTGCTGCAGAAACTCGCTCCCACCACGAGCCGCGATCAGAACGATTGGTCGCCAAGCGGAGGGTGAGCTATAGTGCCCTTTTTCGCGATACACTGGAACAAAATAAAAACAAAACGATTTTGACCCGATTTTTGTTACTTCGCGCAGAATCGGCAGACCCCAGCCGGACAATCGCGAGGCGCTGCAGGGCGGAGCCCCCGAAAACTGTCTGGCCGTGCTCAACCAGTTTTACAACGACGGGGTCAATTGGCACGACGTCGCCTGCCACCACAAGAAACCCTGGGTCTGCGAGGACAACGAAGCTCTCCTCAAATACGTGCTCTTCACCAATCCCGGCATCCGCCTTTAATTCCATCCTCATCGAAATCGTCGTCGCTGTATGGCCCCTCCCCCCTGCAATATATTAACGGCAACGCTATAGTTACACACGATCGTTCATTCAATTATAATGTATATGTATAAAAATGTCATACATATACATGTATATATAAATGTTTCGTTGCCACCGGTAATACCTTTCGACGATTTGCGCCGATTGCCGCTCTGATTCTATCTTGGACATCATTATTATTATTATTATCATACATTTTTCATGCGTCTGGAAAATTTTTCACTTTGTTTCGTATCGTTAGCTTTTTTTTTTTTTTTTTTAGCTATACAGTCGCACGTTCTTCTTTCTCATCGCCAAGGGTTATCATTCGTTATTCGTACACTGTTTTATTGAAAACACTGCAATTATCCACATTTATTTACGAAATTACAATTTTTACAACCCCGACGTCGCGTAAATGGGGGATCGATCGATAGATCGGATGGAACCATTATTACACCATAAATTCATGCACAGCGTAAATCGGTATAAACATATAATATATATACACACGTTAAATAGATAGAATTTTTGCCTATTATAAATACCTATACGACTGATTATTTAGACGCGTTTCACGATAATACATGCATACTTTCAACATATCCATAAATTCACACGCACACAAACACACACTTAATAGTAATTATTTATTTTTATTCTTAAAAAAAAAAAAAAAAAAAAAAAAAAAGTACGTAAAAAACAGTTGTACTTTCAAATATTTAAACGTAAAACGATAAATTAATTCTCGTCGAAACGGGAGAGTANCAATGTATACCTATACCTATTTGCTAAAATAAGAACAATCATCGAATACACATTCTATTTATGTTAAATACATATATATATGTATAATATCTATAAGATACACGTACATATAAGTATTCAATTTTGCATGTTACTCGACTGATCGTACATAATATTATTACAATCATCATCATTTCAATTTTTAATTGTCATATCATCAAACATCATCACTTAATTATTTTAATTTAACGAGATATACTTATGATTTTACCAAAATATGTATCTTATATATGTTTATAAATTACAAAAATTATCAAGTGATCAGTTTTGAGATTAAAGAGTTTTTTTTTTAAAAAAAGGTGGAATTTTATCATTAATAATTTATGTTGTCAATATATTCCATATCCGCATGATAAGTATATATACTTACGTAAACGCATTTTAGTGAAAAATATAAAAAATGAGGTCGGTGATGGGTGAGGTAAGCGTGACTGCTGATATGAGTGCTGATTCCAGATTTCGCCATTCAAAATTTAAAGTCTACATGCTGCATTATCCTCAATCTCCAGCATATTCCCAAGTTCCCAACTGATGATATAAGCGGCAACTGCAGAGCCGCCTTTGTATGCCACTTAATTTATGGAGTCCAATTAATTGTCGCTTGTCGCTTGTCAGTTGCACTCGCCAGCGATATGTCTTGCGCTTTTATGTACATATATTACCCCGACAAGTGATCACTTATAGTTCAAAAGAGCTATTTTTTATAAAAAAAAATAACAGTTACTACTATGGAGTAAGTCCAATGCCAAAACTTGCAAATAAACTACTTTTGTAAGTGCTCCGAAATAGAGGTTGAGAGTCAAAACATTCAATATAGATATGCGCAACCTATCAAACATAAGTGTTAGACGAAAATTTATTTATAAGTTTATCCGATAGCAAATGATTGAACATGATGCCATCAGTTGAGGCAGAAGCAAATCAACAGCAGCAGCAGCAACAACTATGTCGATTGTGTGCCGAACCGAGGAACAGTCTCGTCGGTATTTATGAACCCGAGGGTCAGAAATTAGATATAAAGACCAAGATAACAAAATGTTTGCACATCCAGGTATTTTTTACTTATAAATAGTTTTTTTCTTTTTCCATGAATCCTAATTTTTTTTTTATTCTTACCGTAACTTCATTGTAGATATGTTCTAACGATTGCCTCCCTCTGTTTGTTTGCTTTGATTGTTGCATACTGCTCAATCAGTGCAATGAATTTTATGATAAAACGAACAGGGCACAAAGCTCTCTACATCATATGTTGTTGGGTCTCAAGGTACCAATGCAACAAGCTCTCTCAAGACAAAGTTTTTTTGCTTCTTCGACTACCGATTTAGAAGCCACATTGAATTCTTCGGATGACGTTCATTCCTCTAAAGAAAATCATTACACAGGCCAGTCTGTTGAAAACTACTTTGAAGTAAATGTTAAAATTGAAAAATCAACTCAATTACGAGACAACCATATTTTTATGAAAGAGGAGAGTCCAAATGGTGTTGAAAATGAAGAAAAACAGAAAAAAGCCGAAAGGGAAAATAATTTTTTGAAACTTGATCAGCCTGAGTTACAAGATTTTTTGTCAGATGAATCGGAAGAAGAAAGTAATAAGAAAGTTATTGAAGAATGTAGTGAAAAAACTATCAACAATCAAATAAAAGGTAAGTGATGATTATTAAAATTTTCATTTAAAAAATTGTGAAAATTTATGTAACTGTTTTGCCAATCTGTGTCAAGATGCGGAATCGAGGAAAGTATTGGAACACCAGCTTGCTTCAGGTCTAGATATGAAGGAAGAGCAAAAAATTAATCACAAGAAAAAAGATAATCTAGAAAGGTATCCTTGGCTTTGTACGGATTGCAATGATAAACTTCCCAGCTTAGAAGCTCTTGAGGAACATCATGAAATTATACACAATCAAAAAGCTAAATACATGTGTGTACAGTGTTGTAAAGTGTATGAAAAATATTACGGCTTTTTAACTCACGTCAAGAGGCACAAAACAAAAACAAAATACAGGCAAGTATTAGTTTGATTTTTTTTTAATTTCTAAGTATATTAGAATTTTATGTTTTCTAAATAAAAACGTTTATTTAATTATTGAACTTTTAATGTAGCTGTGATGATTGTGGAAAAACGTTTGTTCACAAAAAAGTCTTGGATACACATAAATCTATTCATAGCGAAGAGAGACCTCACATATGTCAAACTTGTGGCAAAACTTTCAGGCAGCAAAGTGCATTGTACATCCACAGCAGGTGTCATTTACCAGAAAATATGAAAAGTAGATTTCCTTGTGATCAGTGTGATAAAAGGTATGCAGAAACTAGAAAATGACTAAATAGGAGTAAATAATTAAGATTTGTTCAAATTTTTCTAGATTTTCTACAAAGCCAAATTTAGTGACTCACAAACGCATTCATACCGGTGTCAGAAATTTTACTTGCGACCAATGTGGCAAGAGTTTTATACAAAAAGGTAATTTAGAGGCTCACTTTTTAACTCATTCAGCTGATAAGCCCTACACCTGCTCTCAATGTCCTAAGGCGTAAGTGAATCACATTACGTGCATGAGTTAACATTTTTTAATGTTTCTATTTTTTGTAAATTGTACGATTTTTTTTTCAGTTTTAAGACACCTCTGCAGCTGAAGAAGCATGAAAGTGTTCATACAGGTGCCAAGCCTCATCAGTGTAATACATGTGGCAGGACATTCAGAGAAAAAGGCACACTGAGAGAACATCACAGAATCCACACAGGAGCAATGCCATTTTCTTGTGAATTTTGTGGCAAGTGCTTTCGATTCAAAGGCATTTTAACGGTAAGTCAACGTTTAGAAAAGTAATATATCCGTTAGTGTGTTATTTTTTTCATAAAATTTTTCCTATTCAAATTAGACTCATCGACGTCAGCATACGGGCGAGCGACCATACAGCTGTCTTGAATGCCAGCATCATTTTACTAATTGGCCGAATTACAATAAACATATGAAACGCCGCCATGGGATTAACACTTCAAATAGCAAACGCGTGCAGTCGAATCAACAGCTAGGAGTTCAACAACAATTACAGTCGAGTTTCCAACAGTTGCATAATAATCAGTCACAGACAGCACAAACCACTCTGATAGACCCTCAGATCACTCCGACGACAGTACAGGTGATCCAATCAGTGCCGCAAGTGTCGGTGACAACACAGCCACTAGTTCTACAAACACTCGCGTCAACTGACACGGTCTCAGCCATTCAGACATTTACTGAGAGCGTCGATAATCCAGCTTCAATATCTGTGGCGCCCATCGCTCACCATCATCACTTACAACCGGGTCCAGTTCATGTGGGCGCTGGAAGCTTGAATTTTCGCGAACGTCAGTACGGAGCTACCTCTACAGCTTCTTACTTCAATATGGGCATGCCTCTTTCCACTTTCCTACCACCAAGCTCATCTTACAATTTTTACAACATAGGTACCTAATTGTTAAAACTGATCTCATCCATTTCAGATAGATAGACATTCCATTAAAAAGTTCCAACTCCACTCGCCTTTTGCGAGTAGAATCCACGTTCCACGTTATTTGTGTGTGATTTTAATGTAACTAAATAATTTGTCACTCACGAAAACCTAGTTCAATTCATTCATTAACAATGACAATTCACCCAACTAAGTACCAGTTAGGGTTAAGAAATTCTTGTAGTGAAAACGTACATTGAGAAAAATTTTGTAAGGAAATTGTTGCATCATACTTTTTATTTTTTAATTGAAAAATTGAGAAAAAAAAAAAAAAAAAAAAAAAGGTCATACAAGTTGGCCTACGTTTTTATGTCTTCTTTGATGTTTTTGTATTACGACACTTTGTGTACCGATTAATAAATTCCTTGTATGTTGGTTATTATTAAAAATTGATCGAATTACTTTGACTCACTTTTTTAACCCATGCTTAAAATTCCTGGAATTAATTTTTTTATTTCATTGATAAAAATATGTAGAATTTGATTGGGAAACAGTTATTTTTTTACTTAGAAATTCATAACTTGTATAAAAATACTGAGTACTGCTTTTTCATCAACATACAAATTACAATCGAAAACTTTTTTTCATTCTCATAAAAATAACAGTTTTTTGTAATAATAAACTTTTATAAAATTAATATTGGCCCACAATTTCATTCGTTCTAAAAGGAAAAAAAAAAAAAAAATTATAATCTTCTCATGGTTTCAACATCGAAGATTATTTATAAAGCATATAAAAAACTTACGCTTTCGAAATCTTCATCTTCTTGGGAATTTTCAACCTCGAGGGTCAGAACCATATCTTTACTTTCGATATCTACATTACTTTCCTGTACATGTGGCCAGAATAACTTTGTTAAATCAACTACTGAATATGCGTTACACTGCATCTGCTTCTCTACAAATTCCTTGATTGTATCGTATGTAGCTAAAAGATCCCGAGATGGTGCTGGCTTTAAATCTGTTGAGAAAACAATTGTTAATTCATATTTTTCGGAAGCACAATGAAAAATAGAGAATAAATAAATGTTGTTTACTTTTTAAATGAGTTTGATTTAAAGTAAATATATACAAGTAAAAGCTAAGTTGGTTGAACAAATCTGTTTCCTTATACTGAAAAAAAGAAAATTTATGACGCTCGATATATGCATCTTGATAAAAAAAAATTAGAAATATGTTTTTTACTATTCTATGAACGTTTCCATCTGCACAGTTGTAGCATTTAGGGAATGTATAATTTGTATCTAAAATAATTCTTCGCATAACTTTAGAGCAAATAGGATTTTCACATTCTACTTCGCCGTAGTAGTAATCTGTGACGAATTTTCGAATATCTATTTGAAGTTTATTTTGTAAAGCATATGCATACTTCCATGGTGGTAAATCACATTCTGGATTTGTACACATGGCTAGTGAAGGCCGAATCACTCCATTCTAAAAATAAATATGCAGAAATCGTGAGAGAATCCCTAAAGTAAAAATATTTATTTTATAAAAGTTATACATACAAGTTCACTGACTGGTGTGCTAATTTCAATTTCAGTTTTACAATTTTCGTTGCGACAAAGAAATTTTAATGGTTGACAGTTTTCATAACGATTGTCCTTAATACATAATGGAACTTCTCCCTCTTCTTGGCTCACAACTGTTCTCTTTGGTTTATATTTATCTCCAATGCCTTCAAATATAATAAAACTTAGAGTATTATGATGTACTGCAAGTAATTACTAAAGAAGACAAAATCAAACAAAACAAACGTTACCAAGGTTTTGAGCAATCAAAACATCATCGATACCCTCAATTGGATCGCATATTCTTAAAACAACGGGATGTATTTGATTGAGTAGATAATAATTAATATCAACTTTAAGACTATCGCTTTTTTTGAATTCCTCAACATGATAAGCTCTTTCGAGGGCTGTTTTGTCGGTACCATCCTGAAATCACGAAATAGTTAATGAATTAATGAGTTTTTAGAACAAAATGATCTATTATTGTTAGCTCACCTCGCAAATAATGTAAGGCACTGTATCACCAGCTTTCCATTTACGACCGCCGCTCTCATTAAGTCTCAAGGCAACAAGCACATGCGACAGTTTTTTATCATTTGGATATTCGTTTGGATTTTTAGAAAGCTGCTTTGTTATAACAAGCAAAGATAGAGGCAAGTTGCCGTCACGTAGGTTGTTTCCGACAATTTGCAGAATTTCGAAAATCTTTTGCAGGCGGTCTTCGCTGGACTGATCACTCAAAAGCTGATCCAAGATTTGACTGAAAAGAAGTTTCAAAGTGTAAATAAAAAATGTTAATAAAATCACGCTGTCAATGTATCCAGCCACTGATTCAACTTACTTGCCAATATCACAAGCTAAGCCACACCAGTCTCTTCTTACGATATCTAATCCTTTTAGTTCTTTTGTATACTCCAACTGTCCACTTGGAGCTTTACTCATACTCACTGCGGCATATTTCTTTTTTTGTAATAGCAATAGATACCTAAAAACTCCATCGATGTCAAGCTCGACTTTTTTATACAATTTGTTCACCTCCTTCTTTATGTCCTTACCGATATTGAACACTTGGTCGTATTCAAGAATATTTGTATTGATCATAATAGAGTCGGTATCACCGTAAATGACCTTTAAAATAATTTTGGACAAAAAAAAGTTTTAAAAAGTTTTAGAAAAAAGATGGAGACTTGAGTAAAATATCGAAATCGTGAAAAAAGGAGAACTGTAAAATAAATTACCTCATAATTACACTTTTCAACAAGAGTTTTTGTGTTTTGTAGGATCTCGCGACCTTTCATTGTTACGAGAGCTGCAAGACCCTTGGCATAGAAACGACAGTGTGTCGCTCCAAGACAGCCATACATGGAGTTGGCTGTGAGCTTTAAAGCCATTTGTCGAATATTATATTGAGCTCTGAGTTCTGGTGAGATGTTTCTTAATTTCATTAGCTTTTTCACCTCCACGCGGCTCTCAACGAGTTTGCGAATTTCCGTAGGTATTATCCCAGGTTCCACCGACGACTCAGGTAACGACAAATTCTAAATGATAAAGGATTCAATAAGTATTTAATAAATGGAAAACTATTTCAAAAACTAAAAGATTTTACCTCTACATCCTCGTATGCTGCCCCCGGTACCGTAGTGAAGCATAGGTTGAATTCTTGTATAATACTTGGATACAGCGAGTTGAAGTCCATAAGCAAAATTAATTTATCATAGAAACCTTTTTTTGGATCTAAAACCAGACCACCGGCGTATGCTGGTTTCTTTTTTCTTCCTTGATCTACATCTTCTTTCTTTTTACTGGTTGTTCTGCAAAAATCATGTCACTTGTAGTCTCTTTGATTAAAGTTGGTATTAAAATTCAAGTATTATCACATTCGATTTCATTACCTTTTATCTGGTGTAATATAATTTTTGTTGTGGAAAGCATGTAAGAGCAGAAACTCGTTCCTCTCAGCTCGACCAGCTGAAAGTGTTCGTGATAACGTGTTGCCGGCAATGTTAGTTATTTGTAGAGCCAAAGGGAGAATGTTCAGCTCTACAACGATTCTAATAATATAGGAGGCCTCCATCATTGTGGCTCCAATTAATTTTTCTAATTTTTCAACGGAGCTGTAATATTTTGGACAGTCTTCGGGTTTTATTTCCTTACACTCGTACTCTTTTTTCTTCAATACCTGTGCCAATAATTACTTAGATTTATAGATGTTGCGTCTGGCGTATTGCTCAATATTTACAAAATAGAGAAATGCAAACTTACAGCGACACAAAGTGACGATAGGTCGTAGCTCTTGACTTTTAAATTCAATTCTTTGGCAGAAGTCGTTACATCGCAAACTGGTCGACCGCAAAAGATTTGGCCCAAGTTTATTTTCCCCTGAAAAACGCGCACTGTTGGAAAGATATTTCAAAAACAATACCTCATAAGTGAAGAAAAATTATTACCTTAAAGTAAGGCGCTGGAAAACGCTTAAGTTTTCCCAGACAGCTCCAATTTTTCACTTTAAGAGCCAAAATTTTGCTAACAAGGACATCAAACTGAAAACCACAGTCATAGCCGACAATAACATCAGGATCTGAGCGATGAATGGTCTCGAGAAATTTTTCAAACAGTTCAAGCTCTGTTTCGCATTGGATCACTGTCGTTTTTGTAATCTTGGATAATCGATCTCTACCTTTTATGGGCCAACCCGTACTTCGAGGATGCGTCACAACTAAAACATTTGTTAACTTTAATTTACCAACATAATTCATCAATGTCTGTAGAAATAAAAAGAAAATTACAGCAGTAATGGTTATCAAATGGTGGCTTAGGTGGAGCTTTATCTAGTTGAAATTTATTATGAAGCAAGAGTCCAATGTTCACGATTTCATTTTTTTGCTGAACGGGATTCAAAGATACTTGAACATTGATAGTGGCCATGACAATGGGTGGTATTGTTAAGGTATTTGACTGATCAACAGCAACAGTAATATTTTCCATTCTTGTACAAATTGCCTGAATAAAACGTATGCATTTAAGGTTTACTAATAGCATGCTATAGATATGAAATGAAAAAAATAACGATAAATACTTGGACTTTGCACCAGCTAAAACGATTATCAACAGGGAGGGGTGCCTTAATGTTGAGCCAACAAGGGCCTTTTATATTTCTTTCTATGAGGAACAGTTCAAGGGCATTCACTGAAGTACCGAAAACTGCTTCAATGAGTGGGCTAGAGAAATCTGATTCCACAGCTGGTTCCGTCGCTGGATATTCAACCAACAGATAATCGGACATAATAGGTACACCTTTCCGTTCAAACGCATAATTTTTTACCAAATCTTTGGAACGAAAGTCGTTTATTCCCCTTTTTATTGTGTATTCCTTAAATTCGTTGTAGATGTCCAATATGAATTTCTCTTTTTCTGTTTTGTCAAATTGTTCTTGTTGCTGTTAATAACAAACAATTAAACAAATTTAACATTTTTAAAAATTATTTAAAATGCAAACTTACGTGGTCCCGAGGCAGTAAATAAACTTTTCTAGGTATATTTTTCACACTGATGCAACATGACACGTATTCATTGAGGCTATCAACAAAAATTTTCCCAAACAGATAAACAACTCCAGGTTGCTTGTAGGGATCTTCAAAAGCATCCCACCAAAAGAATCGAATCATTTTTTCCTCTTCGTTTTCGTCGTCACCCCCGATTGTGGGTAATGGCAACATTTTTTCGTCAGCATCCTTTAATTGCGTTTGTAGCACCGATTTCGCCATACTAAAATCTTCCTCCCAAGCTTTTGCAAATATATCATCGTTCACTAGCTCAGCACCTTTTTCCTTCCACATTTGAGATTTGTCTTGAGTAGTTTGATTTATACTTGAATCTATCTCAGTACTACCAAAATCAAAGTCAGATATCTGGAAAAAATAAATATTTTATATTTGAACTTTTAACTTCAAGAAAAATAAAACATACGTACATCACCAATGTATTGATTGAGATCCTCATTGCTTGTAATGTTTTTATCAGTACTTTGAATTGATACCGCGCTGTTTGTAATGGGAGTTTCATTTTTAGATGTAACATTTGTAAAACTATCTGGTGTGAAATCATCATCGAAATTTAACAATTCTGTATTTTCTTCTAGTTCACTAATATCATTAGTTTTTACTTTCTCTTCAATATTTTGTTTCAGTATTTTTATTTCGTTATTCGTATTTGGTTTCACGATTATTTCCTCGCTGATTATTTTCGGTTTTATTTTCTTTTCATTACTTGGTTTTGGTTCATCACTTGATTTTTTTGGTTTATCATACAAAGTTTCATGTTCTAAATCATCAAGCACAGTTTTCGGCTTTTTTAATTCTGATTTTATCAAGTTATTCAATAATTTGTCATCATCCAATCTGTAAATAAAAATTTAAGAGCTGCAAAAACAGATCCATGATTTTGTACTGTTGTGCTTTAAATGTGAACTTACGCCTGAGTAGTTTTATTAGTGAGAAACTTGTTACTTCTTGGTGTATCTTTACGTTTTGATGAATCGGTATCACTTTTTAACTCTGACAGAAGATCTCCGAGAATATCGTCGGTATCAATTTTTTCCTCTGCCTTCTTTTTACCAGCCATGCTTGAGAACATGCTTGTAATACTTCCCTTCTTGGGTTCTGTTTCTCGCTTTCGTTTTCTTGGACCTTTTGTCTGTTCACGCTTTGCAGCTTGACGTACACTTTCGTCATCCAGGTCATCATCAAATATTTCACGTCCATCTTCCACATAGCCAGAACCACCTCCTATAAAACATTTATCAATTTAACAAAATATTTCAAATTTCAATTTAATTTTAAAATAAAACCAATGAATTTACCATCATCAACAATCCAGTCGTCATACTGTCGATCTAAAACAGCTTTACTATAAGACTCTTCATCTACTTCATCATATATATTATCCATATCATCCACTTTATATTTATTTTTACTGCCTTTCAATTGCTTTAGTTTTTCCAAAGCTGACAGTCGACCATTCTTGTCTAGTTTTTGACGTTTGCTCCTTTGAGCTGCTAAAGCTACAATCAAATAAATGGCACAAATTAAATTCACAAAAAAAGCTCTGACAATACAAAATGGTTACAAAAATTTACTATAGAATCGTTAATAATGACTTAATTAAAATATAAGATAAAAAAAAAAAGGGATAACTTACATGATTCTGCCATGGTTGCTTTGGGGGTAACGAGATGGCTATTGGAAAAACAAGAAATCGGCTAAAAATATCCAACCTAAATTAGCCGTTTATCACCCGACAAAGGCAATGTGCTCGTCTACTTGTACTAAAATAAACAAACACCTTATCTACAATGAATGAAAATTAATTCAATAAACATTACACGATGCATTGCACATTGCTTTCTGATGCAGCAGTGCAGAGACTGCAGAGAGAGCACTGCGTTTTGGCGGGAACCAGTTGTTTATGTTTACAACCGTGAACCGTGAATCGAAGAGAATTAAGTAAATATCGAAGATCGATAATCAAGAATTAATGGAAAATACCCTCCAAATTCATACGAATTTGTATGCTTATATGCTTAATGCTCCTATAAGCCAGTATACACTTGGTCCAAGTTCTAAACCAAAAATTGTTACCTTATTATGTATATATATAGTTTGCATGTTTGACTGAATTTTTTTTTAAATCTCAAGTTACAAGACTTACAAGTATCTCAATCTCTCAAGAGTCGATCGATATATGTATACAACCGCGAATTCGTGCAGACGACATTTCATAAAATTCCGAAATACGGATCAGGTCGTGAGTCGTGTCGTGAGTGCGAGTGCTTATACTTACGAATCTAATGCGTGTGTGACCCCGATGAAGATCTGATCGAGGAGAATCGAATCGAGAGATTCTATTGCGCGCTGGTGCATCTATCGGTGTATAGAGCACAGAATAGGTACTTATAATAACAATGCAAACAACAAGAAGCAAGTTTCAGTTATTGAAGGGTGTCTTTTAAGTTTGCTTCGCGAGAAAAAAAGAGACAAAGGAAGAAAAAAAATAAAAAGAACAGAAGTTAACAGGCGACAGCGACTACATAGTCAAGAGCGACCAGTCAACTTCAATTAATACAGCTATACATAGAAGACGGTATATAGAAGCGAAAAAAAGTGTGTTACTAGAATTAGAGAAGACTAGACATACGTTTCTATATTCGTTTGTCGACAAGTAGCTAGTATCTGACGTACTTTGTCGAACAGGTAATTCTGTTTCCCTGAAATCTCTAATATCTCATGTTTGTTACCTCAACCCCATGTTTCTACACATCTGTTTTTTTTCCATTCATGCTCAATGATCATCCTGGTTTTGATCATGTTTCTTTCTTTTCCCATTTCAGATAATGAGTACATACATAATATGGTGTGGCACACTCATCTCATAACTCGTAACATATAGGTATCAACATACATACATGTCGACATATTTAGGACCTAAATATCAAGTAGGAAAAACACCTGTTCCCTGCTATTGCTACTATTGCAACCTATCTCTCATATCCAATTCATTTAGAGTCTTGTAATTTTCACTTTTTAATGAGTACTTTCCTTGCCATGCCACTGCATTTTATGTTCATATGTATCATCATTGTCATTAGACATTAGAACTTTGTTTTGTTTTGTTTTACAATATCTTTACTTTTATTTGACAATTTTGATATTATTTACTTAATTTAATGTACTTGTAGTTTCAGACAAAATTATGGCCAATGCTCACAGTCCAACTCGTTTCAATGGCGAAGCTGACAATTTCTTTGATCCAAACTATACTCTTGATATAAGCCAAAAAATGAGAGTTCCCAAAAGTATTAGAGTTAGTGGTGACTTTACTGATCAAGAAATTTCTGGCACAAATGGTTCAGCTTGGAACATGATGTCCAAAAAATTAGAAATGCATGTGCCAGATCGAATTTTAGTAGCTGGTGCCTATCATTATATTTTACTTATTTTTAATCATCAATATTATCGTTATAACTGTTTGCATTCGATTTCAGGCCAAGAACAGCATATAGGTACTAAAGCACCCCCCAGAGAAATAGCTTTAGAAAACGCAGTTTTACCGTCTGTTGAGACTCCTGCTGTGCGGTGTATTGTAAGTGGTTTTGAAGTAAAAAAAAATACATGTTGCAATTTTAGTTTTCATTTATCAGCAAAGTTCATTGATTTTCTTTCAGACGCCTCCTCGGGTATTGACATTAGACACACATTATTTTCCTACTGCAGACGAAGATAACAGGCAAAACAAGTCTACAGATTTTGAAGTAATGCCTGTAAAACCTCGTGGTACTTTACATAATGAAACTCAAGTGGTTACTAGAAATACCAGGTATATTGTTACGTTCCCAGTTTTTCGTTTGTTGTTTTGAAGATTTATATTTTTTTTTTTCTTATTGTGTTCATAAATTGTTTTCATTGATTACATGGAAATTATTTTTCTGTATGAAATGTAAAGGGAACTTGTAAACTAATATAAGCTGAACTTTTCATTAAGAAAAAAATGACTAATTTAATAATTAAAAATAATTTATGATTCTAAACAATTTCAGAGAACAAACACCGGCATATGGTGTCTTAGACGCTTCACTACCGCCTGGAGAAGAAGTGCAACAGTTAAGACGCCAAGTTGGAAAATTAAATCGACGTGTAATGGCTATTGAGTCAGAAATACAGCAACAGCAACAAAAAATGAAACTTGTATATATAATGGCCGCGATGTACATTTGTTTTAAGACCATGTTTTGGTTTGGTAAAAACTAATTACATGAGATATTTGATTCCCAGGGGAGATTTTTTATGTCTGATCATACGTCTGATTTGTTATAATTTTTTATACTTGTATTGAAAATGAATAAAAATAACCTTGTACCAAAGAGTATATGCAACTGAATACTGACAAGGTTATCTGAAAAACAGTAAAAAAAAAAAAACATGTTTTTTACGGTGTAAAACATGTTTCGTACTTGTATTTGTATTTTTTTTTTAAGTTTACAATTAATTTGACGTATTATCAGATTTTAAAAAATAAGTATGTTTTTTCTAGTAAACGACACAAAATTTTCAATAGTCAATAGAGTTTTAAAAAGTTCAAGTTTTACATAGCGAATTAGTAAACATTTATTTTACTCAGTATTTAACTTATATTTCTTACTTATGTTCAACTAAAATATAAACAATTTATTGCGTTACACAACACATTGTTATTTAATCAAGTGGATGAAATTTATAATGTAATTTACAGAACCATAGGAATCCAAAATTTGAACCTTTTTCTGTTTTTCTTGATTAAGACAATATTTTGTTGATGTAAGTTAAGCCTAGAATTTAGGTCATTAATTGCTAATATTGAGTAACGAAATGTTTAAAAAATTGGCGGATGGCGCTAATGTTGAGTACGTGAAAAAGTTTTACATTTTAATGTATGCAAGACTTAAGATTTTTTTTTGGCCATGTATACAATACTGTACATTTACTTATGGTGATACTAGTGATTTATTAAACTCAAGTATATACAAACATCGACTTATACTTTTTTCCATTTGTTCAACTACAAAGAAAAAACGATCATTAATTTAAATTACACCGTACTTGAACAAAAACATATACATATACATGACAAAGGGGCGGAGAGAGTGTCAGAGTGGGGACAGAAATTCAACATGGCGAAATCGCAAAAATATATACAAAGCAAGAAAGGGAGAGTTTGACTCCGTTTTATGAAAATCATGTATGAATGTAAGTGCATTTAAATATAAATGTAATGCATGGAAATTATTTAAAACATATGAGTTTTCAAAAATTAATTCAGGAAAAATAAGGAATAAAGCTGATACTTAGAAGACGTTATGACAAAATCAAATTTTGATATGAAAGATGAGAAAGGTACACCACATTGCCCATACAATATGTCCAGCTATCACAGTTTTATTCAGCTTATTCATAGGCTTTGTTACCATGTACATAGAGAATACAATATCGCCGCTATTTGTTTTTCTATCGATACAATTCTACTTGAATTGGTATCTCATCTGTAACATCAACAAAAGTGTTGTGATACCTTTCTCCATGATCTCTTGTGAAGGATTGCAGAACTTGGAAACCGGGTCACGATACTGTTGGTACTGTGACAAGTGTAAGCAGTACACACGCCGATCAACTCAACATTGTCCATTTTGTCATAAATGTTATTATTATCGCGATCATCATTGTTTTTTTTTAGGAAGCTGCATACTGCGTCAAAACATGGGCAACTTTATTTTAGCGTGTTTGTATGCATCTCTAGCTTGTATTTACTCTGTCTCCGTTGTAGGCTCATATTTATATGAGTATTTTGTGCAAATGGGTACTGCAAAATTCAATGTTTACTACTTTGCACTTAACTTTTTTTTTCCAATAACACTGCTTCAATTTATTTTTCACGGAACAGACCAGATCATCAGCATGCTTTTAGTTACCGTGTTCAATATTTCTATTTCAATTGGCTGTCTTTCTTCCTTTTATGCTGTATGGAAATTATATGCTTGTTTGTCAGGAAAACAGAAATATGTTAATGATACAAAGCATCAAGATCTTATAGAAGTATTTGGAAGTTATGGAGTCGTTAATTTTATTTTCCCATTTGACGGATTTTTGCATTCCAACAGATTAGACGAAAAATGTGAACTAAAAACTGTGTGATTGGAGATTGTAAGAAAATATCAAATTACAAGATTTTCACAGAATCAAATTTCAGAATGAATTATTTTTATTTTTCATATTGGAAATTAGTGTTACTTCACTAAAAAAAAAAGAAAAAAAAAGAACTCTTGTTTAAGTGCAACTTATATGATTATGAATAAAACTTAATTTCATTTTAAACCACCTGTGGTAAATATGTACACTTCACTCACAATAACACGTATAAAAGTATTTCGTACAGTTTTCTCAAGTAATTTGCTACAAAAAAAAAATTCAATTCAAATAAATCACTCCGATTGAATATGCTTATAAATCACAATTCAGTGTGTGTGTTCAGATGCGACTTGATATCTGAATTTATGAAGACACCTTCCATGGCTTGCCACCATACATTGCTGTCAGTAGAATAATCTCCAACCACCTCGCTTTGGCCGTTGATTGGAGAACCATAAGTCCGTTCTGTTACTCCCAAGTATCTGTAATTGAGAATTTAAAGTTGGGTAAAACATATCCATAAATATGATTGCAAATAAGTATTTTTTTGTAACACCTATTGCTGCTGTTAATATTATAATAAATAACTATACTAACGCGTCTGTATCCATGTGTTTGAACATTACTGGCTCATCTCTTTCCCAATACTCTCCAGGACATACAACTAGCCAATGATCACCAGTATCACCCTCTCCATGATTTCCATAAGCTGAAACTTCTTGTTTACCACTTAAAGGTGAGCTAACATGGTGAGAGTGGAGATTTTTTTTAGTGGACAAGTGTTCCAAGCGTATCTTATCCGCACATTTAATTGGTTTTCTAGAGTGTAAAAACAAATTATACTTTATTATTGCGATTTTACGGCAGTAAAAAAAAATGTTAAAACCATTACCCTCTCGTGCAATGTTTTCCAGTTGGAGCCTTGATGACCCAGTACGAGTTGCCATCCTCCATGGCTTTAACAGCCGTAACTGACTGTTGTCCACTTCCCGTGCCATATTTAATATCGTGCGAATGTAATCTTACATTGTAATTTGTGTTCATCAATTTAGTAACGGAGCCACAAGTGACGTAGTCGACATCTCTCGCTTCTAAATCCAAAGGATAATAATTGTTAAAGTTTGTGGCTTAAATAAGTGAATAACTAGTTCACATTAAAAAAAAACTTTGATCTAACCTGCGATGCAGCTAATTTGAAAAAGCACAAGAGTAAGAAGCTTCTTGTGGTCAAATAACTTCAAAGGCTTCATTATGAAAACTTGTAACCTGCAATCAACGTCTGTGCTGTCCTGGATTATTAACAAATGTCTTAAAACTACGAGAGAACTAGTGGAAGCTACAGTAAAACTATTTTGTTTAACAAGTAAGTGGTTGGTACAACAACGATAAACGTGGTTTTGAGTCTTTGGTAATTTTGGTATACGTAAGGGACGCGTCAGCTCTTTGGAGCTGATGATCAACAAACGAACAATCGCGCGTGTTGTGTCGCTCGTCTGTTCGTCGTTGCATCGTTGAAGGGGAAGAGAAGGGGGCGTGTTGAGCGAGAGTGGGAGGTGGCTGCGAAATTTAAAAGCACACGTCTGTAGTCAGCACACGTGGGTTAGATTCGTTTGAATTTTTTACTTAAGTACGTCTCGACGACCGTCAATCTTCAGAGGTTTTTAAATTTGCAAGAAAAAAATTTTTAGAAAAAATTGTGATCAGCAGTAAAAAATAACAATCATAAACTCTCAAAATTTGTATTTTATTAAAAAAACATGAAATATCAACAGCATTCACTGATAAAAATAGTTTATCAATGGTACAGAGGCCAACAATAATTTTTTTTAAGCATCAGTCATTTCTGCGTCTTCGATCAAAAGATCGTCGAGCATTTCTTCCAACGTTATCTGTGGCATTGTGGGATCGATGCAACTTGCATCAACTGGAACCTGTTTACTTTTATCTCGGAAAATATTAACATTGGCTCTCATCTCAGGATCTTCTTCCAGTTCATCCAAAAATTCGTTGTAGTCGTTGTTCTCGGAACCCATATCAACATCTTCAGCAAGGTGTTTCAGTTTCCAGATCCTTGCTCTGCGTCTGGCTGATCTGTCATGGCCATAGAACTTTTTAATCAGTATGACATCTGGAACTACTTGTGAGTCCAACTTTTCAAAATTATCATCATTAACGTTGATTTCAGAAAGCAAGTAACCAAGAACGGAGTCGCCTGGTTTGAGGATACCACCTAGATGCGTTCGAGTATGAATTGTGTTTTGATCAAGCCCCAAGTCCTCTGTTTTAACAATCCAGACATCTGCAATTACGTGCTTGTGTGATATGTAACCCTGCCCAGGAAACCTCTTCTTGTCTTTTTCCTTGATGGGCTCTATGTCTATGACAGTGAACTCTTTTAACTGCTTTGGATTGCAGATACTGTTGAATGGGTACCTCCAGAAGATGTTGGCGCTCAGCTCGGCTATTTGTCCGGAGGACACGTCGATCATGTGTATACCACTGGTGACTTTGTAGACGACCGAGAGCGCGCTCATACCCCCTAATTGGTGGGTCAATTTTTTGGGAAGGCACACGATACTGTCCTTAGAGATGGGAACGATCTCGACGCTAAAGGTAAACTTGTAGTTGTAGATGTTGCTGTGTATGTCGTGAGATATGAGTTTTTTGGAGTGCTGGTAGCGACATGGTAATACGGAAATGACAAAGTCGAGCATCTTTCGTGCCTGCGACTCGTTAGCATAGAAAAAGTCGAGGCCGTCATGTATGGGCTTGATGGCAACGGTGTTCTCGTGGGCCCTGTGCTTGAGTATCAGCTGCTCTAGATAGTAAAAGGTCTTCTTGTTGATGGCCTTTTGACGCACTTGGACAGAGGCGCTCCAGTAATCCTTGGCCTCTGTACGATGGCAGTCATCGCACATCTGGTGGCCAATGGTGTACTCGACGATGAAGACCTGTTCCAGCTGCGTGCCTGTCATTATTTCGGCGTGAACGGTGAGCTTGAGCTTGATGCGCTTAGAGTGGGGCTCCGTCCAGACGAAACCCGCGTCGACGAGCTTGACCCTATTGAGGCCTTTCAGCTTTTTCAGACAAAGGCTGAGTAGCTCGCGTGACTCCAGTCCGGCCTTGACCCACTCACCAGGTGGCTGAAGGTAGCGCTCGCATCCTCGACAGAAATAAAGGACCGCTTGCTTAGGGATACCCTCGGTGATGTCGACCCGCGTTCGCAGGCAGCCTATGCACGTGTTTGTGGGGTTCGGCTCGATCGGGGTCGCACACTCACAGCACAGGATGCGCGCCTGGTTCACATCCAGGTTCTTAATTTTCACGAACTCGATTTCACTGTCATCAACGAGAGACATTCTGGTGTTTTTATGTTAATGAAAAACCAATTCTATATCCTTCAAATATATTTATATATTATACTCTCTGCAGGCGCACAAATAACCTGAAGTGCAGACTGCAGACGACCATAGCAAAGCTGAGCAGTGACTGACAAGTGAGAATATCAGTGTGTGCGCAACTGTGTACATATTTATTCACACATACGCGATTACGCGCACACACAAGTCACAAGAGAGTATAGAGGATATACAGTAGGACAGCAGCAACGTCGGTCTGTATATTATAGACCAAGAGCTGAGGGTGCGAGAGAGAGTCAGATATCCACGTTCGATGTTGTGTCTTCTTCTACTTGTGCTTCATAGCATGTGCCTCTCCGACATAGAAATGTCCGCAATAGCTTTGATTGGCTGCTTCTATTGCGGACAGTCTATTGCGGAGCTCTATTTCGTACGATGAGACTGCAGCCTTACATATTAAACTGGCTGGTGGTGACTGCAGATTATGATTACACACCCACAGAATACAGAAACAACGAGATAGTATAACACAGAAACATTGGAATCGTATAACTCAACGACTCAATAAAACAGGAACGTTGGAATGGTATAACCCCACATTACTGAAGAAAATAGGAACGACGGAATGGTATAGCCCCACTTGACCCGATAACACAGGAACGACGGAATGGTATAACCCCATGTGACCCAATAAAACAGGAACGACGGAATAGTATAACACGGTGATTCCGCAATCGCTGCCAGCCAGGAAGCTATTACATAGGGCACGTTCGATTTTCATCGTTCGTCCGTTTCACTCGAACTAGTTCGCTTATATCTATTGGGAAAATTTCGGGAGAGAAATCAGTGTCGGGTGAAAAATACACACTCGCTTAAACTTGTTCACTAATTATTAAAAGAAATAAGCAAATAAATCAATTACAAAAAACTTGATTGATAAGAAAAACTCAGATTATAAAAGAATGTCTTTTCCCACACGTGCTTTAGTATAGAGCACTGTGCGCGCGGCTTCGAGCAGCTGGAAGGCAGGACGCTGAATTAATGAAGGAGACGGCGGGCTAGCTTCCGTTGCCTCAGCTCTAGTTGTCCGCAGGTGATATGCGAGCGAGAGAGCCAGCAGCTGAACCCCGTTGATCAGGCGCGGCTCTGCTTGCTGTCTGCTGGCTTGCGCGGGCGACAAGGAGCTTGACTCGGCTAGTCAAACTCTTGTCTCTGCTCCAGCTTCTGCTTGCGTGCTCGGCGCGAAGATTGTGCCCCAGGTTGTGGCGCTACAGCTACTCCCCCTCCAGTGACTGGCGCGGGTAGTGCTGGGAACGTGACATGACGCTCGGGCTTCTTAGGCTGAGCGACTGGAGATGAAGTTGATAGGTCATCTTCTGGAAACGCCGGTGGAGGTGTCTGTCGTTGATGTTGGTTGGCCTGCTGAGACTGAGCTGGGCCTGGAGGTAAACGCTGAGCTGGATTTTCTTCGGGAATAGGCTCTGCTACTTCCAGATACGCTGGCTTCAGCTGGTCTATAGAGACGACCTTCTCTTGGCCATTGACGTCGATGACAAACGTCCGCTGTTCTGTGCGTCTAATGACGCGATGTGGGCCAGTGTACGGGGCTTCTAGCGGCTTCCTAATGCTGTCAACTCTCTTGAAAACGTGAGTGCAGGATTGCAAGTCTTTGAAGACAAATGGGTGGGCTGAGCTATGCCTGGATGCAGGAACTGGACGAATTGCTTGGAAGAGCTGGCGAAGACTTTGGACGAAAGCTGTTTTGTCGGCCTGGATGGAGTCAGTGACAAAGAATTCTCCTGGAATTCTGAGTGTCGTTCCAAAGAGCATCTCTGAAGGTGATGCTTCCAGGTCGTGCTTGAAAGTTGTCCTGAGTCCCAACAAAACAGTAGGCAGGCAGTCAATCCAAGAGTACGGGCAGCATCTGAGGGCTGCTTTTAAAGTACGGTGAAAGCGTTCCACCATCCCGTTCGACTGCGGGTGGTATGCAACGGTATGAACTACCTTGGCACCGATGGCTTTGGCGAGTTCAGTGAAAAATTCAGACTCGAACTGAGCTCCTCTGTCAGAAGTGATCTGGAGAGGTGTGCCAAATAAGCTGATCCAATGATTTGTGAAGGCTTTAGCGACTGTATCAGCTTTGATGTTCGGCAGTGGAATTGCCATGGGCCAGCGAGTAAACCTGTCTATAATTGTGAGACAGTATTGCATACCTTGCATTAAGGGTAGTTTGATTAAATCGATATGAATGTGCTCAAATCGATTGTCTGGTTCTGTGAATAGACCAAACTCTGCTCTGTTGTGCCGACCGACTTTTGACTTCTGGCAGGCTTCGCAGTGACGAGCCCAGTTGTTGGCGTCCTTGCGAACTCCTGGCCACACGAACTTGTGCGACAAGGTTTTGGCTGTGGCCTTTCCGCTTGGATGAGACAAACCGTGGATGGTGTTGAAGGCCAGGCGCCGCAGAGGGGCTGGCAAGTACGGTCGCACGATGTTGTTGTTGATGTTGCAGAATACCTCGTGTCCATCCATTGGAAGTTTCTGCAGTTGAAGTGCTGAGTCCAACAGCGTCGGTAGCTCAGCATCAAGGGCTAGTGCCTCGGCAATGGTTGCTGCGTTTAGGGAGGAAGGCATGGAGACTGTGGCGATCTCGAGGGCCTTCTCTTCCTTGTCCTGGTCAGCTGTTGGCTCGTTGTTGAATGGCTGCGCGATGGCGCACGTTCTGGATAGGGCGTCTGCAACGACGTTGTCAGCGCCTCGTGTGTGCTCGAATTTGGCGTTGAATCGCATCAGGTATTCAAGCTGTCGAGCTTGTCTTGGTGAAGCTTTGTCCGAGCGCTGTTGAGGCGCATGGACTAGTGGACAGTGATCTGTGAAAACAGTAAAAGGATGGGCTTCGAGGATCCTCTCAAAGTGCTTGACCGCTGAGAATATTGCCAGCAGCTCTC